GGAAGCCAGGAAGCCAGGAAGCCAGGAAGCCAGGAAGCCAGGAAGCCAGGAAGCCAGGAAGCCAGGAAGCCAGGAAGCCAGGAAGCCAGAAAGCCAGCGGAGTTCAAAAAAACATCTTGACGACTTAGATAACACTGAATCAATTGGTCTTCCTCTTCCCTTAGAATAATGGCGCCTCTTTGAAGTGCGATGACAAGCTGGATGTGTCTACAGTCAAGCCACGCAAGCGACTATGGAGACACTTTCGATTTTGCCTATCAAACATCGACAGTGACCTACCTGCCAGATTGACAAACGAGGCACGGACCATCCACCTCCAGCGCCCCCCTGCCCCCTGCGTTTCTGACCCCAAGAAATCTCCAACATCGCGGCTAAGGGACGCCTTTAATGGTACGCACGCAGATCTTCCTGCCTGTCACTACAATGCTTCGATTTTTTGGAAGCCTTTATTGAGCTACCCAACACCTCTTTGTGCTCTTCTCCGACCTCGATGTCCTCGACTTGTAGACCTTCCTCTCGCATCAAACACAACCATGCGAGTTGGGGCCCCCTCGGTCTGGCAGTTTCTACGGCGGTTGACCCCGAGTCTTTCTTGTCGGTCTTGATTGTTTGGCTTCTCTGGCCACATAGCAAACATAAGCCGCTAGTTCAGCTCACCGAATTGGAGCTGAAGTACCCTTTACTCTGGACCCATGTGCATATAAGCAATGGAACAGGTGGAGGTGTGTGCACGACGCCCCGAGCTTACGCATTCATAAGAAAATGATTAACAGCTAGCTATTCATTTAATATCACGAAGAGAGCCATTTGAAAGGATATAGACTCGTGGGTGGATTAGAAGGCTGCTTATGTGGCGATTCAGGAGGAGGTCTGCAGCTGGTTTGGAAAGAGTTTTGACGACTCCGTATAATGGATCTGTTGGACTGAGGGGTGCGGGTGGGATTTTCAGCCGGGAACGATGTTTGTAGTCAATAGGCAATGCTGGGTTAAAAGTGCCCGGAATCTTGACGTTCCCCTTGGGCCGGATAGCTGAGTAGACATGGAGGCCACAGTCTTCGCATATATGTTGTGCCTCGCTCAGGGCATCGCTGCTTCGACTGCTGCCGCAGTCGTGTCAGTACCCCCCAGTCAGTTATGGTATGTGTTTCTGTCATGTCCTTTCTGATCTAACTTTAAAAGGGACGGAAATGACGGCCCTTGGTCATCGTTCGGAGTCCAGGTTGGAACACCACCACAGTTCGTTCGCGTACTTCCGTCGTCCTTAGGTTCCAGCCTTTGAGTCATTGCACCGGAGGGCTGCAATATATAGACCGATCCAAGCAACTGCGATGATCTGCGTGGAGGAATATTCGATAAGTCTAGTTCGACAACTTGGACAGAGAAAGGTATATATGGATTGGACCTTTCCATAGTGATAGCCTGGGGCTATTCAGGCAACGGAGACTTTGGTTTTGATAACATCAGCCTAGCCGACCCTGGAAGTAGAGGTGTTACACTCAATGACAGCGTCTTAGCAGCAATTGCAAGCAAAGACTTCTTTATCGGGTCGATAGGACTCAATCCGTGGGGGGTGAACTTTATGGACTACAATGAGCCTGTTCCAGGCATTGTCAATATTCTTCTTGACCAGAAACATATAGCTGGACGATTATGGGGCTATACAGCTGGTGCCCGCTCCTCTCCCACACAAACGTACGGAAGTTTAACGTTCGGTGGCTATGATTCTCACGATTCATTCCAAACGATCTGACAATAACCCGTGGCGAGGACACGAGTCGCGACCGATTGATAGGGGTGCAAACGATCACTTTAGGGACAGACAGCCTGCTACTCGATGGGTTCATGGTCTTGATTGACTCTACGGTAGGCCAACTCTGGCTTCCTACGGCGGTATACGAGCGGTTTGAAGATGTCTTCAGAATAACTTGGGATGAGAGCCTAAATCTCTACCTTGTGAACTCTACACTATATGACCAACTCCAAGCTTAGAATCCAAACATTACTTTCACGATTGGCAACATACCTACGAGCCAACCGATCATCAACATTGTACTGCCTTATGCTGCCTTTAATCTTACGGCATCCTGGCCTTTAACACTTAACGGCTCATTAAGTTACTTTCCGATACGGCGAGCTGTAAATGCCACGCAGTACGTTTTAGGGAGACCATTACTGTAAGAAGTATATGTCATCGTGGACTACGACCGCAACAACTTCTCCGTTTCATAGGCTATATATCCTGATAACGACGTGCCACAGAAGTTGGTGATAATATTTCCCCCGAATGAGGTCTATACAAGCAGCTCCTTAGGGAAAGGTGCTATTGCTGGCATTGTTGTGGCCTATGTCTTTCTCATCGCGGCTGCCGGCCTTGCTACAGTTAAACTCATTCACTAGCGGAAGAGAACTCCTCCATAGATGCAGAATTTGGCTACTACAGAGCAGATAATGACTATTGCTAATCAGGGCTTCCACAAACCCGAGCTTGAAGCTAACTCTTATACCGTCGGAGATCTAAGCGCCTACAATAAACAGAAATTAACTGGCTTTGAGAAAGGTATAGCTGAGATCGACGGGAGCAGCGCTGCAGAGTACCGTCTTTATATACAAACCAACCCGGCAGGCTTCCGCGCCGTGCAAACACCTCTGCTCTAGCCTAGCACCTATGCCGATTTGGGAACAAACGGTAGTGCGGAGGTTACTAGCACGAACCGAGTAGTGGCTGAGACAGAAGGGATTGCCTTACGAGCTGAGCTAGAGAGTACGGATGTGCACGACACCTAGAATACAAGGCACGAATTACCGTAACAAATGGATAGTTTTCAACGATCTACATATAATTCACAACCATACTTCAACAGCTTCGCATCCTCGAAATTTTACTATCCTATTACCCACTAGTATTATATAAGTAAGTACTATTTAAGCAACTATATATCTCCCAAAAATGGGACGTAGTCTAGAGGGACCTATATACCGGCAAGGGATATCGAGTGTCTAGAATAGGAGGTACTTCAACGAGGAGTACGGGTATTGTGTGGTAAGTCCCATAAGGCGCATTAGATATTAATTACTGCCAGCAACGCCAGGCTAGAAGTACGCCAAGTCTCTCTTAAATTTCAATGTCGACCTGACCTTCCGCCCCCGATATTCGAGATAATGTTGCAAAACTCGGTCACTTGATCAAAAACGTATGGTGGGGTCGACTTAGAGGGTATTGGGTCTGGTAGGCACTGATTGTCACTGATTGTCACTCTCTATATCTCGAAAGCGGCTATGGCCCCTCTGTATCTCTTTCAGGCGAGGTAGACTAATGTTCGGGTGAACCGGAAGTAGAATCATGATACCCACCTCCTAATCATAGAACCCAATGTAGATGACGCCAGAGAATATGGCCTGGCCTACCTTTATCGAATGAAATAGGGCATTCAAGCATTTGCACAAGGTTCGACACTAACGCTCCCCTACGCCGTTCCAGATGTAAAGCGTGCGTCAGGCTGAAGCGAGCAAACCACAATCGTAGAAGTCGAGGTCCTTCGACTAGATCATGGCACCGGAGGTGTCCGCCCGAGAGCGCCGTTTTGAAAAAGCATTCTCTGTAAGACATAGCATGCGAACACGGGAAATAGTCAACTAAAGGGTATTTTAGGTTAGGCTAGGTTTAGAATGCGACAACTTTCTCCGGCTCAAGGCTCATGGAGCTCCAATATCTATGGTCCAGCGTGGTTCACTAGTTCTCCATATAGCCTACGGCATCAACAAGCTCTACAGCTACCCCGAATGAAGTAAGCAATGTCCCTTCCGGCCACGTCTAGGCGCTCCTAGCGGCTGCAGACGTATCTGCTAGCTTTTCAGCTAATTAAAAATCTAAAAGCGACAAAATCATAATCAGGCTGTACGGTCTTACAGAATTGAGAGTGTGTCGCATATAGATAACAATTGGTGGACAGGGTCGGATGCAGAACCCTCCCCTTAGTTATCAAAGCTTATCAATAGGCTTTCTTTCAATCGAGGTAGACAGCCACAAGGGAGAATTGAACTGTGTGGGGAAGTATTAAGCTTAACTTAAAATAACTGACTCGCCGGGGCAAGGCATACGGCCCCTGCCCCACGTAATCCACTGATACAGCCCCCAACCCCCGGCCAGCCGGAATACTAGATGGCCAACGAAATGTGGTCCAGATGCTTATTAATGCCGGGGAAAATGTTAATGCTCTAGGAGGACGGCATGGCAATGCACTACAAGCGGCGTCAAGAGTAGAAGGAGCCGAGGTGATTGACCCTGAAATTCAGGTTATTTGAAATCCACAAGCAGCATCGGTCGTACACGGGCATGCAAGAGTATCCAGGCCTGCCGCTCTAAATCAGACTTTGACTGGCGGATAAAATCTTAGCGCTATCGCGACCCCCTTGGTCCGTTCCAACCCAGATATCCGGTGTGGCTTAAGCTCGACCGTTCTGACCCGCTTACAGTCCTAGTCCGAGGGTTATGCCAAATTCAGCTCCGATAAGTTGCTAAAACTGGAAGACGCACCTGTCTAAAGTCGGAGTCTCGTATTCCGCACTTTCAGCTGGATTCGACCTAATGCTTTGCTACTCTTGGCAAACAGAGGGAACCAGTCAAATTATCAGTCGATGTCACTGAAAACGACAGAAAACTCATCACCGTCTGGCCACGGTCGTAATGCATTCCTTTGGACTAGCGAGATCGATATCATTAGTGACCCCTGGCTTCCCCAGTCGAGCTAGGCTGCACGTCACAGATATCCTCCCCCGCAACCTCAACATCCTACCTCGCTTTTGTATAAGAAAACAATTTCGCGCCTGGCTGCCGCTGATCCACACCTTCATTCTCTAGCCACAGCCTGGCTCACTTGCAGATGGCAGGGTCACGGATCGTTTGGATTTTAGCTCTCAGTATCTGGAAGTGTACTGCGCTGGAACACGCCTCGCCAGAGATTCCTCGAGACCTCCAAGAGTACAACCACTTCGCGCTACGAATTGCTGAATATCATGCACTACCTTGGCAGGACTGGGCGAAAGACCACTTCTACCCCCGAGAGGCCTACGAACGTCAGATGGGGTTTTCAGATAACGATGCGGATGACGAGGACGATATGGAACCCACGCGAACTTTGCCGGAGGACAAAGTGAAGCACCTGCTCCCTCGGAGTACGTATACGTTCAGTTGCCCTACTTCTGTACAGTGCATCAACGGCGGCTGCTGTCCTGTAGGCGACTATTGTGCCATCAGAAACGGACAGTATGGTTGCTGTCCCATTGGTTCAGAATGCGACAATATGCCGATCCCCGGTTGCGCAACATCTTGCTTCGGTATCTGCTGTGACCTCGTCAATGGTTTGATCGGGCAGCCAAGTTGCTCACCGACACCGGGACTCGGGGGTCAAGCGTCCGGCTTGTGTATTGGTATCGCCCCTTCCTCCCCTCTCTACACGCCGCCGACCTCTTGTCCTGCGAATCAATTGTAAGCCGATCCTCTTGCCTGTTTTGCAATCGTAAAGTTTGCCCCTCGCGTTATTCCATCAACTTGCTGTCCCATCAGCGCGCCTTATTGGTACTCTCCAAAACTAACATAACTTCCATTCCCCAGTCTTTGCGGCGCCAATTGTTGCTCGAGCAACGCCGGTTTGGTATGCGACAATGTCACCATCCCCGGCTCGCCCTTCTGCAATGTCCCGGCCAACGTCTGTCCCCCCGGTAGCGCAAAAGTCAAACGGGCGGGGTCGACCACGGACGCGTGCCTGGCGACGACTGACACTGCAGCATTTGCAAGTGAAATTTCCCCTACGACATCCGCTACGACAGGCTTGATGACGGTCTCCATGTCGATGACCTCGGCGGGTGCGTCGTCGGGGCCGGCGGGGAGTACACATGGGACGGCTTCAACTACGAGCGGCGGGTCGAGCACTTCTCCCAGCGGTTCGGCGAGTGCTGCACAGTTTACCGGCGGTGCCCGGAGACAGTATCATGTGAATGGAGACATCATTTGGGTTATGATAGGTCTCGGGGTTACATTGGTACTGGGCATAGGAAGCCTTGTGCTCATTGTATGAGAATCTTCGAAAAGAGGACTTCCAGCAAATTGTTGGGCTGACTGGCCGATCGTATCGGCTTCCAACTGGTAAGTGCAGATTGCGATGGGCTACTACGAGAGAGCAAGCAAGAAACTCAAAGATACAGTCCCTTCTAGTTTAGCATAATTACGAGTTTCCATCCCTCAGCATGATAACGCACCTAGGAACAGAAGAACCAGGAGGCCCTAATTAGAACAATGTGACGCCATAATTACATATCAACAGCTGCCGTGGCTTCCCAAAGTTGCGTTAGGGTAGGAGTAGAAGTAGGAGATGAACTAGTCTCAAGTCCGAACGTCCTGGCTCTGGGCGTTCCTTGCATTGAGCCGCGCCTCATAGACGCTGCGGAAAACCGAGCGAACCTTTAGTGGCTTCTGAATGTCTCGAGAACACCACTTCCCCCACACCCTTTTCGCCTACGAGTAACGCTGTCCTAGCTGTTTCCGTCGCATTTTGGAAAGCAGAGAACAAGTGGGCTTAGGTGGAGAGGTGAGGGGTAGCCAGTCATGGCTCGCTAACGACAGCCGTCGCCTAGTCTCATTCGGCGCATTTACGAATATCGCCTAGCAACTCTTACTTCAAGTACCTTAGAGTCCACACTGAGTTCTGATGAGGATTGTCTTTGCAATTCTTTCGTCTCGGATCGCTGCCCAAACGTTGAGAATGCGGCGTCAGGCTCATTGCACCTGCGCCGCCATGACGATCTTACTCGTCCTTGTGGTTTGGTACGTATGCGAGTAACCCTGCGTAACTAGCACTGAATCAGGACTTAGGCTTAGGCCTGCTCCAAAGTTCGCTTCGTACGACTTAATATCCCCGTCAGCCAGATACGCTAGCGACGGGACCGGGATTGATCAGCTAGACAGCAATGTAAATCCCTCGAGCAAAGGAGCGCCACAATACTTTCTAGAGTCATATTCTCACCGAGATAGACGCTTCGCTGGGCCAACACGACTGTCCGACGCGGAACGACAACAGGGGCTCGCAAGGCTTGTCCGGGCCTATCTAGCAAAGATGGATCAATTGGGAATCGCCACCTGGCTGGCTCATGGGACGCTCCTGAGCTGGTATTGGAACCAGCATATTTTCCCGTGGGATGTTGACTGTGACATGCACTTACATTACTCTGGCCTTACATCCTTGGCTCAGTGCTGCAACGGTAGTATTCACATTGTGGACGAAAACAAGTATTTGTTTGATGTGAATGCATACATCCGTGAAAGGAACGGCACCCGGGACAGACGAAACGTGATAGATGCTCGTTGGATAGATCTGGAAACAGGCCTGTATGTCGACATAACGGCTGTATCGATTGCCGAAATTAGTGCAAACAATGAAACATCGGTCAACGTGGTCGAGGCGAAGGACGGCCATCAGTATCTTGAGAGCGATGTCTTCCCGTTAGAACACACCACATTCGAAGATACGGAGGTTCTGGTACCAAAGAACGCAACAAAGGTCTTGATTCGAGAATATGGCCGCAAGGGACTGACGCTCAGATTCTTCAGAGGGTAACGAAGACCAATTCCTTCAGCTTACACAAAGACTAATGGCCAGTAGATATATGTTCAATTATGACGTGAAGGAATGGATTCCGATACCACTTGATAAGACAGTCGTCCCTGTATCCTCGTGGATAGGGTGAGGAGCTCTGTGCTTAAGATTATCGTGCTTGACGGAGGTGGTGGTGAAGTCAGGGTTAGGCGGTCCATCGTAGGTACTTGGTCGTTCTCGAGTGCGGTCATCCTTGATTCCCTAGGAAGCTGTACCTGAAGTAAGAATGCAGAAAGTCCGTGAGTCTAATCACATCGCCATCAAACAAAGTCATTTTTCGAACGGTCAAATGCACTGTTCCCCTGACTGGCGCCCGATGATAGCTGCAGCCTGTTCGGTCTGTTGTCTTCCTTTGCCCATCTCGCCTGTCTCAAGCCAGCGGTTTGAGGTATTGTCCGTCTCCCTCCGCCTTATATTGTTAATAGTGACGAAAGTAGTTGCCCGGGTGAGTTACGACTTTGCTGAATTGATTCTCCTGGACGGCCATGGAGCGAATCTTGCACGTCATATCCCGTAATTGACCTCGGTGAAATTTCCAAACTCGACCGGAAACTACCACCTCTAGCTGCTGCTGAACAGTAGGCTCGTAGCAATCTTCCGGGCGTCCGGATACTTTTCACGAGGACGTAATATTTTGACCATACCCGACGGTGAGCCACTTTCGAATTGGGTTAGTGCGCGCTCGCAGCCTCCAGCCCAAACGAGTCACATCACGAAATCTTCGTTTACGGAGGATTCGTATACTTGGATTTCTTGCTCATCTGTCATCTCCTCCTTATCTTCATAGTAATCATACAGCTTCTGCCTTCCTTCTTCGAGCTTATCTCGTTGAGAAACCTATCAAAGCCAGATTAGAGGAACTAGTTATATGATTTCATTTATAGAGGCCGTATCGCTCGGGAGATTATTACTTATATTATTAAACACCTTATATATAGAATAAGGACACGACATTGGTATCGAAATCAGCTTCGTGCGTAAGGTGTTTGTGAAAATGAGTGCAAGGCAATCGAGCTGAGAGACGGAAATATCCTGCCTGGTGCAACAAGTTATTAATATTTTCATTTCCTTCACGATATGTTCGCTTGCCGTAGCTTGAAGGAATCATTGAACAAGCAGCTGTGGCTTGAAAGCATAACTTGTTCCATTTATCCCTTTCGTGATTTTCTTCATGGATTGATTTCTTGTTAGCCCCGCACCCTCCGGCTGATCCCATCGGCGGGAGTAGGTAATTTCACGCTGACAGGAAGACGCCATGACAGGACAGGACTGGCACGTCCACAATCATGCATTATATCAGTGCTGGCTCCGATAAGTTGGCTAACCGGTGAAGAGATCGGATGAATGACTTGAAGGGTAGAAAGAAAGCTACCGAGCGAATAGTCATGGTGCAGGACGACGGACTTTGTGGGACTGTGGTAAGCACTTGCCAACTTGCGTCTTTGAGTACCAGCGAGCTACTTAAGTATTTTTGCTGCTGATCACGTCCTCTCTACTCTGGCACACCATCTTTCCATATCTCCGCCTATTCGATCTAATGGTCAAAGGACGCGGTCCTGGCTTATACCCAAATTGCCTATATACTCCAAGTACCACACGCCGTCGTCAACATCATGATACCCTATCCGACTTCCAATGTCAGAACTGTGACAAGGTGGCGCCTAAACATCCACAAGCCCAACACAAATGTACTGAGGGTCATCAGTTCGGAGAGACTCCGATACTGCCACATCAGCCGCCTCAGTCTGCAGGTCCCAACAAGTTGAAGCCTTGTTGGTGTACGAGATGGCCCCTTAAATGCAGTAACTCAAGACCTGATTTACCTTGCGGCTCGTATCCAGCCGGAAAAGACCGCATCAGAAATTAAGGAGCATTTTCGCACTGGCCTTGATGATGCTATCCAAATAGAATGGCAGAACACCCTGAATGGGACGACCTAGCCTTATTTGAATACATCAAGTGTGCTGATCGACAACAACAGGTTAAGACTGCTAAAGTATATATCCGTAAGAGAGTGGGACAACGTGGAACAGGTCGTATCCTTACTCTCTCTAGAACACCTCGTCGAGGTAATGCACGGAAACCAGCATATTTTACTATGGCGTATACTACCGCGATACCCAGTAAAGGTACGAAAGAATAGCGGGACTGGTATCGAAAGAATGCTACTTGCTTTGGAGACCTTACAACGGTCAGGGGGGATTATAGGTAGATGGAGGAGTACTACAGACGACTGGGTCAGCAACCCAACGGTAGAATCAAAAGGATTCTGACCAATTCGATCGATTACGCAAAGTAGAACAAGTCTACACCCTTAAGGCGTATCTATAGGATACCGTTACCTATCAGTTACGAGGCACTACGAGTACAACTCAAACTTCCGTATCTATACGAGTCCTAGTTGACTCGAGGGCTACGGAGCAGTACCTTTCGACTGATATTGCTCGTAAGCTATAGGTAGAAATCGTAATCGACTCTTTATTATGTTAGGTTTAAGTTATTGAAATAACAATCTCGTCGGTGGGTCTGAGGAGACGGTGGAGTCAAGAGCATGAGCATCCATGTCGGGCATTAATTGTTCGGTGTGATGATCAAGAGTATCCGCACTACTAGATGCATGTAATGAGGTACGTAGGCTGTAGGGAGGACGGATACTGCAGGCCGAGATGAACAAGTGCCGACGAAGAGGGACACGGAGTTTGTTGGTATGATGGTCACAACGGTGTAGTGCTTTGATCTTCACGCGGCCTGTTTCTGTCGGGTCTGTAGAGCTGCCAGTGACAGATGGATGGATGGATCTGATCAACGAGTGATGAATGCCCAGCCTCGTGTTCGTGTATCTTTGTGTCGCCAGCGACTTGACCAAGCCGAGGTGTTCTTGACGAGACTCCTTGATTTTCTTGCCGGCCGGCAAGAGAAAGATGTTGGACAATAAAGGCGAAGACCCTGCAAGGACGAGAATCGGGAACAGCCGCATCATGCGCTCGATGTTGGCCACCAAGGCATTTTGTCGGCCGGATTTGAGGCCGTCGAAGGACTCTCCGAACGCCAGATCGCCAATCAGGTCGAAGGTTGTGAACGTGTACCATCGCACCATGTTCGTTGACTGGCCCTGGCTCTTCGCAGCGACTCCGTGGAGCTTGTCGATGAGCATGTCCACGTACACGCGGATGAGCGGCTCTTGTTCATCGAGCGCCTTCTTCGAGAACGCCGGCAGCATCGCTCGGCGCAGTCGAAAGTGGTCTCGGGCACTCGATGAGATGATCTCGCTTGGCTGGCCATCCTCGCCCTTGCCCGAACCTGGCGGGGAAATATTTCGGCAGCTCGGCATGGCCGTGGGCGTAGATGTCTTTCCATGCTTGACCAGATGTGAAGGTCAGCTCGTTCGGGGCGATTCGAACCCGGGGGCCGTATCGATTGTGGAAGTCGCGGATCCTGGAAGTCTTGCTGTCCACGAAGTTGTGCGAAGCTTCAGAGAACGGGGAACGCTATCCATAGCTTTGGGCCTTTGAAGTTGCGCAGGGGATGGAAGTAGAGGTTGTAGATGGCCAGCGCAATGCTGGAGATGATGTTTGCGGCTATCAGAACAAGAAGGACATATAGTGGTATTTGCCAGGAGCTTTTAAGCGGGCTCTGGAAGTATATCCCCATGAGTGAGGGTATTCACGGCGCCGGCCAGGGAAATGCGAGATGCGTGACTTTGGAGAGTAGGGATGAGGATCTCGTCAAGGCAAGGCGGACCTGTAACTACAAGTTAAATGGACAATGCAGGGGATGGTGTACTAGTACTAACTTAGGCTACATGATTGCCGTCGAGGGCATCTGGACGATCTAAACGCTATTACTACTACCTGGGCGCTTGAAGCGTGCAGTTATGCATTTTCAGGGGGCGATTGTTTCCACCGTTGAAGTCCTGGTGCAGTCTCCCTGCATGGATGGGGCGTCTTTTGTGGTTTCACTTATGGTTGTGGAGCTGCTCTCGTGTGCGTGTGCGTGTGCGTGTTCGTGTTGTCTTTTCTGGGATGGGACTCGATACGGCCTTGGGGTCCACTTACTAGCGGGTACTGCATGGACTTACTTGTCTCCGGAGGGGGTACTACGAGTGCGCAGTATGGCATGGTAGGGTAGGGGGTGGTGAAGATAAATACTGCTTTTTAGTTCTTGTTCGCATTCTCCTACTCGTACCAGTATATCTCCGAACACGACGAGGCACCAAAATTGAAAAAGGCCCGATTCCCGATAAATTTGTCAATCCGTATCTAAATCTTCTATCATCGCAGTAGGAGATGGGGACGATACCACCTGAAAACCCCGAGTGACGAGGCGCAGGCGCATGTGCAAAGCAAAGCAAAGCCAGGCAAACAATAACATCAACTGTGACTGTCCCTGAAGAGCTGGAGCTGCTTCCTCTCCTCCGCGTGCTCGTGTCTGCCTCCTGGCAAGGAGTCACCCATCCTACCAACCTCCAGTACTGTTCCTTGAGCCCTCCACCCACTGTCCACCCACTACCTCTTTCAGATCTGGGTGTCAAATACTCCGAATCTGCTTCAGCCTTGCGGGAAATACATCGTTGCCTAGATGTCATCTCTAACATCCGACAGGGTCCGCTGCAGAACGACCGGGGATGCTCGGATCTGTAAACTGCAATGGACTGCACGGCCTTGCACAGACACACTCGGTCTCTCGCTCGCCAAGATGGTCGAGGCATATCGACGAAACCTTTTCTTCTGCTCAGGTACCGAGATAGGGCTGGGGCTGGGGCGCCTATTCCTAGGAGAATACGTATCTAGAGTTTCAGTATGCTTTCATGTCTGCACCAGGAGGGGGGCATATAAGCCTGCAAGATCCTGTCAAACGGGGGAATGCTGCCTCACAGATTTCCCACCCAGGCCGGTTCAGCTCAGGTCCAGTCCAGTCCAGTCCAGTTCATAACATTCATTCGTGCAACAGTCCAGACGCACCCACGTTCTCACAACCTGACTCCCAGGAGACGGGATACCAGACAGCCCTAAGACATAATGGCCTTCTTCGACCCCAAACACAAACTCAAGGTCCACATCCTCCAGATTATCCTGATCCATGTTGTCCTGGGCCCCTCCGTGCCGCGGCTATTCATGAAAGGCCAACCAAGAAGCCGCGCAAACACAATCGCTTTGGGCATGGTGAGTCCCAGTCCCAGACCCATTTCGAACACCACCACCACCACCACCTTCCCTCTTCATAGCCTGGATCTGAAGTATTGACCAAGATGTTCTTTTGTTCCGCAGGGGGGCAAATCCATGATCATCATATCCTACCAGATCTTGACAGAGCACTTCGCCAGGTTTCACAAGTGGAGGAGCATCGAGGCTTATGCCATTCTCAACGGCTTGGAAGTCATCTTCTGGGCCGCCGTCGTGTTCCTGGTCATTCAGGCAAACATACAGGTCTGCGTTGGCATCGGCTGCACCCTGAGTTTGATCTGGGTCGGGGTGTCAGTCGTCATAACGTACGTGCTCTCAATTTTTCCCTGACTTTTCAGAAAACTGACGCATGTCCCGCTGCAGCATCGTTGCCGTATACATGGCGATCATCTCGTATGTCCAGTTCCGAGTGTCCCGAATGCACAAGGAGACCCCAAGGCGCGGAGGGTCCTGAGCAGTGGCGAAAATGGTCGGTCGATGGACACGTTTGCGAGTGGACAAAACAAATGAAGCCGAAGGCTGATCGAGATGGTGTGGCATCTTGGGTCTGCGGAGGCTGGAACTCCCTGGAAGGTTGGTTGTACTTGAAAAAGGCTTCTGGTGGTAGGTTCGGCATGATCAAGCGTTGGGTGGCAGAGATGGCGTCAAACAACGGCGTTCTCGATAGTCTTTTATGGTCATGCCTGATGAACTTAGGGGTATAATAGTCGACGACTGTTTGGTTGGATGTATTGGCCGGATAGAATTGGAATGGAAAAGGCGTAGGACGTCATCATCTTGTTCATCGTTCAAAGACAATGACCATACGGCCGTGTAGAAAAGACAGGAAGTCACGCAGTGATAAGGAGGAAGAGGCCAAGATGGGCCTGTTGACCCCTACGGCAGTGCGGGTTCTTGACCAGACAGCTCTTTCGACGTCTAGACGGCTCTAGATAATGACCTGCATTTCTGGTGTTTGCAATTCTCGAATCCTTGTCATCTTGGTGACGACGGTCCTTCCAGGATCACGCCATCGTCCCATACTCGACGTCTTTTGCAAGAATCCAGCACTGACTGCCTGCGCTCTTCGTTTGGCCAGAGTAAAAAAGACAAGGAGTTCCGAGTTGATTCGGCAGCCTTGTACACGGACTTTGCGACCAGCCACAAAAACATGGTGAACAGCGCCACCTTAGGGCCAGGCCGGCCTTATGTCTTGTGTGGGAGACACAACATCCTCAACCAGTGCTATCATCTAAGCAACTCTTCTTTCCAATAGGCTTCGAAGTCGGCCATTGATGCAGCAGCGACGTGACCACAATCCATCACTAACACATCATGATCGACTGTGTGACACTTTCCAAAGCTAATCCGATCAGATGGGTCCAAATCATGACCAGCAACAACATCTACCGCAATGGGCTTCTTTGAAATGGGAGGCTCCCCCGGGCGACTTTTCGGAACCTTATCTCCACGTGGATAGACAATACCGTGCGCTTGCAGCTCCTCCTGGGAAACAGGCTTCTTGGCCAATATTTCCTCGTTGTAAGTATAGACTGGCACACATAAGCTTTAGCCTTGCCGCTGTCTTACAACGATCATGCGTCGTCTAGCGAGTATGTTCTCTCTGTCTCCGCTCATCAATTCTCCCGCCCTCCAAAGGATTGAGAAGTACCTTCCCGGGACGAAAAGTGCTCTGCACGCGCGGACCTAACGACTATCAGGTAGAGCTGTGAGCGAAACTGTGTTATGGGCGCCGAAATCTGGGAGCCTGTTAGGAAGGGCTGTGGTTTTTCCACTGTATGAAGACGTCCCGGGAGTTTCTGCGTGATCATCGCTCGGCTCTGCGTACATTTCGGAGAATTGGTCTCTCAAGGTCTCGTATAGGAAGTTGTATTCTGCTTCGTTCATGTCTAGTGTCGTTCCTTGTTCACGGATTTGTCTGACTGTGGTCCATATGAGGTCATCTTCGTTGGGATTGGAAATATCGGATGCTCTGTGTAGAAGGATCTCTTCCTGCCACGACGACTCGATGAAGTTTTCGGTCTCGAGTTCTTCTCGTAAAAAGTCCAGTGCGACCCAAGTCTCGGCCAGGCCAGCATTGGCAGTGCCGCAAACAACTCTTGGGGAGTTTCCCGCGACGGCTCTTGACGTCTTCATGAGCTCTAGCAGCGGCGCGCGATCCTTATTTTTGGTAAACTGGACGTCTGGCCACAGGTAGTGCTCAACTAGCTTGCATTGGTCGTCAATAGTTAGCTCGAGCCTCTGTACCTTACAGTTCATGATCGAGTCGTAGTGAATAGATAATATCTCAATAGAAACCTGGCGCGAGGATTTATTTTCTCTGGTTTTCTGGGGTCTGAAGTCTATGTTATGAAGGTTAGTGCAACTGTCCGTGTCATAAATCTGGGCAGACGCTACCGTAGGACGTAGGCCCAGCTTCAATTAGTACAGGTAGTTGGTCGCCTTGATCTGCTTCACTCCTGCCTGCAAGGTCTTGTAGAATCATGAGCGGCTTCCGCGTATCCACCGGAAAGTACCGAACGCGTTTGTCTTCTTTAGCCTCTCCCAGGGTGACTACCACCGCACAACTTCCTGAGGTCTGCTGCATAACCATATGCCAGAAGCACGAAACGCATGTATCCGCGGGATATTCTGCGACGACATATTTGCTTTCGGTCCCGGGTTTTGCCAAAACCTTGCCAGGCGACAGGCGATACCTCGGCGTAAGGTCGATGACAGAGAATTCGATATGACCGGAAGAGCTGACATGCTGCTCGAGTGTAGACCTTGGAACATCCGAAAGATGTTCTTTGCGGGCCCGAGGTCGAACAAGAACGTCCCCTCTTTGACCAGGTCGCCATTGAGACGTCTGAGTATTGTGAGACACAATGTGAGTACGGCTTGGACGCTCCAATCCAAGAGCTTGATATGCAAGTGATATCTCTAAGTTTGACGGCGTCAGAGTATGCCAGCGTTTCGGTAGTATCAAACTCACCCTCTCTATTCTTATTCAGCCAATATGGTGTGCTCGCGATGGACCGAGGCTCAACAATCTTCTTGCCATCCTTCGACTCATCGGACGTTGCAGCGTCGAAGGTCTCAAGTAGATTGGTATCGGGAAACAGTAACGGACTGGAACTTCCGAGACCTTGGGGACCTCGGTCGCTCTGGATGGAAGAGATGCTTGGCGCTGTCTGCATACCTCTACTGTCGGCGAAATATGGTTCCTCTTTGAAAGAAAGCTTTGCTGTATCCAGAGTGCCAATGGGCAGAGCATGTTCTTCAAACACCCCTTCCATCGGCTGTGCATCCGACCTGAGCCAAGCAGATATTCTCTCGTGCGCTTCGTTCAGGCCTTGAGGCTCGCAACCGGCCGCACCCCAAGGAAGTGACAGTAGTGCAAATGTGTGGACGTGCTCGGCGATATGATCCCAGTCTGGTGGCCGCGCTTCGGAGGGATGATCTTTACTCGGACCACACAAGGGACAACAAGTTGGCGGGCTTGAGAGCGATAGCAGAGAGCTGTCGAGAAGCGTCTGCATCTGGTCGACTGTGACGAATTCTGCATGATCCTGGAGGTAATGAGCAGATAGGTCTGACTCAGTTCGGTATTCTGGGCTCTCGTCGCATATCAAACAGAACCAACCTTCGGACGCGGAGTGTTCTTCTCCCGCCATGTGATCGATCCACGCCCGGCGGGTGACGAAAGTTGCCTCAGCCCGTGGGCAGTTGTCGGAGATACAAGTGTAAGGGCATATGTCCTCAGCAAGATGTCTTCTGTGAGATAGTCAGTCCATGATGTTCACTGCCCGATGTTGAGACTCTCACAGCCAGCGATGACCCACTGCGATCGCACGATCGAGTGTCTGACAACAGCAAGGACACCTAAAAAATTTCACACCTGGCTGGATTTTGGGTGGGTAGGGGTATCGGATCTTTGAAACAGTCGACGTTATCTGGGAATCTGTTGCTGGCAGCCGTTCCTCTAGTAACTCTGTCACAGTTTCCAGCTTAGTCGCGGTCGAATCATCGGCATATGGTTCTCGGTCCTTCAGCACACCTCTCTTCTGGTCTGGTAAAGTCTGGGGAGGGCCAGTTGGCTGATCAAGATGAATAGTATTGAAATGGCCGACTTCATCTTCTACATCCTGTGCCAGGCCACCTTCTGCTTCTTCGATGAAATGCGGTGAATCCTCTTGAACTTGTGCTTTTGTACGTAAGTTTTGGGCATGCTTTCGCGCGTACAGGAAGCGGTTCCGCCTGCGTAAATTAACATTGATCAACCGGAGCTGGATCGGGGTCAATTGATCGTGAACTTCGACCGTAGTGTCTCCATGCTTCCTCTTCTGAATCTGGATCCAAAATCTAAGAAATGCTTCGAGCTCTGAGTGCTCAGAGAGGTCGAAGCGTGAGTCGGCCTTCTGCAAGCGCTGTTGTCTTTCAGTCCGTCGCACGGCGGCGCCCAGATCGTTAAGTTGGCCGATCACTGAATCGACGCCCATCATAGCATCGACAAGTTGGTCTTTTTCGCATTGAGGATGAGCATCTGGTTCGGACGCCGCACTGGATTGATCGGACCAGGGAGATATAGACCGAGAAGCCCTCGACACTTGGTGCTGTTCGGAGGTCCAGGGCCTCCCTCGACCTTTGCGAGTAGATAGTTGTTGGGCTCCGCGTGCTTTCCAGTAAGGGTGCGTCACAGAAGCATCGGCTGAGGTGATTATGCTCAGCGACTGGCACTCTTCAAGGAATGTTAGCAACATCTCTAGAAGGCGGAGAAAGACGTCGAGGAGTGCAGGCTTTTCACGGAGGCGAGCATCCAGCGAGATTTTGTCCCCATAACCCGCGGTTGCACCAATTCCAGACGCCCACAGATTGAAGTCGGCGAGTCTGTTCTCGGCCCATTCGCGCTCCATCAGGAGCGGGGTTGCGAGGCATTGATTCAGTGAGAGGCGACATCGTTGTGTTGCAGCAGAAATAGTCACAACACCTTGTCCTGGCTTGGATGAACCGCGTGGCATGTCAAAGTATGGGCCTAGACACAAGACGTGTTGATCGGCGTCCAAGACCGACAGTACTGCTCATTTTTGAAGTAGCGATGAGGTGTATAGGGAAGGAGGAGGTTCCCCAGGCTGCCGCAGAAGGTGTTACAGCTAGGTGGCCGGTGAGTGGCACGTGTTTGATGAGGCTGATGAGGCTGGAAGATTTAGCGCGGGGTTGCTCCACAGGGTTTAGCGGGCCGTCGAGCCGCCTCGGGACCCCGCCTGGATGTCAACCTTGTCCCACACTTTGTTCTCTCGATCATCACCTTGAGTTTCTCGCTGCTCAGCCTTTCTTGTCTTACGCAGACACTGTGGTGTCACGTCGAAAACAGGACGGGCACAGAGCCCAGGGCCCCATGGCTAGCAACAGCCTTGATGAGGCAGAACTGCTTCAACTCGCCCCACAAGCTTTACTCGCTGTGGCACGGGTGGCAACCGAGATTGGTGCCAAAAGGAGGGACCGCCATTTTGGAACTCTGGGAGCTGAACTGGCGGTCCTCTCCCAAGACCTGGAGACCTACGACTCCCCTCTGCAAAAGGAGAAGATCAGGAGCAGGATAAGGAAACTCCTAGTGGCGGTCGAACGAGCTTGCGCCGTACGTAGTTCAGTTTTGCCGAGCCTGATGAGGCTATTGTGCTGATGGGCCCTTGTAGTGGCCACGAACAGAGCCCACCCAAGACTTTTCTCTTCTTGAAAGGCTTGGAGGCCTTTCGCAATCCGATCAGCAAACTCTGAGATATGTGGAGCGGGGATTGGTGGCATACGCCTCTGATAAGCAGCTCCAAAGACTCATCCAGCTGATCAAAGGCTTTACCAGTAGCCTGGACAAGGCGCGAAGGGATCAGATTCCGGATTCGACCCCTGCCACAAAGGTTCTTGATAAAGCGCTCTATGATAGCGAGTATCCGAAGCATGTCAAACAGCAGCTTTATCAGACCCTCCGGAAGTATGCAAAGTGCGACTGCCTGGTCGAGGCGAATGACCCAGATGATGTCGGGTGGTATAAGAAGCACATGTCCAACTTGCGTCTGAGGCCTTGCCGAGACCTTGAGGCGGGGGTTGTTTGGTTTGATATGCTGTTCTCATCACAACCAGCAGTGACACCTCTTCTCGAACATCTTGGGTGGCAGCATTTGAAAATCCAAGTCTCCAGGTACGTCAGGTGCGCACCATTTGAGTCTTTCCTGCTCTGAACACAGGCAAGTGAAAAGGAAGGAGGGAAATCAACCCCCCTCTGTTCCCCCAACAATTCCTCGGGTCTTTCTGAGCCAAAGACCACTGCGATCATGGAAACCGAGTTCTGCAGATACCTACAACGCCCTTCTGGCTCGCAGATCTGCCTACGAGTGCACAAAAGCCAGTTGTTGCTGCTTCAGAACTGCCTACCTTTGGAAGCGAAGATACTCCCATACCAGTCCTTGTCGCTTTCGGAAACACTGCAGGTCAGATACATGTCCAATAAGATGAAGGTCATTCTCGCCTACATCATTGCAAGATCTGTGTGGGAATTTTACGATTCGGATTGGATGTCGAGACTCTGGAGCGCCGACGACATTCAGTTTATGCAGGAGCCGCCGCAAGAGAGTGAAAGCGAAACCCTGATATTCATCAATAGACCATATTTATCCGTTCGGTGGGGAACTCCGGAGCATGGTCCCAGCGAGTCTACCGCCAGTATCGGGCAGATCCATCGCTTTCCGAGGATTTTGTCACTAGGCCTGATGATGGTTGAGATTGGCGCTGGAAAGCCCCTCAAAGAACTGTTTGCAAAACATCAGGATAATGTCAACGCGGATTGGCTAGCTGCGCAAGAATTCTTGTCCAAAGCCAAGCCTTGTGATGACTTTGATTACAGAAGATACTGGGACGCTGCCCGAAGTTGTATCTGCAATCAGTTCTTCATCATGGGTTCCGCGTCAAACATCGTGAGCCAGTCATTGACAGATATCGATGGTAGGCGCAGGATGATCCTGGATGAAGTTGTGCGGCCATTGGAAGACCTTCTTGGTGGCACTGGCTGGATAGATGAGCTCAGGACGGTCGAACCGACAAAGTCACTGACCTCCAGGTAAGTTTGATCAGCTCCTTTGCGACATCAAGCAATGCTCATACTTCCAGCAGTTTGCCAATGGAGAAACGACAAGTGTCCACTAATAGTACTAATGCGCAGTCCGACCTAGCAGGCATCTTGGAAAAACACAACGTTAGCCATTCGGCATCTCAACAACGTTCTCGTGGCGGATTGCGCTTCGAGGTTGCAATTGTCTGTGCTCTTCCCCTCGAGGCAGATGCGGTTATCTCATTATTTGACGCGCACTTGGACGAGAATGATGGATTCTGCGGCAAGGCTGCTAAAGATCTTAATGAATACACTGCCGGCCGCATAGGTCGGCACAACATCGTCGTCGTCCACATGCGGGACATGGGTAAGGTCAACGCCGCTAGCGTTGTCCACGGTCTTCGCACAAGTTTCGAGCATATCCAGCTTGCAATAGTCGTGGGCATCTGCGGCGGAGTTCCTTATGACTCACGTAGCAAGGAAGATATCTTCCTGGGAGATGTCATCATAAGTCGCTCACTCATACAATACGACTTTGGAAGGCAGCATACAGGCGACTTTGTCGCCAAGGACAGCCTTCAAGGCGGCTCGGGAGGACAAGCTGTGGAAGTCGGATCCATGCTATCAAAACTGGAAACACAATATCACCGGGATCGATTCGAATTGGACACGGAACACTTCCTAGAGACTCTGCAGCGGAAGTCCAGAAAGGCAAGGTATCTCGGGGCGGAAGCAGACTGTCTATTTAAGTCCTCTGCGTTGCATAAACACCACCAAATAGGATACTGTCCAATGTGCGCATCCTCAAAAGCGACTCGTATCTGCGAAGATGCCGTTGCTGGCAGTTGCGAAGAGATTGGGTGTGTGAGGGACGACTTCGTCAGGCGGATCAGACGTGAAGGGAATCTTCGAAACGACAACGGCCCCCCGAGGCAACACTTTGCACCATCAGTCCATATCGGCAGAATAGGGTCCGGTGACACTGTGATGAAGTCGGCTACGCATAGAGACGAAATTGCTCGCAGACATGGGGTTATCGGGTTTGAGATGGAAGGCGCTGGCATTTGGGACTTCTTCCCAAGCCTGGTCATCAAGGCTGTTTGTGACTACGCCGACAGCCACAAAAACAAAGAGTGGCAAAACTATGCTGCCGCTACAGCTGCAGCTGCCACAAAAGCCTTTCTCAAACAATGGAGGTCGGATATCGAGCCCAGCTCGGAATGAAATAGTATGCACGTTCTTTCAGCTGCCGATGCACTAGCACCACGTCAGGTGGTCACAAAGAAGAGGATGAGCGGCAGTACCTCCGAGCAAATATCCAATACTTGAACAGACACCTTGCAGGTTTCAGCCAGTGAGACGAGAGCAATACGGGTTGGTAGTAGATGTTCAGTGTTCTAGCAACGTAAGCCGTTCCGTCTGGGGGCCAATGAAGATGATCATGCTATTTTCGATATGCATTGCTACGAAAACAACCTGATGCACCTTCTCCGTCACCACAGGCTGTTAGCTTCACCATGAAACGTGAAGATGCTTTCTTACTACATCAGGAGTAGCATTTGTTGCAGTTCGTAGGGCATCTGAGAGTCGAAATGGCACTGTGGCCTTACCAGCCTGGAGTATACATCGGGTTCCACGGCATCGTGTTCCAACTTGATTGATCCATGTTGAAGTTCGGTGTGGCCGGTCCGGGCAAGCCAAGATAGCCCCCCGGAGCCCAATCTGCGAAACCAGGCACGCCTATTGAGCCATAGCCGGCAAAGTCCATCGGTATAGGCAACGAAAGGTCTTCAATGTTTGTGTTCGCAACGCCGCTGGACTGTTCAGTTTCACCGGCTGGAGCATTTGATGCCAGTTGTGCCAATTTGCTTTTGATGTCCGCCACGATCCGGGGTTGGTCCAAAGGCTTGTTCAGTTGTCTTGACGCGGCCTCGCGTGCGTCCCAGGCCTCGAGGACAGTTCCAGAGAAAATCTTGAAAAGCGGGTTGTCTCCCTGTACAACATCCTTGAAGCGGGCGTCGTAGTTGTTGTTCATCGTGTCCCAAGCCTTTTCGGTGTGTTCTTGAACAGGCCGCCTTTTCAGGTCTTGGACGATGTAGACGTACGCAGGGAATGGGAAGTAGTTGTGGACATACCAGACATAGCCCCTGGAAAGAGGTGAAGTCATAATCATCGTATCGCACTCGAGCATGGTCATGGCGTACGAAACAGCAGCATCTCGCTGCATGTCAGTCTGCTGGCCTGACGACCGTGACTGTTCCAAATAGTTCTCGAGAAGACGGTTTCTTGCAAAGTAACCTCGCGTTGTCCAGATCGTCATGAAGTGAAGCGGGTTTTCTGGATTGCAGAGTCCGAGGTACTTGGATTCCATAGCCGTTTCCAGGGCATTCAGCTCGTCATTTTCAAGATCCAGATTGTCATGGGTACCCTTGGCAATGGCCTTCAAAGACGGATTAGTGAAGTCCAGATGAAAGGTACTGTGGCGGATGAATTCTCCAAGTTCGCCGCGCATGACGGCAAAAAGAGCCTCGGTGGGCCGTTCGTGACTTGGTGGCAGAGTTTTCATCTCTGGCCGAATATCGAAATCGTTCAAACTTTGAGGAATTTTGCAGTTCCAGGTAGGATCTAGCATCGTGGTCTTGCCATCGGCCAGCTCGCAAATGCGATGGTCGAAAGTAACCAGCGACCACCATAGTCTTCGGCGCATCTCAGCCTCGAGAGCAGTACATCTGGCATTCATCGTCTCGGTGTGGATACCTAAGCGCTGAGCGATGCGCATCGCAACTCCTAACATCGAGGAAACGGAACGGGGATCGGTGCCGGGTCTGAGCGATAACTAGAACGGTCAGCGGAATATTATGTTGGCCTCACCAAAGGGGCATCTGTACCAGGTAGAGATACAACGCTATTAGACAGTTACGATCGTCGGTCCGTAAAACCTCACACTTCAATAGAGCTTGCTCGCATCCAAACTGATAGCTCTGTAGAAGATCGTCCTTGGGTGATGCAAACAATGTGCGACATTCATCTTCCATGAGACTCAGAACAGAGGTGCAATAAATCCCAAACATAAGCGCTTCCAACGTAGGGCTGATATTCGTGACATCGCTGGCAGCGTCAATGATGCGCGTTTGGAGGGTTGGGGTATGCGTGATTTTGAGTAGAGGGTCGACGTTGTCCAGGTAAATCTGCCAAAGCCTGAAGATCTGAGCCTGTTGCGGGTGTAAGGCGGACAGGTCGACGTTTGCCTTGGGTGAGCCAAAGAGAAAATTATCTTTGCTTTTCGACGCATGAGCCCACGCTTCCTTAAGCACATCCTCACGCACAGGACGGCGGGGATAAGGACCGTCGATATCACCATGTGCAACATCGCTGTGATCGTCAATATGTCTGTCTTCAGGATCCTCGGACTACAGTATCCTCTAATGTCAGATCTTGGATTTCTCAGTAGGCTGAACGTACCCTTTGATGCATGGCATGCCAGAGGTTTCTAGGAGATGATTAGTTCGTCTCGAGGTATAGATACCTGGGAGAGATCCTTACCTAGCCTCGTATACTTTGCCAGACTCAACGCGACTCTTCGTGGCTGACGGGCCGTCTGTCCCAACAATTGATCCTGACGGCGCATCGTCCGGGAAGTCAGCATCTCTGCCGTCCTCGCTACGGGAAGTGTGATCCGCGGCATAAGTGTGCATAGGCTCGAAGTTGATATTGTTCTGACGGAGAAGGCTTTCATACCGCCGAAGGCGGTCCAACAGCTCTCGTTCGGGAAATCTTCGACGCCTTTGGCGCGGGTTTAATGTGGCTTGGACACATTGCGCGCTGTTCTTGACACAATTTGCGCATGGAAATTGGCGGCTGTTTTGTCGTTAGCATTGCGATTATGCTGCGGAATCACCAAGACGGTGCAACACCGACGGGGGCTCCAGCGAGACTCACTCGCATTTAATTTTCCGTTTTTGACATAATACACAAGCAAGCACGCGCTGCGGCGTGATGGTCGCTTGCGAGGAGGCAGTTCCCGAAGGCACGTCGCCTGAAGACCTCGGTTCCGGGGTTGACATGAGAGCGAAGGACGACTTACTGCTGACATGAGAATTCTGGTCTACAACGGACCGCAAATGCAAAGAGAGATGAAGAGATGTCGTGACACGGATTCACAGAGGGTTCGGGCTTTTGTCATGTCCGAGCAAGACCTCAAGGTGATACTGTCTTTGGTTCGATACTACGTAAGTAAGTCCACAGGTCCGCCAGGAGCCAACAGCGAGCCGTGCAAGCCTACCACCACCAACGCAGGTGCCAATCTCGGGTGATTCTACAAACCCGAGGCACCCAGCTGCGGAGTATTCCTCTCTCACAGACTCCGGACGGCAGAAACCTCTCAACCTCCCAACTTCATCGTTCGCGTACACTCGTGGTTCTATAAGATACCCCGTCAAATCGAGATGGCTATAAAAGCAACGTCCTCCCCTGGGCCGGCTCATAGTAGCCAGATATCTCTAGTAAGCCTCGCGTCGTCTCTTCTTCGCCCAAATCTCCCCCAATGTCTTCCACAGATTCAGTACCAGAAGAGCCTCAGCAGCAACGGCCCTCCGACCCAGACGACGAGTATGCAGATGCCGAAAAGAACTATCAACCCAAGACCCTCAAGTTCTGGATCGTCATCCTCAGTGTATACATGTCCATCTTTCTCGTCGCGCTGGATCGAATGATCATTGCAACCGCCATCCCAAGCATCACGAACGAATTCCACTCAATCGAAGACATCGGTTGGTACGGAAGCGCGTACATGATGACATGCGCCATTTTCAATCCGCTTTCTGGCCGCGTATATCGGCTCTATCCAACAAAATGGGTCTTTCTCCTTTGCATCGCCATGTTCGAGGTTGGCTCTGCCATCTGTGGCGCTGCTCCCACCTCCGCTGCGTTGATCGTTGGACGTGCCATTGCGGGTATCGGGGCGGCCGGCATCTTCTCTGGAGGCATCATGATCATGGTGCCGCTTGTACCCCTTCGCAAACGGCCAGTCTTCACAGGATTCTTCGGCATGGCCTTTGGGGTCTCTTCAGTGATTGGACCTTTTCTCGGCGGCACTTTTACCGACAACAGGTAAGTCGACAATGGGAGAAGGAGGAATATGCTCACTGTGCTGACCTATACTAGCAATTTGACTTGGAGGTGGTGCTTCTATATCAACCTGCCTATCGGTGGCTTTGCCATTGCGGCTATACTCCTGTTCCTCCGCCTCGAATCGCCGCCACGCAAGAAACTCTCGCTACTCGACCAACTCAAGGGACTTGATCCCCTCGGATGTTTGTTCTTTATCCCGTCTATGGTCTGCCTCGTTCTGGCACTCCAGTGGGGCGGAACTACCTATCCCTGGTCGGCGCCCAGGATCATCGGCCTCCTCGTCGCCTTCGCCGTCACATTTGTCGTGTTTCTTGTGGTCGAGGTTCTGACGCCGGAAACCGCCATGGCTCCAACCCGCGTCGTTTTGAACCGGTCCGTCGCCGGCAGCATGCTGGTCATGTTGTTAATTGCCGGAGCCACAATGACCATTGTCTACTATCTGGCCATATGGTTCCAAGCGGCCCAAGGCCATTCGGCGATGCAGGCGGGCATTCGAACCATTCCTCTGGTCGTGTCGCTAGTGGTTTTCGGCATCGCTACCGCCGTCTTTACCCAGAAAATCGGCTACTACGTTCCTGCCATGCTGTTGTCATCCCTGTTGTGCGCCGTTGGTGCTGGCATGCTCTCGACCCTCAAGCCGAGCGCTGGCGCCAGCAAATGGATTGGTTATCAGGTGCTTTTTGGCTTGGGTGTCGGCGCCGGGCAGCAGGCCCCTAGTCTGGTCCCCCAGAAAGTCTTGCGGCGCGCGGACGTGCCTCTCGGCACGGCTTTGATGTTCTTTATGCAGATGCTGGGTGGCGCCGTCTTCCTTGCCGTCAGCCAGAACATCTTTGCCAACCAGCTTGTCGACAGCCTTCGTGGCATCGCAGGCCTTGACGCCCAAGCGATCATCAACACCGGTGCCACCGCCCTCCGCAGCATCGTGCCTGCAAGCGAGCTGGGCGTCGTCCTCAATGCTTACAGTTATGCTCTGACTCGGGCCTTCATTTTAGCGGCAGCGTTGAGTGCCTGCATGCTGCTTGCCTCCCTGCTTGTGGAGTGGAAGAGCATCAAGGATGACAATGGCAGCACGTCGAAGGATTCTACGACCGATCCCGAGAAACACCAGGGTTCAGGCACAGTATCAGCTGAACCTGATGAAACTGAGTTCAAGGATGAACCTCAAAAGTAGGAAGTCCTGTTTGTTGAACAAGATTTTTCAGTCGGCCACGGCGTGGCTGATGCCCCTTTAAAAAATTGTCCTGTTTGTATAGTATATAGCCCACTCCAGATAAACTTGTATGAAAGCCGAAAGTACGAAATCGCTTACCATATAAGTTGATGTGTGAGAGAGAGAAATCATGATGCGATTCAGTGTCAGTGAGCTAAGCTCCCGCCCATGATATAAGTTAATGTGGGGTGTGTGGTTCAACAAATGCTATCGCACGACCCTTGGTCACCAGCGGTGATGTCCGTGATAGGATAGGCCCCCAGCTATATCGATCTCGCCCGCTTATCATTTTCTTTTGAAGAAGATTATTATGAACGCCGGAATGACATTTGAGTGACTTCGACTGCGGGCGGATATCGTTGGGTGCCGGTTGTGAAAAAGGCGGAAGAGGAGCACTTCGAGGTATTCGGTGTCGGCGTGCCAGCTTCCTGAGGCCTACACGTCGTCAGCTGGTATGAGCGCCAATCGTGTCTCACTCCTTGAAGTGAGCAAGCACAATCAAGACGATGATGCCTGGATCATCCTGAACGGCGTGGTCTGGGACATGAGCGGCTTTGCGGCCAGACATCCTGGAGGGCGGGACGTGATCGAGGAGTATTTCGGGCAGGACGGAAGCGAAGTTTACAATGGCATCCACAGCCCAGGCATGGCGGAGAAATACCTCGGTCAGAGCAAGAAGGTCGGCCTGGTCGAGGCCGGTGCGCCCAAAACGGGCGACAGTGATGCAGAGGACCATGTGCCTGTGGTGAAACCCGATCTGGACGCGATCATCAGCATCTACGAGTTCGAAAAAGTCGCAGAGACGGCGCTCAGGCCTAAATCGTGGGCGTACATTTCGGGTTCGACGGAGAATGGCCTGACGAAAGCTGCAAACCAGGATTGGTATCAACGTATCTGGTTCCGACCCAGAGTGCTGACGGGCGTGGGCAGAGTCGACATCAGTACCAGCATGTTCGGTCGGAAGTGGGCATCGCCTATTCTCAACTGTCCGTTCTCGTCGGCAATGCTTGCGCACGAAGATGGAGAGCTTGCACTGGCCAGAGGGTTTGATGCATGCGGCAATCCAATGGTGATCCCGACCATGTCATCATATTCCGTCCAGGAGATTGTCGAGGCCTTTCCACGTGGGCATCCTTTCTTCTTTCAGCTGTATGTGCATAGTGACCGTTCGGAAATGGAGAAGCTCCTCGATCAAGTCTGCGAGCTACAGCCGCAAGGCATTCTTGTTACGGCCGATCTTCCGGTCATGTCGAAGCGCGAGGGTTATACCAAATTCCTGGTGAACCAGCGTCAGAAGAAGCCGAAGAAGATTTCCCAGGTGACCTCCGCGCAGAGGCCGGAGGAGTTGGTATCTGTCGACCCCGATTTGACGTGGTCAGATATCGAATGGATCCGGAAACGTACCGGTCTTCCCACATTCGTCAAAGGAATACAGTGCGCGTCGGATGCTCGAAAGGCGCTCGAATGTGGCTGTGCCGGGATATATATCTCGAACCACGGTGGAAGAGCTTTGGATACAGCAGCCCCGTCCATACTCGTGCTGTTGGAAATCCAAGCTACTTGTCCTGAGATCCTTGATAAGCTCGAGGTCTTTATTGATGGAGGCATTCAAAGAGGTACCGACATCCTGAAAGCTATCTGCTTAGGTGCGAGTGCCGTATGCCTGGGAAGGCCGTTCTTCTATTCCCTCGCGTATGGAGAAGAAGGTGTCAAGCACGTAATAAAGAGTAAGTCTTGTCGTTGACATGTTGAACAATCAGCGGCTAACACTTGACAGTTCTCGAAGCCGAGCTCGCGACTGCGATGCAACTCGTGGGCATAACGAGTCTTGAACAGGCACATCCTGGACTGGTCAATACAGGCGAGTTGGAAGCTTTGATCTATCGAGGAGATAATCATCCATGGGCTCGGAAACCTCGAAGAGCCCGACTGTGAAGGACAGGCGATAGATATCTGGATACGTAGACAACAATGGGCATGGTGAGATGTTGAGGTCAAGTGGGTGATTAGTCGCCGATTAGAGTATATTAGCTAGAATAGAGATAGTATTACAGAAGTGGAAAAAGTGTGCTTGGCAATCCGAAAACCACCTACTAAATATTGTAAACATTACAAAATTTCGAGCTCAATCTAATTTCGTTCATCTTCCTTCATGCCTACAACCATAATGCCCGCCATTGTGCAAAAGGCTGCGCAACTCCTACCGGCGGCTACTGCTTTTATGATATTCTTTATTGAGCATGCCGGCGCCGAATGCAGCACAGCAACTTCGACTGCGGCAGCCTACTGGTATTCGTTATCCTCCATTGTACATCGCCCTCAAAATCTTTTGTGATCGCTTCTATCTATGCTAGAGCTGGCCGTTTCATCATATCCCAGAGCGAGCCAGTGTGGACAGGGAAGCTAGAATAGTATCCAGTCTCGATCACGGCCAGACAAAGATCTGGTCGCGAGGCTTCCACCGATCTCTACTGTCGCAGCTCATGATGGGCTTGTGAATTGATTTATGTGGAAACATTCCATGTCCATACCTTAGGTATCCTTTCTTTGCGAGTACATCATGTGGTAACATTTGTTGTACAGTCATCGTAAAGTCCTCATGCTAGTCTATGGAAACACTGTCCTTTTGAAGACCTCGAATCCACGCCCAAACAATGCGTTCTACTGGAACACACCCGCCCTCGTCAATACGGCTCTAAAGTCTTCCATGTTCACTCCTTTCCCTACGCCTTGACCTCCGTTCGCCTCCAATATCATAGCCTTCAAGACATCGTCACTGAGGTCCTCTTTCAGCGTCTTTGCCACTTTCCGTAGCTCCTGCAGTCGAATCACTGGCTCTTGGTTCGGAAGGCCCTGGCCGGGACTGAACAGATTGAATGCTGTTTCAACTTCTTCGTCTTTGGCTTCATCTGTTTTCGACTTCATCTGAATGGCACATAGAGCCAGAAAGTGTGGGTATGTCACGTAGCCTGATGAGTCAGGATCCAGAGTTTCAATGAAGTCCTGCATTTCTGTTTGACTCTTCGGAGCAAGGCCTTGTGCTCTGATGTCGGGTTAGCGATGCCAGGTCTGCCAATTTGCAGTTCTTGTTCAGGATAGACCCTACCTGAGTGCGTCCTTCACCTCGCTCGTCCGGATAACGCCTTCCTTCTCATCTTCGTACCCGTCCACGTCGTCCAGTCGAAACAGATTCCACGCTTCCTTGATTTCTGTTTCTTCTTCGGCCGTGATCTCGTTCTCTTTGGCGAGCTTTGAACGGCGAGGTTTTGGCGCTGAAGCTGGAGCTTTCCCCTTAGACCCGTTGGGTTTGCCTTTTGCAGGCGTCTTGCGTGGTGCCTACGCGGTGTCAGTCTGGAATCCCGCTGAACGACGGGAGTATTTGCAAACCATTTCTACTTGCTTCTAGCAACGGACCGGATGATTGTCACTTTTCAGCATAAGATGTAGACACAAGGCTGTATGCAAGGTGGATTTTTGAGCCACGAGTGGTTGATGGTTGCTGGTTGATGGTTGATGGTTGCCGTAAATGACGCCACATCGAATGAAGGCGAAATGTGGCTGACGTACTTTTGCCGCCTACCACCTAGGTGCCTACTTCACCGAGTCTCTACCCATGTCCACCATGTCCACCATGTCCACCATGTCCATCAAGTCTTGCCTCTTCCCATCTCACATACTACGGTCCATTTCCCTTCCACTTCGTTAGACAATCCGATAGACTCTCCTAAACATCCCTCCCACGTTGCATGACCGTGATGGAAGTCCAGCTCTACGTCTATGATCTGTCTCAGGTACTTCCGTCCACTCCTCGTCAACGCGACTATCATTCTGACAGCCTCTAGGGCCTGGCGAGGCAATACTCCCGCGCTCTGACCGGAGTTCAAATTGACGCAATATACCATACAGCCATCGTACTCAACAATGTGGAATACTTCTTTGGCCAAGGTATTCATAGAAAAGTACCCGGCTCAACGCACCATGGCCGACCTATGCAAATCGTCCCTCTGGGGCAGACAGATCTTCCCCTAGATGTGATCGAGGAATATATCGACTCACTCGAGGACATCTACACTCCAGAATCTTACGACCTTTTTGTCCACAACTGCAACAATTTCAGCCAAGATCTGGCCATGTTCCTGGTCGGGAAAAGCATTCCGGAGGACATACGAAGTCTACCCGAGACGTTCCTTCGAACACCTATCGGACAGATGCTGCGTGGCCAGATTGATCAATCCATGAGGACGATGACACAGGCGCCAGATGCCGTCTCCGGTCGCAATGTCGCAAGAAGTCCACCAGCCGCAAAAGCAGCCATCAAACCAATGACAAATGGCAGAATCACAGCGCCAACAGCTAACGGGACGACTCCACAGATACATGCGACGGCCTTGATCAACGCAGAACCACCTCCGGACACACCGGGCCATGTCTATTACATCTCCTCGCTCTCCGAACTCGACCGTCTCCTCGACGAAGCCCGCCACTCCTGCGCCGTCATCTTCTTCACCTCAGCAACCTGCCCACCTTGTAAAATCGTCTATCCGACATACGATGAACTCGCCGCCGAAGCCGGTACCAGAAGTGGTGCGAAACTGATCAAAATCGACATCTCCGCCTCGCCGTCAGCCCATGCTGTAGCCCAGCGGTACCAAGTGCGCGCCACACCTACGTTCATCACATTTCTCAAGGGCCAAAAACAAGACGAATGGTCCGGCGCCAACCCAGCACAACTACGAGGCAACGTCCGCCTCCTCCTCCAAATGGCCCGCCCACCACAACATCAGCACTCGACATTAAAACTGCCCACGTTCCAGCGCATCATTCAGAAACCCATAACCTACACCCGCACACCACCTCTAGACAAACTCCTCGCAAAGATCGGACCATCTTTCTCCCAACACTCCTACGTACAAGATCTCGTATCCTACATCAAAGCCCGCGATGAAAAGGGCATGACCGAAGCACCCCTCCCCAACCTTCACGCGTTCAGCGAGCATCTCACCTCCTCGTTCTCAACTCTCCCTCCAGAGACACACTTCGCCGTCATTGACCTGGTGCGCTGTGCGGCCATAGATCCCCGGGTATCAAGTTTCTTGGCCGCGGAACACGAACGCGAGCATGAAACTCTCAAGACCCTCCTCACCCACAAAGGGGACTTCTCAACTGCACCCTACAACATCCAGTCCGTCAGCTTGCAACTGGCATGCAATCTGTTCACTTCCAACGTGTTTCAGGAGCAGCTCTTCCGTGGCCACAGCGCCAGTCCCCCTAGGGAATCCATCGAAACCCTCGCCGCGCAGTGTCTGTTGTCGCCACATCTCAACGCCCGCTCCATGGCCGCCGCGCTGGTGTACAATCTCGCGGCGTACGTGCACAACGCGCGTGTCCACAACGCCCAAACCGAGGCTGACTCTCACGACGACTACGAATCCGCCGCGCCAAGCGACGATCTTTCTGCCGCTCTGCTCGAGAGCATCACCACTTTCTCACAGCTCGCCCCGTCGAGTACGAAAACGGCCACATCCATGAGTAGTGGGGGCACGAGCGGCAGCGGCAGTGGTAATGAGAAAGAGGCTTTTCACGCTCTCCTGCTAGCGCTGGGCATGCTGCTCTACGCGGCGCCGCCGGAGAACATGCTCTGGGACTTGTGTCGGGCCATGGACCTGCGCGAAGTCCTGAAGGATGTGAGATCTTCGAATCTGGCCGTCAAGGACGAGCCGTTGCTGAAGGAAGTTGGGGATGAGTTGCTAGGGAAGGGTGCATTCTGAGTTACTACTTACGGTAAACGCCCAACTTCCCGGTTAGGGTTAGCGAAGGCGTCTGGCAAATCTTGGGTAGTAGATATTAGACCCGTGAACACTGGCAGTTACCTGGTAATATAGAAGCGGAATATCGTAGAGCACAATGTATAGGTATGTATCAATTACTCCTTTACTCTACGGAGTACTCTAGCGTGAGCCCTCTTTTCGTTTCGCCCGCAGAATCATGTCTATCCGTAGGTCGCGTGACTCCTATGCTGGCAGTAGCCTTCCCGATGCCAGCCACTACATTGAAAAAAGCCCCCCAGAGCTTTGCGGCTCGCTCGAACAATGTACAAGAAAGGAAACCGTCATTGGAACGGGTACTCATGCAACAATCTCATTAATCCGACACTCCCAACCACTGCCGGGTTCCAATAACGGCAAACTCGCACCAAGACACCAGCCCAGTTCATTACCCTTGATCTTCTTCGCGATCTTGACTTCTCGATCGATCGGCATCTCATAACCCGTGTGTAAAAGGGCGTTCATAAAGTTCAAGTCAAGGCACCATTCCGGTCGGTCGCGCAGGTCGGCCAGAGCACCTTCGATGCCCGCAAAAGCATCCCAGTGTTCCTCCCCGCCGCAGACTTTCTCGGTCAGATCGTGCAGTTCTTTGAGCGTGAAGGACTCGGGCATTCCGAGATCGTGCGTTCGATCGTAGAAATAGGAGAAGATGTACACGTCTTCGCGGGAAAAGGTCTTCTCCAGAGAAGGCTGATGCACGCCGTTAAACGAGCATGGCGCAATGCTGCATTCCTTGTCCTTGTACAAGAGGCCTTCGGCCAACGCGCGACATTGAGCCGGCAGCGCGTCGACGGGTCCCTCCATGATGACGCTGTGCTCGCCTGCTAGTTCATGGTCCGCCGGCATCGTGACGTCGACCTTTTTCTTGGTGCCGGGTGTAATGCAGGGGTTAGGAATGGGCTTTGACAGCCATTCTCGGGAATTCGGGTTCTGTTTGTGCATGTGATCGAGGACTGAAGCGTGCAGAGCTTTTCGTGCAGACATGAGGCCGTAGCCGAGATGAGAATGTTGATACAGTTCAAATTCACGACCGCCGAACTTGAGGCTGTATTTGTGGTCGCCATCGGCCATTTTAGGTGGCATACCTCCATGCGGACTGTTCTTAAAAGTCGGCTGGAACACAATCTGTGTTGATCCGCCACCAAGGTCGAAGACGGCTGCCGTAGGGGTTTCATCCGGTCCTCCGATCTTGCCTAGTAGATAGTTTGTGGTAATCCATGCGTAGACGCCCTCGTCCTCTCCTTTCATGATTTCAACACCACCGTTATCTTTCGAGACTACTGGGAAAGGATATTGTGTCTCCAGACGGGTGCGGACGGCCTCCAGGATCTTCTTGCTCATCTCATCCCCGAGCAATCGCAGACCTGCGGTCGCTTTCACTGCAACAGGGGTGCATGACTTGTACTCATCCGGCACCGAAGTCATGGCCACCTGCATCAACGGATCCAAGCTCTTTGCTGCTCCCTCAGCGTCCGTCTTATAAGAGCTCAATCCCGACCCTTCTGGTCGCTTCTCCGTCATCTTGAACTCCTCATTTTCGAGTTCCGGCGTAGGCCCGCAATTGTTGAATTTGTACACGTGAATTCTGCTGCCTGTGCTTCCTGCATCGATCATGATGGCATACTGAACAAGCGGTTTGGAAAGATCATGAGGCTTCGTGCACTTCGTGGTCGGCGAATTGCCAGGAGTGTAGATGTTGTTCGTACTCGAGCCATAACTGCTACCGCCAGACAGAAACCAGTACAACAGGACTATTAATGTCAAAACACCCCCCGTTTTGTAGAAGCGTGCTTGTCGACTTTGAGTCATCCACGCGTTTTGTAGAGTCTCCAGGCTGAACGTACGGCCTGTGCCGTTCCCTCTTGTCTGTCGGTCTGATTTCTCAAAGGGATCCCAGGGTGTATTGTCTGCGCTGCCGTTGGCGGAATGTCTCAATGGGAGGCCGCTGGATACGGAGCGACGACGAGGAGAGGAGCCGAATGGAACATATGACCAGATTCCAGATCGATCGGCGGAGTTGGAGGAGGACATGGGTGGGAGAGAGGTTACGCTGAATCTTAGGAAGAGCGAGAGTCTGTAAAGGAGTCGCAGTTGGGGGACACGCAGCCGGAAAAAAGATTCTTTGGGAGTAGTGAGCGAGTCGCCATCTTCCTGGCCTGATCCCTGCGCAGGCTGAAGTGGCACATTGGTTGATTGGCAAGTCGACGCCACAAGATTAGAAGATTAGACTGGGGAAAAGCAATATCTCCAATTCTTCGAAAGAGCAGATTGAATTTCTTCCTTTCGCTTCACCCTGTCGAATCACGCCAATTGTGCAATTGGATGCAGCGGGCATTGGTGCTGGTGAAGCCGTGGGTGCGGCGCGCTGCGCCAGCTGGTCGGCCTCAACTACAGTCAATACCCGCCAATTCTAGAAGGCAATTCGTCACATCTCCATGTCTAGCCATTGATCGCCGACGAGGAGCCGGGAGGGTAAAGATTGTCACCATCGACGACAAGATCGCAGAGACCTTTATTCTTGACGACAAGATCGACTCCTTCTTGGTCAGACAAAAGACCCAGGACAACAAACTCTCCGATCCACAGCTGTTACGAGACTTACTCCTTGAGACCAAACGCTCGAATAACCATGTCCTACAACTGAGCAAACCAGGCGAGGGTGAAGTTGCAATCGTGCAGGTGGTAGATCGGAAGGACCTGGTTAAAAGGATCAATGCGAAAGAGACATCGGCACGGCAGACTCAACTTGCACAAAAAGAGAAGAAACCCAAACAACTCGAGATCAACTGGGCTATTAGTGGTAACGACCTGCAGCTCAAGATGAAGCAGCTGGAGGAGTTTCTGCGCAAGGGCAAGAAGGTCGAACTGCTATTCGCAGCAAAGAGGCATCAAAGAAAGGCAGCGCCTGAGGAGGCCGAGGCATTGCTACAAGCTGTTAGAGAAAAGGTACAGGAGGTCGGAGCTGTAGAAGTTGCTGCAATGGAAGGAGGCTTTCCCCGGCAGGCAACGATGACGATCAAGATTCCATGAAACATTGACAGGACATGCAGTCCACGACGTGCAGACCTAAAGAGGACAGAAATGACAGCCCAAGAGTGCACGATCAGGACACCGCTATTCCGACAGGCTGCAGAAGAACAATCTCCAGCCATCAAGGGCTCTCGCTGGCTCTCCGGGGAACAGAGGGTGGCAGAACCAGAAAGGAACGACACATTGCGTGCTCAAAGAACCCCCCTGGGACACACAATGATCGAGTGCAGGGTCATTCCGCAAGACTCAAGCATATCAGCACCAAGGTCTACTTGCTACAGCAGATGTCAAGGCTTTGCCCAGACCATCTTCACGAAAGCATTGGCAAGCGAAGGTCACAGCTTCCGAATCGTGTTTGCCGGACAAAAATCAGACGGCTGCATGTATCATCAGAGCCTTCTCGTCTTGTATTGTACAGTCATCAATCATTACAGCTTTATAGAATCAGGGAACTCGGCCTCGTTTCAGTCGAATCCCGATGTCCATCCCGGCCCGGGCGAGAAATGAGCATGACTCTGAGAGATGGCACTGTCCGTGTCCACGTTGAATTGAACACTGACCTCCCACTTCTGACCACTACTCCCTGACCCATATCCTCCACTCAGCCTATTTCGGATGATGCTTGTAATGGTTTCCCTCAGCCTCACCAGATTCTCCTCTGTTCCAACGACCCTCAAACGTAGATTTGCCATACCCATCCCGTAATGTGCCTGCCAGAATTTGGCTTGCTCCACACTGTGGACCAGTGGTTGAGCTTCGATGGCCTTAACAACTTCTGCAACGTCGGCCGACTTCGAAGGAAGGGACATGAGCAACATGGCTCCCACATTTCGTCCCAGATGTACACCGAGAAAAAGCATGCTCAGCGCAATGCTCAGGGAGAGGATCTTATCCACCCATTCGTACGTGTGCAAGGACAGCAGAGGAAGCATGAGCATGGTAGCAGAACAGGATAGCGTGAGAAAATGGGACGGATTGCTCAACAGGGATGGCAAGTTCTCCATAGCGGCAAACCTCATCGCCTTGCCAATGCGAGCGTGATTCTGCAACCCAACAGCTGATATCAAGGTAGAGACCAGAGCGAGCAGGGCGGTCAAGTCAATTGTGCCCGTTGTGATACGCTGGTGGCTGTGTGGGTGGTGTGGTTCATGGCCGATACCCTCCAGGGCATGCTTCGCATTGTGCGATATCAAATCGAACCCAAAGAAGATCAACAGGACGGACAAGGCAAATCCGGCAATGACTTCCATGCGCTGCAACCCGAATGGATGTCTGACGCTCGACCTTCCCCAGACCTCAAAATTCGAGAAAATCTCCACAAAGACACACAACAGCGCGCCCAAGGAGTCGTAGAAGATCAGATGTGACAAAGCCTCCATTGCTGCCGAACCGTGAGAGTTCCACGCCGTGTAGCCTGCAACCGCCATGTGACAAATGCTCCAATAGAAACGAATCTTTTGATCTTTGGTCATGCTTGCTCGACACTCCGCAAAAGTAGGGATTGGAAGGGAGTTTGGTAGCGCTAAGGGAGCCCGTTGAGGAGGCTCGAGGAAGATCTGGTGTGAGACGCTGCTGTGTTTGTATTTGTGACCACGTCTTTGCCCAATGTTGGACTTGATGACGGGCGACTTGGCCATGGCCGCTGGCTGGAAGTTGAAGACACCGGATCCATTGGTGCTTTGTTTTAGAGGACTGACGGGAGAAGATAGAGCTCCGCCTAAGGAGGTCATGTTTTCTCGCTCCGCATGCAAAGGCGACAGACTATTGTTGTCGAAGGGTGTCTCTGGATCTGGGACAGGGTGGGAATGAGGAGAGGGTGGCTCTTCAGGCGGAGGGGTGGGAGTGCGAGGAGGAATCGGGATAGGCATGCTGCTTGCCATGGTGTAGAGGCCGCTGACTTGGCAGTTGTAGCAGCGTGGTAGAAAGGAATGTGAGGCCTGTGCCTCTTCACAGACAATGGTCGTTGGTGGCAGATAATGGTCGTCTTGAATGCAGGAGGTCGCGTTTCGCGGAGACAAACGTGGAGGGAGTACGAGGGGAGCGAGTCTCATGGGCCGGCGACTTGTCTCTCTCTTCATAGATATGGGCATTATCCATCTCCATCTCCCTCCATCTCAGCCACCGATCTCATCCTCCATCCTCTTCTCATCATCCCATCGTATCGTCTGACTACTCTGCGATGAGTCGCAAGAGTCTAAAACTCAGTGGATGGAAGGTCCACGGGTTGTTTTGCTCGTGATTCTGCTGCTTTTTATCTTTTTCACTCCTGATCAACCAGCGCGACGACGCTTCCAAGTTGACACGAGCCACATCGAAGAAAAGCGCCTGGCAGAACTCGATGTCTTGACAAACTCATCTTATGGCCATTTCAATCCTCAAACAAACCAATGGCTCAATCTGTCCGGCTTTCGAGAGACGGATGGCTACCGGTGGCAATTGCTACCTCGCGCGCGACAGCTGAGCCAGCAGCAGTATGAAAAGGCCTGGGATGGCATCGATCTCAACGATGCCTTGCCAATCTACGAGACCGTCACTGGTGAAGTCCGTGGCAAATTTTCTCGACTTGACACTGCTCTATCAGCTCCGTCACCTAATCTAACTGCCATCGATCCGGGAAAGGATTATATGGTGGCCAGGTTCGAGCGAAACATTACTGAGAAAGAAGGCGAGCTCAGTCTGACCATCTCTGACTCGAAAGAACGGCATGGCCATGAAGCCTCAGCCATCAAAGCTGATATCTCCATGTGGACGGATTCGTCGCCAGGAAATGGCTGGCAAGCCAGACTCCAAGGAGTTCACTTGCCATCTGGCCAGATCATCATGTCGACATCCAGCTCCAAATTTGATGCGTTGCCAGCTCTGCCTCATTTCGCGCATGATGCGGGCAGTTTCAATGCATCAAGATACGTTATGAACCAGACCATGCACAAACTGTGGGAGAAAATTCTGGAAGATGTATCGGATGGTCTAGCTTTTGCGCCGCAATGCGAGCTAATTGTCTGGTTGCAACCCTTGCCTCACAAATACAAAGGTCTCAATCCTGTTGAGACTCACAACTATCTTCATCAAGTCGAACAAGAGCTCGAGGGCCCTGAGGGCGCGCCGATCGGTCAACCTCCACTTCTCACCTTCTCCGCCACCATCATCTCTCCTGATTGTGGCTACATGCTCACATCTGACACGGTCTCCGGACCAAAGACAGAAAGCTATTGGGCACTTGCGCAGCGGTTGATCTTCTCATTCATCATGGCCCTCGGTATGCAGATAGCTCTCCTCAAACGCCAGATGGAAAAGGCAGCGACACCGTCAACCCGAAGTCGCATTGCATACCAGAGCGTTGTCATTGCTGCTCTTGGAGACGGCTTGTTACTTTTTGTGCTTATTGCGTTGCTTATGGTCGACGAGGCGTCGTTTCTCATGATTGCAAGTGCAGCTTTCATGGCTTGCATCCACGTCGCATTTCTGGAAGTCAAATTTGTCTTTGACATTTGGACAGTCCAGGTCGGCGATCCTCAACGGGCACAGCAGGAAAGACAAACAAGAGCTGTGCCCACCCGAAACCCAACGCCTGCTCCGGTTCCCACACCTGCACCTCCTCCAGCAACAAGTGCAGACGGAACCGTGGGTCTGCCACTTCCTGCCACAGCACCACGACCTGAAGGTGCCACCCCAATCATACTTCCCTCCGACCAGGATACTACAGCCATGGCCGACCTTCCCAGCCCGAGAGCCTCATTTGCAGCCATCTACAGCAGGTTCTACTTCTCTCTCGTCATGTTGATGTTCTTCTCCCTGTGGGCTTTGTCGTGGCCGCGAACCCTCCGCTCCGCCTATGCCAACCTCCTCATCTTCTGCTATTTTTCATTCTGGTGGCCCCAGGTCTACCGAAACACGATGCGCAACTGCCGAAAGGCCCTGAGTTGGGAATACGTCCTCGGATCGAGTATTCTCCGACCACTGCCTATCTTGTACTGGTATTTTGCCGACCATAACATCCTCTCGATCGACACGAGTCCCATGACTGCGGTCATCTTGTTGGGGTGGCTGTGGCTGCAAGTCGCCATCCTCGCCAGCCAACAATTTCTTGGCCCGCGTCTACTTGTTCGAGACTCCTGGTGCCCGCCGGCCTACGATTACCATCCTATTCTGCGCGAAGATGATGTCGAAGCGAACGGCATGTCGATCGGCCTTTTGGCTTCGGCATCTGAAGCCAAGGATAAGGACGACAAGACAAGGAAAGTGTTTGACTGCGCCATTTGCATGAACGAGATTGATGTTCCCGTCATATCAAAGACGGACAGCACGGGAGGAGGGACTGCTTGGCTCGAACAGAGGAACTACATGGTGACTCCGTGTCGGCACATCTTCCATGCAGAGTGTCTGGAAGGCTGGATGAACCTGAGACTCGTCTGTCCGGTATGTCGAGAAGGGTTGCCACCACTGTAGATATAGCCAGCTCGACACTCTTGCAATACTGTCACGTATGTATGGCCATCTAATGAATTATCATTATCTATGATTTGCAACGTTTAATGTAGCGTGTCCCCATCATCTGGCCGGGCTTAACTTAGGACTTCAAAGCCAGATGTTCTTCAGCACGAATTGGCCATCATGTCACAACAGTCAGCTGCGTCTTTTGCCTGAAGTCTCGACTACTGAATCCTGCATTCACGCCTATCGGACCTGAAGGGATCATCCACTGCTGCGTCATTGTATTCCAGTAACTCAAGTCCCTTCTCATCAGATCGAATTTCACCGATTGACTCTCCCCGGGCTGTAACATGATCTTGTCAAAGCCACGCAGCACATTCAGGGGCGTCGGGTCTTCGCCGCGGATCTGCGGCAGTGACAGGTAGACTTGCGGCACTGCAGCGCCGGCGAGTCCGCCTGTGTTTGTGACTGTGACGCTCACAGTGAACAAGACCTCCCAGAGCGACGGGTTGCCACCGGGCACGATTGGATTCGAGGGTGGGAGAGCGCCGACGCTGCCGTTGCCGTTGCCAGCGTGACTCTGGATTTGGATGCCGCTCATGTCAAACGTGGTGTACGACAGGCCGAAGCCGAACTCGAATGCGACGGATTGGTTGTAGTAGTCGAAGTGGCGGTAGTCGATGAGCAGGCCTTCGGTGAAGTTCGACTGCCAGGAATTTGGGTCCTCGGTCTCGACGAGCGTGGTGGAGTTCGTGATGGGCGCGAAATTGTAGTCGCTCGCGTTCAGGGCGATTGTGTAGGGGAGTTTCCCGCTCGGGTTGACGGTCCCGTAGAGGACGTCGACGATCGAGTTGCCGGATTCCTGGCCCGGTAAGTGGGCGGCGAGAATGGCTGTCACGTTGGGATGAGTGGCCCAGGGCATCACGTTCAGACCGGCCGAGTTCGTGATGACGATTGTGTTGTTGCAGTGCGATGCGACCGAGTTGACGACGCCCGTGCTATTCCAGTCGGGCTCGAGGCCGATGCGGTCGTAGCCCTCGGAAGCCCAGGTCTTGAGGAAGACGAGGCAGATTTGCGGGACGGGAAGAATACTGCTGAGGCCGCCCGCGCTGCTGATTAGGGTGTTGTTGAGGATGTATTGGACCAACGTTCCATCTTGGGTGGCGCGGGATTTGATGGCCTCGAGAGGAGAGACGAGGTAGGACATGCGTCCTGTGCCGCTGCCGCCTGCGACAGGGAGGTTGCCATATTCTGTATCACATTAGCGCTGATGGCTATGGCTATGGCTATGGCTACGATAGAATAGAAGGAGCACGGGAGAGAATGTGTCAATGACTTACCATAGCCATATTGGTTCTGAAACGCAGAGCCGGAGAAATACAACCCGTCCACCACATCGCCGGCGTCATTTCCAAAGACACCAAGAGTTTGCGGTGCCGATAGGGGAAGGGTATTGTTGACGTTCTTCAGTAGCACTGTACCGGCGGAGCCTAGCTCGCGGATCAGTTGAGCATGTCCGTCACGGACTTCGACGTTGGCCGCGCCGAGGGTGAATTGATAGTCGTAGGGCGGGAAGTTCGAGTTCAAGGCTGGCTCTTCGCCATCGATCGGAGGATACTGATTCTGTTGCAGGTAGAAATACGGCGTCATGATCCGTCGCACCATGTCGTCGACGCGGGTCTCCGCGACTGAGCCGTTGTTGACCGCCTGCGTTACGTTGCCGCCGAAGAATGACGAGTTCTGATCACCACTGTAGCTGAGAGGGCCTAACGGTCACATTAACAACGAGGAATATCTGGCTGCCATGGAAAGAACGTACCGGGCATATCCATATCGAGTCCTGCATTGATAGAAGCCACTCCGGCGTGAGTACCTCCCCAGTCACTCACAATCCATCCTTGGAAACCGAGCTCTCCTTTCAACAGCCCGTTCTGGGTCTTGGAATTCTGGCAGGCATAAGATCCATTGAGCCGGTTGTAGGAGCACATGATCGAAGCGACACCCGCACGCACGCCATTTGCAAATGGCCACAAGTACAATTCGTGGATCGTTCGGTCATCGATGTTGGAGGAGACTGCTTCGATCGTGACATTGTCCGCGGAGAGGCTCGGATTGCGTTGTGACTCTTGCTCGTAGCCAATGTAATGTTTCAGACAGGCTTGAATGCCGCTTTGCTGCATGCCCGTAATGGTCTGCTCGGCTGCTACGCCTGTGAGGTAAGGATCAGGAGAAAAGCCTTCCCAATTGCGGCCGCCATATGCTGCGCGACCTAACGGTCCAACAACTGGGCCCAGAGCAACGTGGCTGCCTTTGCCCTTGAACTCTCCGCCCATGTACAGGCCTCTCAGGTACATCAAGCTTCTATCCCATGATGCAGCCGTTGTAAGTCCGGCCGGGAAAACTGACGCATAGGTGGCTTGCCGGATCGCTAAAGGACCATCTTGGAGACAAAGACCATCAAACCCGAGTCGAGGAACTGCGCCAATGTTGCCAACACATGGTCCTGACGTGCCAGTCACGAGCTGAGCCTTCTCCTCTAGAGTCAGGTTGGAGACGAATGCCTCAGCCTGCGCGAATGCCGCCTCCCAGCCGGTACCTTGAGTAGGCGGACTCGGATAGAGTGGCGGCGAGGTGCTGTAGTCTTGAGCCAAGGCACGGATGGTCAAGCCTGCAAGCAAGGCTGTCCAGCCAGCGAGGGTGAACATTGTGAACCCAGATTTCGAGGAAAGCTTGAGGGGAAAGGAATGATTTACCGGTTAGGAATATTCTACGTCTTGTACCTCACTCGTGGTGGAGCAAAGTTACCCAGATTCCTCTTTCGTTCAAGTTACCCCCTCATGTCGTTGTGATAGGTCTGCTTCGAGCTTCAAGCTCGGTGAAGCTTTACTGATCGCCATTTGCCGTCCGATCTGATTCGGTAAAAGCTGGCCCGAGAAGAAGAGCTGGGCGCGGAACTGAAGTCGGAGGCTCAAACTTGATCCTGTGGCTTGCCTACTCACGAATTTCAGTAGCTGGCATGGAAGCGATGCAATCAGAGTCCCACGAGGGGAGATAGAGCTGCTTTGTGTCGCCATAGGTAGCCGTGGGAGCCGTGGGAGCTGTTGTTTGATGCAGCAATCCTCCTTGTGTTGCTTGTACAAACGGAAACCCTTCGGATGCAACCTTGGAGAGGAGTCATACCGTATAACCATGCAGCGACATGGATTGGCGCAAGCTGGACTACCCAGCCTTTCACCTTTGTTGACTGTGGTACACGTAGTGACGCAACAACAAGTGAGACAACGAGCTCCAGGAAGACCGATCAGCTGCCGTGATCTTCAATGGAACCCCGCAACTCGCTCTGCCGAACGTGACGATCATCTCGTGAGCAATTCCAATTCCGACCGGGCGCGATGCTACGCCTTGGAATGGCGAATCTGCGTAGCTCTTGTGAAGACGTACCTTCGCGGATCTCCCTGACAATAGTAAACATTGCAAAGTGTATCGCGAGTATCTAGGTAGACAATAAAGCTCGACGTTGGGGCGGCTGATGGCGGCGACCTCCGACAGTGTCTGCCTGTCTCCAACATGACTACGGGCCGTCATCACAATCCGATTGGGTTGTTTGTTTTTTTGCTTCCTTTCTCTGATGTTATTTAGATGAGTTGAGGTTTCTTGTGACAATTCAGCAAGGACTTTGTGCAACATGCCAGTCTTCGAGGATGAGGATGTCGAGGCTATCAAAATCTTACAGCAGCCATGGCGTGGAGAGAAAGTCGCTCAAGTTCGAACAGGCAGGGTCAAACCCGCGTTTGGCATGAAGGAGCCTTCCGCGATTTTCAAACACATAAGGTCAGGACGCATCACTGTAAGCCAACTGGGGTTCGAAGGAGATGAACATGCATACGAGTTCCATGGCGGGCCAGAGAAGGCCTTGCTGCAGTACAGTTCACTGCATTACCTCAGATGGAAGAAAGAACTTCCGCAGAGCGAAGACTTGTTTGGACTCGGTGGGTTTGGTGAGAACATTGTCGCCAAACATGCGAACGAGCGAAACATGTGTATTGGCGACGTCGTCCAGATTGGCTCAGTCATCGCTCAAGTCTGTGAACCACGACAGCCGTGCTACAAGCTGAACCACAGATTTCAGGTCAAGGACATGTCGAAGCGATCTCAAGATCTGTTTCGCACTGGCTGGTTTTATCGCATCCTCAAGGAGGGGACGATCCAGGCTGGCGACGAAATGATATTGCTAGAGCGGCCAAACCCAGATTGGACGGTCGCCAGAGTTCAATACTACCTTTATCATGACTTGAAGAACGAAGAGGTCATGAAAGAGTTGGTCCAGTTGAGAGGGCTAGGTGCAGAGCCCCGGAACATCTTCATCAACAGGTTGAAAAAGCAATTTGAGAACCAGGCCAATCGACTCGAGGGGGTCGCCATGAACATTTGGACCGACTACCGGGTAGTGGAAAAGAAAATCGAAACTCCCAGAATCGCTTCACTTGTCTTCGAGGCCGTCATTCCTTCGGTGTCCCCAGAAGCTGTCCTTCCAGGGTCCCATGTCCGACTACGCCTCGGTGGGAAGCTGGTACGTGCGTACTCAGTTGTAGCAGGAGACTCAAATCGTTTTCACGTCGCCATTGCGCTCAGCGAGACAAGTCGTGGAGGCTCACACTTCATCCATAATAAGGTGCAATACGGCGATATCCTTCCAGTTGGCAAAATCACGTCGAGTTTTCCTCTCTCAGTGGACGCTGATGATCATGTTTTTATCGCCGGTGGGATCGGTATAACGGCTTTCATAGCCTCTGCTCAGCACTGCCGGCGTGCTGGCTACTCATATCACCTGCATTATCTAGTGCGGAACTCGGAGGATGTTGCCCTCAAGGAGTATCTGAAGGACTTTGGCACGAACGTGACAATCTACGATAAATCGGCCGGCCAAATATTCAACATCCAGACTGTCCTGAACCAAGTCAATGATCGAGTACATATATACTGCTGCGGCTCCGAAAAACTCCAGAACGCCGTGACCGACACTGCAAAATCAATAGGAATGGACCCTGCAAACTTGCATTTCGAAAAATTTGAGATTGCGACTTCAGGAGACCCATTCACGGCAGAATTGGCAGACTCAGACAAGACCATAGAGGTTGAAGGAGAAAAGACTCTACTAGACGCGCTGCGGGAAGCTGGAATAGACATTTCATCTTCCTGCGAGGCCGGGAATTGTGGCACCTGTCGGGTAGGGGTAAAGAGCGGGCGAATTGAACACAGAGGCACCGGATTGATGGAAGATGAAAAGTGCTCGACCATGCTGAGCTGTGTGTCTCGGGGGATAGGTACTATTGTGCTAGACTTATGACCTACATTAAAGGAGTGGATAGGTTCTTGATAGACATCTAGACGCCTGACGCTGCAACTCCGTTGCTTTCAGGAGAATCGCTTGGTCACAAAATTCTTGATGATTTTGGCGACCTCCTCAGGTTCTTCCTGCGGACACCAATGTGCTGATTCAATGACATGTTCTTCTAGATCTGGCATCAAGCCTGCCGCTTTCGAAGGCTCGTTGAAGTCGGTGCGGCAGACTGCATCACCGGTACACCCAATGTAGCATACCGGGACTTGGAGCTTGAGGCGTTCTTTCGGGATAGACATATCGGACTCCGATTGGATATTGTTCGCCATGGCCTTGTAGTACTGAACAGGCGCGTCAAAGCCGTCTCGCTGATAGCGTTCCATGAATTCGTTCTTCCACTTGGGATCCTTCGCGTAGGGTTTCAACGGGACATGCTCATCGCCCAAGAGGTAGTTCCGCATAGCGCCGCGGACACAGAACATCTTCTTCATCCAGTCGTCGACGTCGCCATGCAGGACCTCCCAGAACTTCTCAAGGTTCTCGTTGATGATCTTCGCGCCATCTGGAGCAGTGAAGAGCTCCCAGTACGCAAAGCTGGTGTACCCCAAGGTCTGTTCGGCCCACGCATTGGCGGCATCAAGGTCGTAAGGTTGGTATGTAGGTGGTAGGTAGGCGACACTCAGGAGAATCATGCCAACCACGTAATCCGGGTGATGCAGATACATTCGCTGCGCGAGGCCAGAGCCCCAATCGTGTCCAATGACAATGGTTTTCTTGATGTCTTCTGCGTCAAGGATCTCCAGAAAATCGTTGCTCATATCTGAATAGCTGTAGAGAGCGGTATCGGTGGGCTTGGAACTGCCGGCATAGCCAAGCGTGTCGATGGCGAGCATGCGGTATGGGAGGCCTGGAAGTTGATCGATCACGTCGGACCACATGTGCGCGCTGTCTGGGAAGCCATGAATGAAGAACAAGACTGGCTTGGAGGAGTTCGCTTTGGTCTTGTCGGAGATGTAGTAGGTGTAAGTCAATGACCGTTTGACGTCGAGAGTCTTCTTTTTGAGTTGGTTCATCTTTCAATACTGCTAGATGATCCTCTTTGCTGAAGTTAGAGGACAAGATACTCCTCAAGGGTTTATAATACTAGAATCGCTGCCAGAGGTGAGATTGAGGGTTTAGGGCCGCGCGTACAAGCATCGCATCTACTAGTACTGCGTGACTGCACGCCATGCCAACCAAGGCTTACTACATGTATGCATATGCTACTCTTTTGCTCGTTTGGTCTCATCTTAATGCAGAACGCCAGCCCTGTGGTTGTAGGGGCGGGTATCTTGCCTGAGGCCCCCCGCTGGACAGTTGGCGTGAATTGCCAGCAGTTCGAGAATCAGATGGCAATGACATCTATTGTAGTATCGGCGAGTTATTTGGATGGAATGTCTCCGGCGAGGACACGCCTGGACGTCGATATCGTGTGATTAAACGTAAGGGTCTTGTGGGATTAGGACGTCTCGAGGGGAGATGTCAGACAATATACCTGGTACTAGCGTCAGAGGCATTACCGCCGCCGTTGCCAGAGGCCCTATCTTTACAAGGCTTGGCGCTTTGGTAATCACAATCGCTCACGGATCCGGCACGTGACTTCACTTCTCTCGCGCAGTCACGTGCAAGGATCAGTCATCACGTGAATCAAACAACCCTCCAATCTGATGCTTGGCATGTTTGCAGAGCATTGAGCAGCTGCTTCAACTCTAACCATCCGGCACGCGTCCGCATCATGCACGTTTCAAGTCAGCATTCTCATACATTCAAGGACTCATCAAGTGGTGGCCGGTCACTGTAGCTCAGCAGTCGAGCTAGAACATCTTGCGTCAACAACATGTGGAACCCATCCTGAAGGAATCTGCTATGAACGGGTCCAGACATGGCTGCTATGAATCTTCCGAGAGAACTACCCCATTCCCAAACATCGAGGAGGACAGTCAAGAAAAGGAGCAGAAGGATGGAGCAAAATCAAAGAAGCTACGCGACGGACACAAGCGGTCGACTTCTGGTAACATCTTATCACGATTGACGTTCTTGCGGACGAACAGCGACCAAGACAAAAGCGATGTAGCGGACCGCGATGGCTCCGATTTCTCCTCCCACCGTGATCGCGGCGCCATGGCCGATGCACAGGCACATACAAAGCGACCAAAAAGAAAAGGCTCATTGAGGAAGACGGTACTAGGCAAAGGAAGAGACAGGAAGAACTCCGACAAGAAGAGTCCTCTATCCAGTGCCGACTCCCCAACGGCACGCACGCCAGACGAAGAAAAGGGCCCCCAGACACCTCGAGCGAGTCAAGAACTGTCGACCCCCGCGTCCCCCGACTCACCGACGTCGTGGCCTTTTCGCACGCTCTCACGCGTCTCCATTCCCTCCTTGCGCAGCAGCATTGCATCAATCGACCCGGCCTCGTCTGCTGCCTCCATCACAAGTCCGACCTTGCCAACGGATGCATCCACAGACGACGAAGAGCTGATCTTGCCCCGCATGCCGGCCTTACGTCAAATCCCGTCCTCCGCGTCCTCCTTTGGTGATTCATACTTCCCAATACAGGAGCCCATGCGTCGCATGTTCGGCTCTCGTACACGGTCACCACTAGCCACGCAGCCGCAGTCTGTCGCGGGGACACCGCCGGCCGACGATGGCTGGGACTACTCCGAGACCGCGTTCTGGGGCTATGTCATATTGATTGTGACGTGGATTGTCTTCGCGGTGGGCATGGGCTCTTGTTTCGACGTCTGGTCATGGGCTTGGGATGTCGGAGAGACGCCCTATGCCCCGCCGGAATTGGAGGATGATCCCACGTTGCCCATAGTAGGCTACTATCCTGCTTTGCTGGTCTTGACATGCGTCATGGCCTGGGTATGGGTTGTAGTGGCATGGGTGGGCATGAAATATTTCAGACATGCGGATTTCAAAGGTGATGACGGATAGAATTCGATGTCGAAAACAAAGACATGTTGTGAGGTATCGAGCCATGAAACTAGGCGGCCAAGGTATCTGTAATCCAAACGCCTTACTCCTCCTGCTTTCCAATCTTTCCCTGACAACACCGAGACCATACTATTCTTCGCCCCGAGCAACATGTCCAAATTTCTGTGCCAAGGGGTGTCTGTGCTGATTGTTCCTCATCGTGTCGCACGAACAAGTCCTGCAATCATCACTCTTCCTTCTCACTTCCTTCTCCTCAATAGCAGCACGTTCGCTCATTGCATACCTCGAGGTTGACAGGACGTAACATGGGTTTCTATAGTAGGCAGACTAGGCTGTCCGTTCGGCAGATGCAAGTCTTGCATGTTAGACTTCAGCCTATCCAAGTCCTCCTTGACAATGTAGCCACCGTCAGCAGTTTCGACCTCATTCCGCGGAAGAGGCGTGCCTGCCATGGTCGAGGGAGTCGCCGTGCCGCCACCTGGAGCTTTCGCAACCAGGCCCTTTGATCTGGCGTAGCCGGTGGACCGTTCAGTCGAGGGATCAGGGTCGTAGTATTCGTCCTTGATAGGCCGAACGAAAACTGTCTGCTTGCATATCGTGACGATGGTGTTGGTGGGCACAGACAGCCAGTTGTGTCGCTCGAATGTCAAGGGCTCGCTGGCCACAAGCACAACATCAGACGCTTTGTCTCTCCGCTCCATCTTGAACTGTCCTTTGGTTTTGCCCTCTACCCACGCCGTCCCGGAAGAATAGTACAGACTCGCAGCTGCGTCAGTTTTGCTACTGACATAACGTGTGACAATGACGGAGTGACCATCGGTCACGGCAAAGTTCAGCAAACTTCTTGTTTCAACGTCGTCCAGGTGATATTCTGCTGGAACGGCTTTGACGAAGGCATTGATCTTGGCGATGGTCTTTTTCATCGCTCTTCGTAGAAGTCTGGTGTCAAAGCCGTCTTCAGGCTCGGAACTAGGGTCAACCCCTTCGCGTTCGAGGGTGTCGAGAAACAACGCAAATGCCCATTCGGAATCAGTGCCACCTTTGACGCCGAGGAACCATTTGTCGGACAGGCTGTCGGATAGAGGTCGTTTGACATATTTCCACGCTCCAATGTTCCCATTGTGCATCCACATCAGAGTATTGTGCTGGAAGGGATGGCAATTGTTCTCGGCCAGGGAGCCTTCGGTGGTTGCACGGACATGAGCGAAGATCAATCTGGACGCCGTCTTTGGTGCAATTCGTTCAAGATTGACGCAGTTCCATGCTGGAAGGGTCGAGGTGAAGATACATGGATCCGGGCCCATTTCTGGCTCGGTATACCACCCTACGCCAAATCCGTCGCCATTGACTGGTCGTCGACTGTCAAGACGCAATCGGCTGTCATAGGATTGGGTCAGGATGCTGTGTGAGGGTTCTGTGATGAGTTTTGAGAGAATAATCGGCTTGGAGCCCTTGTAAACCTAGGAGTCATCAGTATTGTGGCCGTTCAATGGATTGTACTTGAGCCAACGGACCATGAATCTGCACATGGCTAGGGGGTCCCCTTGAAGGTATGAATGTGAAGACTGATGTGGAAATATTGGTTTCTTGTGTGCTCACTTGAGGACATTATTTTTCGGAAGAGTGAAGCTGGCAAGGCTGAGTACTGGATAGATCGTGGGATTCCTTGAAAGAATTTCTGATATCGAAAGAAGAACGCAATACCATCAACGCCGGCAGACTTGTAACATCAGGAAAAGAGAAAAGAGCAGGCAACAGCTGAGGTTTAAAATGCAACGGTGACACACGCAAGTTTGCTCTCCAGTTCAACAAAGAGGCGTAAATATTCACCGCCATCTAGTCTCTTTGGCCAGCCTGGAGGCATTCCGTGGCATTCCTTGAAATTGCACAACTTCAGTTCTATACTCCGCCGTAGATATTGCTAGGTCTAAGCATACCGCTACCTTGCGCTTCCTTTCACCAACCAGAACGTCATTTCTTCGCCATGCCCTATCCTGCACGTTGTCCAAACATCAAACCACCGATCTCCGTTTCGCCATCTATAAACCAAAACAGGGTCAAATGTTCGATGAAGACCTGTGATGAATGGTAGGCTACTCACTGCGAGGGCCGCACCTTTGCTGCGCCAGCGACCGGCGCGACTTCTACACAACAATGCCTCGACGAGAGCCGGAGGCCTGCTGAGGCCAAATCGACAACTTGCTCAGCGGAACTGGCCACTTGGGTCAAACTCGATTCACAATGTCCCCGCCGTTCGATCCATATCATTTGCCAGGGTACTACCCAAACTCGCCCTCAAAATGGCCCGGTTACCTGCCATGTTCGGTGCAAGCATGCTCGCCGGGCTGGCATACATTCAATATCAGGCAACACAGGCTGGAAACGCCGCCATGGACTTCTTGAAAAGAGCCGGAGAAACAGTATCGGATACGTCTTCAAGTGTGTTTGGGGGGGCGAAGGGAATTGCGGACCAGATAGGTGAGGGTTGGCAACGGACAAAGGACGAGGCACATCTTCCAGAGTGGCTCCAACAACTTTTTGAAAAGAGTGAGGAGTCTGGCGAAGGAGGTTCAGGTCCTGAAGGGCCAAACCACTCCAAGGCGGCTGCAGCAGTCGCTGCGTCTGGTGCTGCACTAGGACTGGAACAATCAGAGGAGCCAGATGAGCGATCAGATCCGGAATCGGCAAGGGATGATCAAATGATGGTCTTGACGCGGAAGATGATTGAGATACGCAGCATTCTGAACACTGTTGGACAAGGTGGTGCCTTGACGTTGCCATCGATAGTGGTCATTGGATCTCAATCATCAGGAAAGAGTTCTGTCTTGGAAGCGATTGTCGGCCATGAGTTCTTACCCAAGGGAACAAACATGGTCACTAGACGGCCCATCGAGCTCACTCTCGTGAACACGCCCGATGCTAAGGCCGAGTATGGCGAGTTTCCTGCTCTGGGCTTGGGAAAGATCACCGATTTCTCTCAAATCCAGCGGACATTGACGGACTTGAACCTGGCCGTCCCTGCCGAACAATGCGTAACGGACGATCCCATACAACTTTCAATCTACTCCCCAAATGTTCCCGACCTCTCCTTGATTGACCTGCCGGGCTATATCCAAGTGTCAGGAAAGGATCAACCTCCCGAATTGAAACAAAAAATTGCCGACCTGTGCGACAAATACATCCAGCCCCCTAATGTGATTCTGGCCATTTCTGCTGCTGATGTCGACCTAGCCAATTCTACGGCGCTCCGCGCTAGTCGGAGAGTCGATCCTCGTGGTGAGAGGACGATAGGCGTGATCACCAAGATGGATTTGGTGGACCCCATACGAGGTGCTGAAATTCTGTCGGATCGAAAATATCCTCTTCGGTTGGGCTACGTCGGTGTCGTGTGCAAGATACCGCAAACCGCCGGATTGTTCTCTCGACCCAATCAGAATGTGACGAGCGCCATCGTCAAGAACGAAAACGCATATTTCTCCGCCCATCCTCTTCAATTTGGACCCCAGTCAGAATTGACAGTCGGCACACCTACGTTACGCCATAAGCTGATGCACGTCCTGGAACAAACAATGGCGTCCAGTCTAGCCACCACACGAGATGCCATCATCCAAGAGTTGGAGGAAGCCACCTACGAATTCAAAGTCCAGTACAATGACAGACCTCTGAGTGCAGAGTCGTACCTGGCCGAGAGCTTGGACAGCTTCAAGCATTCCTTCAAGGAGTTCAGCGAGCAGTTCGGGCGACCACAAGTCCGCGCCTTGCTGAAGGAAATTTTGGACCAGAGAGTGATGGACTTGCTTGCAAAACGATACTGGAACAAACCTATCGAGGATCTGTCAGATGCAGAAACAGAGGTGCACCCATTAGCAGAGTTGCCCAAGGCAGATCTCGACTCATTATACTGGCAACGGAAACTCGACGCGTCGACATCTGAGCTGACCAAACTTGGAGTTGGAAGACTTGCCACTACGGTGGTAGCCACGGAATTACAAAATCAGGTCGACAAACTGCTCGCTTCCTCCACGTTTGCGTCACATCCTTACGCACAGCGGGCCATCGTCGATGCGGCGTCGAGTATCCTGAACGATCGATTCTACAGCACCAGCGACCAAGTGGAGAACTGCATCAAGCCGTTTAAATTCGAAATCGAGGTGGAAGACAACGAATGGGCCAAAGGTCGCCAAAATGTCGGCCGTGTCCTCAAGAACGAGCTCAAAGCCTGCGAAGCCGCACAAAGGCAACTCGAAGACAGCATCGGCAAGAAGAAGCTGAAAGATGTGATGGGCTTCATCGATCGTGTTAGGAAGGGAGACGTTGTTCTAGAAGGTGACGGGTCGGGCGGAGCCGGTGGCTTTTCAGCGGCGCTCTTGCAGAAGGGTAAGTCCCAGATCGCAATGTACACGTCTTGGATTTTGGGTCTAACTAGTTATACAGGTCGAGAAGCCGTCTTCCTCCGCGACCGAGGCGATATCATCAAGATGCGTCTCACGGCTGTCAAGTCCAAGCAATGCGCCAACCTCAAGAACAAATATTATTGTCCGGAGGTGTTTCTCGATGTGGTGGCCGATAAACTGACATCCACGGCGGTGCTCTTCCTCAACGTCGAGCTCCTTTCCGAGTTCTACTACAATTTCCCCCGAGAGTTGGACATCCGACTCGGTCGGCATCTGGACCATGCCGAGATCGAGAGGTTCGCCCGTGAGGATCCCCGAGTCCGCAAGCATCTCGATGTGATCCGACGCAAAGAGATGCTGGAGATGGTTCTGGAGAAGATTGAAAGTCTGCGTCAACTGGAAGGCCGGGCAAAGCAGCATGCCAAAGTACCGCCGGTGGCCAAGGAGAGAGGGAAATGGAGTTTGTTTTGAGTGCTATGAGATACCACGTATAGTTCACTGGCAGCGGGCGTTACGGTGCAGTTGTGTAGACCATGATTGATGGCTTGAATGCTCCTCTCGCATCCTAGCATAGAACCTTTTGGTGTCCCACGCACGCTCATCAATCCGGCTCTTTTCTCGTCTTCTTGTGGCTTGTTGGTTTTATTTCCGGCCTAGGAGCCAGGCGGGCATCGCGACGTTTGAATCCTCAAAGGTATCGCGTGGGACTTCGTTATCCGGGTTCGAGTTCCAGGGAATATGGCCGGTGATCTCCTCGATGGCGCCGTTGACGCCGCCGAGCTTGTCGCCGATCTTGACAACGGAGAAGCGGATCATGCGCGGGTCGAGGCCCAGCAGCCGGCGGACTTCGGTCTGGACTTTGATGCTGCCATCGAATTGCATGACGAAGTAGTGGCCCTGGTGGTGCTGGGTTTGGTGTTTCACGGTCGGCCGGGGCAGGTCGAATTGGCCCCAGTTCTTGATGCCCCGGATCACGCCTCTGTTGTCGACGATCTGTTGGCCGCAGATACGGGCGATTCTGGTAAAAGAAAAACGGTGTCAGCATGATCAGGGCTGCGCTGGTCGCTGGTCGTGAGGGTGGATGGAGGAGACGTACTCTTTCACTTGGGCGAGGTTGCCCGGGCGGACCTGTGAGGGGGATGTTAGCTGCATGGTTTTGAAGAGTGAGGAGAGAGGATGGCAGGCCGTACCACTGCTATCAATTCGTAAAGCATGGCTATGAGAATGGTCTTGATTTTATCATGGCCGGCCAGTTGACATTCGCTAGAAGTTTGGTTGTCGCTACGAGAAAATGTCTAGGACGCAGCCAGAGGTACGGTGAAGCAAAGGATCCGATAAAACTACCAGCAAGCCAGCTCGCCAGCTACCTAGTAGGCTGTTAATGGGTGATGGTTTGAGAGCTCCAAGCCAATGGCTGAAAGGACCGATTAACCATTCCGGGGAAGCTTGACCATGCCGCAACAAAGTGCGCTGCGGCTAAGTCACCGCGCGATCCAGTCCATCGGAGAGGTGCATTTAAATCATTCACCATTTCGATTCCTGAACCTTTTCCTTGCGCACAAGTCTCTAGAAAGGACGCACGATGAGCACCTCAACCATGAGCCGGCTGGTGCCGACTGTTTCAAGACTGGCCGCAACACGAGTCGCCGTCACACGGCCATCACTTGCGCCTCGATTGTGTCGATGGAACAGTGCATCTAAGAGGACATTCTCGTCCCGATCGCCGTGTAAGCATGCGACCGAGGTAGTGGTCGCTGAGCACTTGACTGACGAAACGTGCGCAGTATATGTGAAAAAGTACACGGAAGACCATGAGTGGATTGAACTCGACGCAGAAGGGAAGATTGGTACAAACTCGCCTTGAATCCGTGCTGCTTGCAAGTTTACTGAGTCGGGGTCGTTTTTAGGCACAATCGGAATCACAGAGTACGCTTCCAAAGCTCTCGGCGACGTCGTGTATGTGGAATTGCCCGAGCTAGGATTGGACGTTACAAAGGGCGACACTATCGGCGCGGTCGAGTCGGTTAAGTCGGCGTCAGACATCATGACGCCCGTCTCGGGCACGGTTAAGGACCACAACAAGGTGTTGGAAGAGAAGCCCGGCACGATAAACAAGAGTCCTGAAGGCGATGGTTGGCTGGCTAAGATTGAGGTTAGCGATGCGAGTGAGCTGGACAGCTTGATGAGCAAGGAAGACTATGATGCTTTTGAGAAGGAGTGATAAAGATGCTGTACTTGTGGCGGGGAGGGCGTATTCAGCACGGTGAAGATATCATCTACTCGGTCTGGACGAGTTGACGACCACGGGTCATATCCGACACCCATTAATGAAGCCACAGGTTCCAGGGCCAGAACGTTAGAGCCTCGAAGTTGATGGTTAAATTGCTCTGGCTACAAGAAACAGCTGACTGTCCATGCGATCAGGAGTCATCAATTTGACCTGTACAGCTTCATTCTGTCAATCTTCGAACCGACCAGCAAGTGATACAGAGCGCCCTCAATCCGACAAGCAAGATCCCCTTTAGCGGCCATTTTCGTGCGACCACAATTCTCCATTGATGCAGTTATCCTCCCTCGGCATGAAACCCACTTTCGGTGGTATCCTCGATCCTATGAGCATATTTTGAGGGATGCACCTCGAAGTCTGCCTCGAATCCGTCGTCACTGTCAGCCTCGCCCAGGAAAGCAGCGTTTGTGGCATCCATAGCCTCGTGCCTATCCCCCTCTTCTGCTCTCTGTGCTTCGAATCCGTCGTCCGAGTCTGCTTCTCCCAGGAATGCTGCGTTTCTCACTGCTGACGGGTCTAGAGCTACAAAGCTCTCTCCCGCTTCGACTCTGAGCGCCTGAAGATTCTCATCAGAGTCTGCTTCGCCTAGGAAAGCTGCATTTAGAGCAATAACAGGGTCGACCAGTTCCTGCGTATCCCCTCGCTCCAGCTTGCCCACTTCGAAGCCGTCGTCCGAGTCAGCTTCACCTAGAAAGGCTGCATATTTGGCTTCCTCGAAAGGATTAGGCACCTGGCGAGATTCGTTGATTCCAGGACTGCTGGAAGAGGTAGCCGACGTCGTAAGAGTGGCAGATTTCAGTACACTGATGAAGAACGAGGGCCTGCGAGCATTAGGAAGAGGGACAAATGGCATGCGAGACCTGGTGGTAGCGAGCAGGCCAAGGAGAAGAGGACGCGCTGCCATCGTCAGAATTACTTGGAGACGCTGAGTTTCTAATTGGTGGGAGGTTCAGGTCACATAAGTCGGAAGATTCATGGACGTTGAGGATGATTTCGATGCAGAACTTCTCACTTGACAGTCGAGGAAAGAAGCAGGTATATGTAGGAGGGGTCATTTCCATCACCTGACAGAAGCAGCATATTGATTGGATCCCAGAAGAATCACTTCGTGTGCAATTCGTATACCGCTGCTGTGTGAAAGGATGTTGCGCGTTGTTATGGGTCAGCACTTTGCGGGGAAAGTCACACACCACGATCGCCATCCCTGGCATCCTTGAAGCGATCAGATTTCCAATTGGTGAAGACGCTGAGCTAACCGAGTTCTCAGTACACACAAACCACAGACTTTTGATCCTTGTTAACTACAGCAAAAGGAAGACGATATGTCAATGACCGTTGGCTTCTGCACTGGGGCCAGTTCCATGATCTTCCTCACGAAAGCGAATGACATATTTGGCCGACGTCTGTGACACGATCAGCTCCGATCCTTGACTGAAGGAAAAGAAAATTGATCCGCTCACCTTTTGGAAATTCTGTGCAATATCAGACAGATCCTCGAGTCTGGCCATCTGAACTCGAGGCGTTACCACACCTCGCTTGACAAATTCGATGGCGTCCCAGATATCCTTCCTCGTTCCCACGGCAGATCCGATGATGCGAATGTTCTTCGAGATGCCCAGGATTGGATGGAACCTTACCTGCTGATCCGGTGGTGGAATGCCCACACAAACAAGAGCTCCGTATGGGGCGACGAACTCGAGTGCAGCCTCATATGCCCGGCTAGAGTTGGCCATGACCAGCACTGCTGCGGCACCATCTCCAGTCAACTTCTGAATCGCCGCTGCATCAACTTCTTTGGCGTCAAAATACGCTTCAGCACCCAACTCCAGACAGTACTCCCGCTTCGACACGCCCAGGTCAATGGCGATAACTCTGTATCCCATGGCTCTCGCAAACTGAACGCCCAATGCACCGACGCCACCACCAGCTCCTGATATCGCCATCCACTGGCCAGGAACAGCCTCACTGACCTTGATCGCTTTGAACGCAGTGACACCGCCGCACAGGATAGGCGCTACAAATCGATCAGGCACACCTTCCGGGATGCGAATGACATATCTGGACGGCACGACAGCATACTCTGCGAATGTCCCGTCTCTTTTCAAACCGGAGCACAGCATTTCGAGACATCGAGCTTCCCCTCCGGGTGCAAGACAGCAGAAGCATTTCTCACAGATATCGCGGACCCATGCAATACCCACTCGCGAACCGATGTCGATGAATGACGGTGATACTGCAGAGCCCAGCTTCACCACGCGTCCCACACCCTCATGACCAAGAATATCTCGAGTTGGTCCAGAATGGCCCGATGCGAGGTGGAAATCTGAGCCACATACCCCTGATACGGATAGTCGCACGAGCAGATCAGTAGGTCCTATCTCTGGGACGGGTGCTGTTCGTGTTTCAAAATGAAATGCGCCGTCATGTTTCTGGGCCCCTGTCAGCGATTTTGGAAGTCAGCCACTGGGTCAAGAAGTCATTACCACCAGGATAGCGACTTTGTGGCTCTGTGAAATCTCCATCTCGTCTTGTGCTACTGCGGTTGCAGGAAGCCGGTCACCCTCACAATATCAACAGGTTAAGTACCCCGAGGTCGGACCATTCACGTCGTTCCCTATTATAGATGTCGAAGCACGGGTTTTCCAGTCTCTTCTGTCTGGCATAGGGCGGAGCCTTTTGCTCCGGCAGTTCGGTACAAGTACCTCGAGATCTCCCAGCATCGGATGTGGACGATGGGTGGGGTCGAAAACGAGGACGTGGGTGAAGACGTGGGGCACATCATGCACCAGTACTTGAGCTGTTGAGCTGCTTCTCACTTCTGTGTACAACCAACCCTCCTCTTTCCTTTGATCGAACATCCTATGATTGCCAGAAAGTCGTCCTCATGTCTCACAAGGTCCCAATCGGAGTCCTCGGTCCTCCAGCCTCAGACAGAGCTGTGGTACGAGATTGATGGGATCGAACCGGCTGAGACCACCTTGCAGGCGCCAAACGCGGCTGAGTATCTCTGGCTTGTCGTTTTTATGGGTTACATCCTGCTGTTGGCTGCTCAGCCTCAGCCTCATCCCTCCTTGACGCAGCCAAATTTCTTCTGTTTTCTTTCTCCCTCCCCCGCTCTTCTCTTCTTCTCCTTCCAAACAAATCCTGCGACGCGTGTGCTCTGCTGTTCTACCGTTGCCAATATGATTCCTGATTGTCCACGCTCTTAGGTGGGATATCTGTTAAGCCAATACCTCCTGGAAGCGTTTTCACTATTGGCCATCGTAATGGCCTTGGACGCTGCTACATCTGCCGCTGTTGCTGCATTGGTAGTGGCCTGCCTGGCCCTGCTTATAGCCCTTGCTCAAGTGCTTCAACAATATTTCATCACCGGACAGCTCATTCGTCTTTGTGACAGTGTTGTTTTTGGCCCTCTTCCAGGCCAAGGCCGTCGAGTCTGGGAGCTGTCCCAGTTTCGGTTCCGTGTTGTATATTCCATTCCTCAAATCAGCCTCGATACCAGACTTTGGCCGGAGAATCCTCCACATATCAGATCATATGCGATCGGACAACATGAGCTTCCGCCGCTCAGGAGCACGCCAAAGATAACCGGCTACGACAAGACCTCAGAAGACTGGTCACTGCATACGGAAGAGGTAGCCAGGCGTCGCAGATGGCCAGTTATATCCCTGCCTACTCGGAGTCGCCCGCCTCATGCTCGTCATCTCTCATCAACTCGCTCTCGTGTGGGAGAGGCTGCCTGGGTCAAACTCTGTCGGGCAGTGGAAATGCCATGCGGAAGCTCTATGCGCCTCGATCTTGTCGAGCAAGATGCGGACAGATGTCCGCCAGATCTCGTTACGGCTCCGATGCTAGTGTCCATGAGAGATGTTATAGTTATGGGACTAATGGCTGGAATGGAGGTAACTGAGTGTTCATTTGGCCGCAAGTCAGTTTCTATGCAAGGTCATCTAGGTACTATTACAAGTTCCAGTCACCCTGTCCTTGGACCTCTGCTTCACTTCACCCCAAGAATGAATAACGACTTGTCTTTTGGGGCATTTGGAATACGGAAAATGGATGAGCGTGGCAATATTGAAAATCGATGGATGGCGCGTACCTGGGACGTCTGCATGGTGGCACACACATATTACCACGGAGACAAGCGAAGGACGGCACGACGGTTAGATGATCGGTGGATACAAATTCAAGGAAAACGCGCTTACGGCGAGATATCTCGACCAGGTGAACATATACCGCGACACCGGGAGCCATTGCGTGGAGAGAGATCTCGATCGAGTGGAAGTGACAAACAACGGACCACTGAGGAGTCTCCGAGACCTCTGTCGATACATCGTGACCGCAATGGGAACCAAACACCAAGAAGATATCATCAAGATGGAGACTGGGTGATCACAAATCCACGCGAAGAGGATCTTCGACCAGGCCCAAGCAGTCAACAGATGCCGGTGCCAGAAGTTGCCAAGGAAGGCCCAACGAGAAGCAAAGCTCCAGAAACACCTACCTCTGGAGCCAGCGCACAGCCAGAACCACAACCTGTGTCTGGTCCGGACCGCCAACCTACTGTTCAAGAGGTGGAAGATGAAGCAACCGCCTCGGATGCCTCCGATCAATCAGTGGTCATGGAGAAAGATTACCTCGTGGATCCAGAGATGAAAGAGCGTTTACAGACTGCGAAAACTCGGCAGGCCCAGCGAAGTGCAAGAGTCCAAGACATTGAGAACGATAAGCTTCTCGTCGAAGGATCCGTCAACAGAGGGGCGATGGCCCCACCGACCACGCAAGGAATGCTGCTACTGACCCTGCACCCCCATAATGAAGATCAACGGGAGCGAGATGGGCAGCCGCCTGAACCGACAACAGAGGAAGAAGAAGCCCACAGGAGGGAGACTGAACGTCAGAAGCTACGCGAGCAGAGAGATGATGAGAGAGCTGAGCGCAACAAGGCTCGATTCCGAGCCGTCCTTTTCAAGGAGGTCGATCTATTCTGGATCTCTCAGATGAATATATTCCAAGGCTTCTGGGCCACGCCATGGGCGGCTAACGACTCTATGCCTCTGCAGTCTGCACTTGTTGGGGCTGTGACGGTTATCCTTGAAGCGCTCTTGGGATTCCTGGACCAAACCTCTCTGATCTACACGGATCAGAATTACTCATCCTTATCGTCCTGTCGGCAAACGACACATTTCATGTTCGGCGGATTCGCAACTTATCCTGCATATGCCCTCAACGGACGTGGCGGCGTCATCGCGTCCGGGACGTACACTGGAGTCCGCATCCCAGCGTTCCAAACCATCATCCCCGCCGTTGAACTCCTCTACTCGTACGACTGGCAAGTCGATGCTCGCCTTCGCGACCCAGTCCGCTTCTGCGAAGAGCAAAACGTCGAACTCATGCGTCTCGACTCGTGGCTCTCCTATGTCGGCCGGACTCGCGAGATCTTAGACGGCCGGCATAAGTTGTTGAAACAGACGCCGGCGCTCGTCGCGGAAATCTTCGAGGACTTCATTCTCGATTTCCAGAACATCGATCTCTCTGCCAACGAGGGCGGCTTACAAGATATTCAGAGTCTTGTGGCAAATGTAATGGATTTCTTGGCAGATGAGGAACTCAGTGATGCTGAGCAGCTGTACGTGCTGGTTGCACTACTTAGGACCGTCAAGGCTTGTCAATGTATCTTAGCAGGCCCGAGTACTGCTCAGATGCGAGATATTCTACTTATGGATGTGCAGGTACACTTGGTCTGATAATGTAACAAAAAGCAACCACTGGCACTCAGCACTCGGAGCACGATACTCTTGTACAGGGATTCATCTTCGCAAGTACTCGGTAGAGCACTCTTAGCTCACGTGGAAGTCTCAGTATTTGGCCAATTCACTGGTTTCACCTACCATTCACCTCGATGAGAGGTTGGGGAGTTCGTAAAGGGGGCCTCAGCCTTGTGAGCGAGTTTAGGATCACCCCGACTTGTGCCCTGCACGAGCTCGGTCAAGGCATATGGCAGAGAATGTGCGGTGCCGCAAGCAGACGGACTGAGATGATTTGATCTGATGTTGAACTGCCACAACTCAAGGGCAGCGTTGCTTCGTCCTAGTCCGGCGCCTACCAAGCCAGTGTCTACCTCCGGAGTGGTGTCCACGAGATCCGTAGACTTCCAGGAATACCAGGTGTGAACACAAAGAAGCCCTCGCCTCTTACGGCACGATTGTCAGAATGAAGCTGTCCATCGTGCTGCTTTCGGACATCCTGAAGCACCCCACCCATAGTCCGAGGCCATCAGTGACGAGTGCTAACCCTCGGCTGGACACTTCTCCCCTCGATTGCTGTGGAGAGCTTCCAATGGCATCAAAGTCAGAGAGAGCGGGGTATGGAGTACGTACTACTAGTCAGGCCTTGCAGCACCGTTGCGTGATGATTTCCTGAGAGACACTCCGCAGTAGCCGTTCTAGAGCAAAGTTGAGCATCAAGCAGGAACGAAGTAGTGAGCTGAATTTCTACGTTCTAGTATTCTCGGCTTTCTGTCTGGCCTGCCAGGTTTGGAAAAAGCGAGCCAATATTCATTCTCGAGCCAATGTCGAACCGAACAGTATACTTCGTCACCGGCACGACCCAGGTAAGTGCAGAAGCGGCCTATGTAAACTCATCTTCCTTTCGTCTGCTAACGCCGCACCCGTGCCACTTAGGGCCTAGGATACGAATTTGTCCGGCAACTACGAGACCGCCCTGGAGCCATCGTCTTTGCTACGTCTCGCGATCCGGACCGAGCAACTCGCCTATCATCCCTGACCGACAAAGGGAACGTGCATATCGTCAAGATCACCAAGCAGCCCGAATCCGTCGACGAAGCGCTCGCAGTCGCAGAAACAGTCAAAAAGTTAGCGGGCAAAGTCGACGTCGTGATCGCCAACGCCGGCATCATCCATCATGAAACCAGCATCGCGGATTCGCCAATGGACATGTACCAGCAATTCCTCGACGTCAATTTGCTGAACAACATCGCCATCTTCAAGGCCCTTCGACCCTTGATGCTGGAGTCGGCTCGGCAGGGCGGGACTCCTAAATTCGTCGCCGTCAGTACGCAATACGGATCCCTGAGCATGGTCGAGGATCTGCCCGGCCAGTCGTCGGCGTACGCGATTTCCAAAGCCGCGTTGAACATGTTCATCAGGCATGTCGCGTACGAAGAGAAGAAGAACGGCATCGTGGCGTTTCCCATACATCCCGGTGTCGTTGCGACAGAGACAGTGGAGCCACTTGCGAAGAGAATCGGGCTTGCCACGATCGAGCCGGCGGAGAGTATTGAAGGGATGATGAAGATTGTCGATTCGATGACGGTGGAAGACGAGGTTCGTTTGTGGAGATATGACGGCGCTCAGCTTCCATGGTGATATTTTAACGTTGGACATCACAACCATTGAAGCCAGATTGCTCGGTATTTTGGCTCTGATCATCATTGTCTTCTCAAGGGAGGTGTTTGTTGATCACACCTTGTAAACCCATCAAGCCACCTTGACATCCTCCTCTTTGCCTTGTCCATCTTTTCGCTTCATTTCCAGTAGAATCTCCCTCCTCCTCGCCCGGTCGGCCACCGCAGCCCGATCTCCAAAGACGCGATCCATGTCTTCCAGACTGCGCCCTTTCGTCTCCGGCACAAAGAACCACGCCCAGACAAAACTCAACGCGCAGAACACGGCGAAGAAAGTGTACGCTCCGAATCCTCGCGTGTTCTGGATCAACGGCGGCGTGATCAGCCCGATGATGAAGTTGTTCAGCCAGTTGCTGCACGTACTCCACGCCACACCCTTAGCGCGCAGTGAGCTGGGGAAGATCTCAGCGGGCATGGCCCACGGTACTGTTTAAACTCGTCGGTCAGCTTTGAAAGAACCATATACCAGTGGTTGCTTTTTGCCCGGGGACTTGGGTGTCAGAGAACGTACCAGGACCATATGTGCATCCGAAGGCGAGCATGTAAAAGAACAAAAACGCAACGGCGACCCATCCTTGCGTCTGGTGGTCCGTCCAATCGTTGTAGTACAGTCCGACCAGGACGGCAATCACGACGTGCGCGACGGTCATGCATACGCTGCCGATCAGCAGGAGGGGGCGGCGGCCGAATCTGTCCATCGTGTAAAGCGAGGTCGAGACGCCGACGAGCTGGGTCACGTTCAAGACACCGCCTAGGATCAGTTGCATGTTGTAGTCCATACCGAAACTTTTGAACAGCGAGGGGGAATAGTAGATCTGTTTCGGGAGTGTTAGTGAGAAATATGCCTCAACAAGAAGCAGAGTCCGGAGCGGAGTCTTGCATAGCTGTCGCACTTGGATTGGGGAGCTGGAAAAGGAAAACATACCAATGCATTGATACCGACGAATTGCTGGAAGACTGGCATGTCCTATCCGTTAGTACTAGTATAAAAACCAACCACTCCGCTCAGCGCCAGTGTGCAATGTGGTGGACTTACACATCAAGCCCACACCAACCGTCGTTCGCCTCCAACATCCCTGCCGCCAACAGTCGGCGTACGACGCCAGTTCCAGCCTGATGGCCTGCCAGCGACTTCTCTGTCCCACAGCGCCCAGGTTGGGATGCTTCTTCTCGGCGATTTCTTTGTGAAAGGCGACTTCGGCTCGGATGTCGTACCATTCGGCCTGGATTCTGGGATCGTCTACGGGGACCCGTCGCAGCTTGACGAGCGCTTGCAGCGCTTCTTGGTCCCGACCTTTGGACGCCAGCCACCTCGGCGAGAAGGGGATGAAGAGCACCGCAACTCCGAGCAGGATCGCTGGGAAGATCTGCAAAAGGAACGGGAGGCGGTAGGACCAATGGCCGCCGATGTATCGGGTGCCGAATGTCAACCAGTACGCGCAGATGATGCCAAACACGATGGAGAATTCTTCGAGGACAAGCAGCGTGCCTTTGGGTTGTTAGTGGTGCCGATGGACGACAAACTCAAGGTTCAAGCACAGGCATACCTCTGATTTCTGGAGGTGATACCTCGGCGATGTACATGGGGACGACCATACTCAACCTGTCATTGTTGGTAAGTCTGTAGATGTAATGTCAATGCAAAGGACGTACATTCCAACGCCGACACCACCGATCAATCGACCGACAATGAGCATGGCATAATCTGGAGCAGCAGTCTGAAGGATCGAACCGACGATGAAGATACACACGGCCACGCAGATGGAGTATTTGCGCGAGATCTTTTCAGCAATCCAACCCTGATTGAAAGCACCTGATTTCAAATTTATTGAGCACGCAGGCACAACGGGCGTCAAGAGAGCTGATGCGTACCGATACATGCGCCAAGTTGGAGCATGGCCGTCATGAAACCTTTCCAGAAACCTCCGCCACTGGCAGTATCAGACACGCGAGGGAAGCGGTCGGTGAATTGATCCATCACCAAGATGATGGAGATGACTCCTTGATCTGGTGGTGCGTGTCAGCCTCGGCATCGTTGTAGTTTGTGGTTGAAGATAGCTGAAGGTATTACCATATCCGAACAAAAAGCCACCTAGCCGAACGACGAAAGCACAAAGAACCACATATTTGGATTGAAAAGTGCCTCTGAAGCCTATCGGTACGTGCTCTCGAATTAGTCGTTGCTGTTCTCATCCGCTTACATGTCGCCTGTTACCAACCTGGCTTGACATAAGTTTCTCGCAACTCAACCAAAGTGTCGTCGTTGAGGTTGGACCCAACTGTCACGCTATCACTAGGTGACTCGGCCGTCGCGTCTTTGTTCATATTGTGCCGATTTGGAATGTTCCTCGCGCTGAAGGGTTCGTCGTTGGGGTTGGATCCAAGGGTCATGCTATCACGAGGTAACTCGGTTGTCGCGTCTTTGTTCATATTGCTCCGATTTGGCATGGTCGTGGCATTGGCGGGTTGGTTCGTGGCGTACTTTACTTAGCTGGAAGGCTCTGGCGCGGTGTCCGAAAATTTGTGGCCATCAAGGTTGTGTGGGCTGTGTGGTGGAGTTGAAAATTCAACAGCGCTTTTTTTGTCACTATGATACCTTTCTCGTCGAGCACAACGGGCGCTGCCTTTGTCAACAACCTTGTGGATGGAGGATAAGATGGCAGGAAGAGCCGAATTCATGCAATTGCAGGGTCTGCACCGTGCGTGACCGTGTTCACTCGCACTGCTGCACTCCTAAAGGGTTCGATGATCGCCATTCCTCATGCACGACTCGTGGCACAGACCTCAAACATGTAAAAACTGTGCGGTGGTGCTTCTCCACATGATGTGGTGATCGACAGGCGCCGAGGAGACGGTGCAAGATGTTCGTGGATGTTTCTGGGGGTTGATGTTGCATTCAACCACGGACAAGGCTGGCACAAGGCTGGGCACTTCTAGGCGTGCTAACCACTTACCTACTAGGTACTCGTCTTAGGTACCAAGCCTCATTAACTGTTAGGCTAGTAGGTTGAGGCGTTGATCAGAGATCCCTCAAACCACAGACCACAGTAGTGGGACAACATCTCGAAGCACTGGAAATCCGTCTCCGTCATGGCAACATCGACCCTCATCCTGTCCGATTGTCGCACCCTCGCCTACCTCGACTACGAAATCCAAACATCGTCTTCAAGTGATGCATCACCCAGAGCCAGAAATGGGCCAACGATATTCTACTTCCATGGCTTTCCCGGTTCTCGTCTCGAAGGTGACCTCTTGGCCCCTACCGCCAAAAGGCATGGCGCTCGGTTGATCTCAATTGACCGGCCCGGCATGGGTCTCTCCACATTCCAGCCTGATCGCACTCTACTCGACTGGCCGCGAGACGTGCTGGAGCTGGCGGACCACTTGCAAATCCCGGCCTTCTACGTGGTCGGCGCTTCGGGAGGTGCACCATACGTCTTTGCCTGTGTCAAGGCACTTCCAAGGAACCGGCTACTCGGTGCCAGCGTCGTTGCTGGCATCTACCCCCTCAGCCTCGGCACTCAAGGAATGTCTATGGACAACCGAATCCTGCTGTGGACTGCGTCTTCAAAGTGGCTGGGAGGTCTGACCGGACGAATGATGGACTGGGCGTTTGGAGCAGTTGTTCGAGACCACGAACATCCGGAACGTCTGACAGACCTGTTGGTCAAGGGCATGCGGACGAAGCCTGAACCCGATGCAAAATGCTTCGAGAACGAATGGGCCAGAGACAGAATAGTTGAAGCTGCGCGAGAGAGCTTCAGGCAGGATGGAGATTGCGTGGCCTTGGATATCAAGTTGATTGCCAGAGACTGGGGCTTCAACCTGGAAGATCTAAACATCGAAGGGTTCAGAATCTGTCTTTGGCATGGGAAGCGCGATGCTAACGTGCCCGTGTCCATGGCAGAGAAGGCTGCTGCACTGATGAAAGGCGTAGATCTGAGGGTCCTTGAGGATGAGGCTCATCTGAGCATGTCTCTGAATCATCAAGACGAGATTCTAAAGGCTTTACTGGTCGAGGGTTGAAGAGCGGCATATTTTTCGATTTGGGAACAATACGGAGTACGCAAAATCAGTTTTTGTCAGAATATGGGATGCTATTGAGTCTTTGCCGGCATGCAGTCATCGATGATCAACCCGTCGAAAGCATGACTGAGGGCGGAATCGCCTGAGCAGGGTGGCAGAGTGTGAGAACTAATGTTGGAATATATGCATTTTATCGCCTACCACAGTAGGTAGCTCTGGCGTTCCGGCCTCGCACATTCAGCAATGGGCAAAAGCTTTCCTTCCACTGGATACTGTTTCCGTTAGCCCCGGAAGCCTCTACTGTATTATTCGACGAGAAGAAGTGGTAACGAAGTTGTTGTGCCTCGGCAGCCATGGCCTAGAACTGCCAAGGGCAGGAGACGAGAGTCGGAAACAAGGCTAGAATTCTGTCAACATCGGATGGAAGGCTGGCGAATGAGACCCTGCGAGCATGGTATGAGGATGTCTGCCTCAAGTCGGTCGGCATGGGTGCCTCATGTAATCCAACCACCATCACCGCCAATTGCCTTCCGGCAGCCGGAAATCGATACATCTGATCTGTCGGAGTCGGATCCAATTCCACCGGAAATGCCCCGGAAACTTATACGAGCTCGTGCAGGTTAAATGAATGACAACAGGACGAGACCTGCTTCGACGGATGCACAGTAACAAGAGAATTGTGTTTCCAAAAGCATCCGTCTCCTTTCATGACTATCATCGTCTGTCCGCGTTGATGATAGCTTGCGAACAACAAGTGCAACTGTTGGTGAACAAGGCTAGAACGATATCGATCGTGATTGGTCGCGTCTCGTTCACTCAAGATGGGCTCAGTCGGTGATGTGACAACGCAAGCACTTGCCAAACGACATAGGAACAGACGAGCACCTCGAGCTTGCCAGCCTTGTCGCTCTAGAAAGGTCCGCTGTGACGTGACGAAGACGAAGACTACGTGCACCAATTGCAGACTTGACAACAAGGAATGTGTACTTCCAGTCAGCAAAAGGCGGCACCTCGGGGATCGAGTCTTGTGCTCGTCTTTTCTAGAAGCAAGTCACCCGCAGAGTCCGATTTGCGACGTGATTATCGACTTCGCCGACGTCAACAAGGCTCCCACAACGAGCAAAACCCCGATCCCGACACATCGCGACCATGAAGAAATGCGGTTGGGGGTCTTCAGCATCTCAGGGAACGACCTGACCATGCCGCAGACAACGGACATCTTCGGCTCATCAGAGAGCATGGAATCTTGGGTGAACGACTTCCAGTTAGACATGGGCACATATCCATCCCCGCCGTACACAGCAGCGAGTGAACACTACCAGACAGTACTGCCTCCGTATATTGATGCTTTGTCTAAGGACATCTCAATGGAGGACCGAGAGTTCCTCCAGAGCAAAGGAGCTTTCGACCTTCCTGACGCACCAACTCGAGACTTGCTACTCCAGGCATACATCATGTGGGTGCATCCACTCAGCCCCATGCTCGACCTTCAAGGTATCTTGGCTGCAGTCTTCAGTAATGGTAGCAAGGGAAGAGTCAGTCTTCTTGTCTTCCAATCTCTGCTTTTTGCTGCTACCGCTTTCTCAAGCAGCAGCTTGGGGTATGTCGACCAGCGTGCGGCGAGAAAAGCCTTCTATGACCGCGCCAGACTGCTCCATGACTTCGACATCGAATCAGATCGCTTGGCCATCACCCAATCTGCCGTTTTGTTGAGCTTCTGGGAAGGTGACTCTACCGAGGTGCGCGACAGCTACTACTGGGTTGGAATTGCTACTTTGCACGCGGCTAGTCTTGGGTTGAACTCCGACCCAACGCCTGAATCCTTGGAACCAAGTCAGCGGCGAGCATTCAAGCTTACCTTTTGGTCACTGCTTATCAGAGACCGTCTCATAGCGGTGACGCTGAGAAGACCGGTCCAGAACACGGACTCTAGGCTCAAACAGCCCATGTTGCTCATGGAAGATTTCGAACTCGAATCACTTTTTGAGGCGTTGCAAGACACATCGCTGGTTCCAGACTTGAAAAAGGATGACTTGGAAACGCTAGCGAGTTGTTGCATGGCCTTGGGACAACTTTCCGAATACATTGATAAGGTTTTATCATCGCAATATGCGCCTCAGACAGCTCAGGATGCATCCGGACACCGCCCTGCCGTGGTCTCGCTCGTCCCCAGAATGGTTGGGCCGAAACATGTCGACATCAAAACATGCGGCAACGAGCTGCAGACTTGGTATACATATTTGCCCTTTGAGGTTCGCCGATTCCAACCTGGGACTGTAGGCGCGGACGACGAGCATAAGATCGTCCAAGTTCATAAAGCTTTGCTCGAAGGATACTATTCGATGACCCTCATGACAATGTACAGACCCCTACTCACCCCATCGCAACGGCGTCAGATCGATACAAAGATGAGCAATACCGCTGCGAGACTGGTCATGCAGGCAACCAGGTCAAGTACGGACGTCTTCGGCGGACTGTACGCACAAAATCTGATACAATTCCTGCCGGATACCGCCATCGCAGTCTTGGAGCCAGCAGTGGTCACCCATTTGGTGTACAGCATGTCGGAGGATCCAGATGTTCGAGAAATCAGCTTCCAGAAATTTTACCTCTGCTGGCGCATCCTGCTCGAATTCAGAAAATCATATCACATTGCCGACACGACAATAGCCATGTTGAACGCTGCAGCACAGAGACTAAAAGAAAATGTAGGACAGAGTCCATTGCTGTCCGGTGGAAGGGCCCCAACGATGGACAAGACATGTGCATCAGCCAGACCCGGCGCTGAAGTTGTGAATAAAGTTCCTTTCATGGGACTCGTGGATAACAACAAACTTGTGCCTTTTTCGACACCGGAAGATATCATCCTGGATGGTTTACTCAACAATCAGGATGATAATCCCGAAAGTTGTGCGACCGACGAAATCCTCGCGTCTGAGTTCGTGCTGGACAACGACTTCGATCCGCTGCCTTGAGGGAATAGAATGGGGCCTGATTGGTAGCTCTGCTCCAGATGACATAAAAATTAGTCGTAGCTGGCTGGGAGCTTTGGGCGACGAGACAAGGAGATAACCCAGGTCTCAGGTAATTTCGGGCTGCCAGATGAGATCTTCCCATATCCAGGCCTGAGTAGTGTTGTCAAAAGTGTTGGAAGTCCTAATATCTTGTAACGATAACAGCGCATCGCTAAAATTGCCGGTGCAGATATCACGAGGAATTTCTGGCGTGTGTTGATGGAAGATTCCTGAGGTGTCCAGATCCGAAGTCTCATAGTTACTGGACATTGGAGGATCAAAGTCGACCCCTTGAAAACGTTGCTGTCTGGCTTGGTTGACCTTGTTGAGCGATTCATCGACGGACTGGCCTCCGTGGACAGTTTCGGTGGTATTCGTCTTGGCTGAGGCGTCTCCCTCAACCAGCAAAGCCTTCATCTCCTCAGCAAGGATCAGCCGGAGGAGCTCCTCCAGAATAACGCCGCACTGGTCGGAGATCGTTGTTCGGTACTTGTGTAAACTTGGGAGTTTGATTATCTTGCTTACAGCACGTTTCGCTTGGTGGGCTTGGTCGGACAATGGGTCGGAGAGAGCGAAAATGCCGAGTACCACCCCAGCAGTAAATGATTGGATTCCAACGTATGCGCCTCCATGGGTATTGCGTGAAGACGAGAGTATTTCAGCATAGTCTCCAATCCGCGATGTTCTGATGGAAGACACCCAGCATTGGTACCTGCTTGTTTTGATCATGTCGTTTGGATCGTTCACGGTGTAGTCGTTGGCGTCGCCAAATGTTCCTTGACTCTGTGTGGTGCTGTTTGTTGGTGGCAATGTAGGTGCTCGGTTCAGTGTCAGCAGAGGGCGATGCAACACTAGCTGAATGTTGTCGTAAGACAGCTGGAGGACAAGAGCCTGGAGCTGGAAGATCTTGATGATCTGTTGGTTCCGCTCGCCACTGACAGGGACTGTGAGGTTCTGCAGGCGTAGTTCCTGTGGAATACTCTTTTCCCACTGCTGCAAACGTCTGTTGATAGCTTTTATCTCACTAACAATATAGTTCAAAGCTGCCCCGCTGCGATATATGTTCCTCGTAATGGATGAAGCAATCCGGTAGAGCCGGAATTTGTATCGTTGATATGACAAAATTGTGACTGGGCCAAACGTCTCGCCGTCAAAGGTTTCAATCGAGTCAAACCCAGGGCATGTCTCCGAGGTGTCCGCTAGATCTTCAGGTAGCGAGACATCCCAGTCATCATCGCTGATGGTACATGGGGTCCCATAACTTAGAGCGCCAAAGACTTCAGCTGTGTATAGAGCCCAGCTCAGACCACGCCAGAGTTCTCGAGTTACAGGATCTGACATCTTCCAGCTTGACTCTTTGTGTAATCCTAGATTCATAGCGACTCTGAGACAACTTCCATTGACCGCGACGCTCCGACTCGGCCGGCCATGGTACAAATAGAAGGAAGAAAGGGTTAGAGAGATTTGGACAGCCTCGATACCGGCTGCCTCATAAACGTCAAGCAACTTCTCTTCGGCCTTGCAAATGAACCTGTTGCCGAGACCGTCTAGGTCAAAACCTGGGCATTTTTGAAATGCTGCGGGACTTGTGGCGTACTTAGCACCAACCGCAATGACGAGGAGAGCCAGGATAAGTGACGGAACTCGATCAGCTCGAACGCAACCCGTAGTTTTGAAATTATGGATCTCAGTCCTGAGGGACGGCTCGTGAATCAGGAGCATGAACCAATGTACAGCATTGAGGTAAGCTTCAATCGTAACATCGATGACATGGAATGGAGGTAGATCTTCGCCGATGATGTCCGACACCCGTAGATATTGAACGCCGTTGGTGCTTGTTCTCGCCTCTGGGCTGCCGCCCGGTATCGCCGCAGAAGTGTGATGGATGGCTCCTTGCGGGTTGTGTTCTTTGAATATTTGATCCACCACCTCATATGTCGATGTTCTCGGTCGGTACATGCGAGGAGTTTCTGCTTCGACATGTTCTGGCTCGACATCTCGCAGTGTGGTTGAAGGAGGGCTCACGCCTGGAAATGAGGTACCTGGGGAGGGTGGCCGGTCATTCTGAAAGGTTCTCGTCAAGGACTCGTGTTGGTCTTCATGATGCAGCTGGGACGATGGTGTTGTCGAAGGCCTGGCGCCCAGTCAGTCATTGGAATGCCCATGATGCAGACGATCTGAGGCTTACCGGGATTTTGGCGGACGTTCCTCACATTCAACTCCTACCCGCACGCACAAGGCACAGGGGCGAGTGTTGTCGCAACGCAGCTTCTGCTTCCTACATCGAAGGCAGGCATGACGTGCTCTTGGGTACGGACGCTTCCTCGAAGGAGTGGCCGCTGCCGAGGACATTGGCAGAGCGTGAGTGTTTCGCGAAGTGAGCTTTTCACCGTCAGCTCCGTCTACGACATGACTACCGCCGGCTTCTCGGTTTGGTCAATTCGGCAATCACCCATCACGGGTAGTAGCGTCTATCGTTGCTGTTGCGATGCGAGGCCAGTGGGCGCGATCAAGACACGATGTATGGAGTATTGAGGGTAGGTGGCTCGGCGGATCGTATCTGCGGGGAATAACCTCGGCAATATCAATATCAACATCGAATACTAGTAAGTAGTCAGTATCTTGCAATTTCTACACAGTAGATCAGACGATCAGAGTACGGAATGCGAGATACTGTTATTGAGATGGTATTTGGATAGCCACTAGGAGTGTTTCTTACTACTGATCTTGTTTCTTGACTGCTTCCTGATGCTCTCCGTCCCGCTTTGCTTCCCAGCCAGTTCACACAGTATATCGGAAGAAGGGGCTCCTATCTCCTAGATCCAACAACTCCTGCTCAGTATATTGAGCTCTGACCTCTGCATCCGTCTTTCCTTGCATGTATGCATCTCTCTTGGCGTTCTCTCGTCGATAGACCTTGCGCAGAACGAATGCCATAATGATCGCGGCGCAGCAGATACCCAAGCCAGTGCCAAACCCGGCGGGATACTTGGGGGCTTCTGAAGCGATATAGATGTTGCTTCCGCAAATGCCTCCGGTGTTGCCCAGTGAGATCAGCAGCGCCATACCTCTATTCATCGCACATCACGTCAGCGGTAGGTCGATGTTGGGACGGAGGGGCATCGGGGAGTCAACCACTTACACCGCACGTTTCGAGCTTGGAGCCAGATTATTGCCAATCAGGCAGACAAGGGGAACAAAAGGTGAGTAGAGACCAGCGGCCACAAGAAAAAGGAAGAAGTATGTAACGCCTGGTAGCCGAGGGTGAGGGATTGCGAGCTCCCCAATGAAGCCCACAACCGCGATACTATAACCAGCCATGATGAACGGCGTCCGTTGTTCAAACTTGTCGGACATGAAGGCGAAGATCAAGGTAATGATCATGGCAAAGACATAAATCGGATTTGTTAGCAGCTGGGCGTTCGCTGACGAATATCCGAGGTCCTCGATGACCGACGGCACGGCTACAACAAAGTTAGCAATTCATACCAGTTTAACACGACAGGGAGCACATACTAGCGGTAAACCCATAAACACCAATGGTATTAGCCCAGAAGATAACCACACCGGCGTAGATCCGCCAGTCACTAAAGGCAGCTTTGATGTATTTGAATTGGATTCGATCACTGTTTGTGACCCGGCCGTGTCCGGAGCCGGTCTCAAGGGCGAGCCGGTTGATGATGAACTCCTTCTCGTGCTTGGTAAGGAACCTCGCTGTCTCTGGATTGTCTGGAAGCAGGTACCACACGATGAACGATAGAGCCACGGGGGCAAGACCTTCCAGGATGAAGATCCATTTCCACCTACCAAACAGTCAGCTTTGAAAAGGCAGTCTCCTCGTTTGCAAACGATAGTCACCTCGACTTCAATTTACCCAGGGACACCCGAGATTCCATCCATATGCTGGATCCCATAAGCCAGCAAGCCCGAGAAGGCACCAGACAGGGAGGCTGAGGCGTAGAAGACGGCCATTCTTCGCATCACCTCATATCTCTTGTACCAGATGGTCAAGAGATAGGTCGCGGCAGCTGTAAAGTATCAGTAAACGGTCTACCACCGAAGACAAGAATCAAACACATGGTCATGCGCGAACGTCGCACTTTTAACAAGGACAGTACATACGGGAAAAGCCCGCCTCGGCGACACCAAGGAAAAACCGAGTGATCAGGAGTCCTTGATAAGTTGAGATGAGGCCCATGAGAGTCATGACGGTACCCCAGCTAAACATCAGGATCGAGATCCAGATAGAGGGTCTTATGATCTTGAGCACAAAGCCCCCCCGCTCAGCCGACCTTCTTTATGTTCTTCGTCCCGGAAGCTCGTGTGAACTCCAGCGTCTCCAAGATGGATATTGCTAGGCACTTCAAAGAACGCATAGGGAACGAAGAACAAAGTCAGGGCAACGTTGTACTGCATGCCATGAAGCTTGAGGTCCTCGTAAAGGCCGGCAATTTTCGCATTTCCGATGTTGCCGCGATCGATGAAGGCAAGACTGGAAAGGCAATGAGTACGCGGCGGCCGTCCTTGAGATCATGACTTACAGATACAGAAGGGCCAGAAGCGGCACCAGGCGGTAGTCAACTTTCCTCAGGATCCGGGTCTGCTCTGCCGGGTCGAGCTCAACAATGACCTCATCAGCAGAGAGGCCGATCTCGACGGTTTTGAGACCACCGATGGTGTCGATTTCGTGCTGTGAGAGGCCTTCACGTGGCTTCTCGCCTCCATGATGGTGATCGGGATGATCGAGTTGGTGAATTTCTTTCTCAAATTTCTCCACCATGGTGAGGGAACGTGCAAGAAAGGGGTGACGACTCTCAGAGAGGACTCAAGGATCGGGAATTGAGGGAGACAGAGGGATATCAGGGGGGTTTCGGCTTTATGAAGGAAGCAAGGTCCATATGGATCATCGATGCGCTTACCGATACCTCCATCATCCTCCAAAGTGCATATTCGGCCAGACGAACTGCCGAGGATGTCAACTGGAGGCGACATAGCCTATCCCTGCTGCAAGTATGTAGTCAGGGCTGGAGATAAGGCTATCTTGCCTGGACCAGGGTTACATGTGCCAGATGATTGACATCAATTCGTGGATAGTCGCCGTGCCACGCGCAGAAAACCTGATGGGACGGGGCAAAGCGCGGGGTCCCATGGGGGCTTGTTGGCGAATCCTGATAGACGGCGGAGACGGTGGGAGACGGCGCCGACGATGGTGGTTTAGTTGAGTGACACGCCTGGACGGGCAGGCTGGAGATGGGGTTTGTCCAGGACTTACGGAGTACAGCAGTCATTGTCCATCCACCTTCCACGGCATTGCGGAGATGCATTTCATTGTTGCTGTGCCTGGTTTTCTTTTGTGGCTGCGATAGGGGTTTACGAGGTGTGTAAAGCATTCGCCAACCATCACGAGCTTTAGCTAAGCTGAGGCTGCGGTCCCAAGCAGCGGGCACTCGTCTCTAGTGATCAGGTCAAAAGATCCGGTCATGATGCAACATCTCCCAGCCGAGGCCAGGTGGCTTGGAGCGGCGAGACACAGCGTGGGACAGGTGTACTAAGGTCTGGCATAATTTAGATGTAGGGCCTTTTGTGCCGAGCCAAAAACGCGGTCTGAAAGAGCTAGGCAGTGGCACTCCTAAGGTAGGCTGACTGCCTGAAACCCCTGAGCAAGCACGTAAGATGTTGATAACAAAGGCAACATACAAGAAGCGAGCAGATCATGTGATTATGCGGAGAATAGTGGAGGGTCTTGGCTTCTGTCCACAAATGGTTAGCTCCGGCATGAACTTCGTGTTGGCTCCGACACCCACAACACTCGCTTCCGTCACTTCCTTCACCTCCTCCCAGTCAATGGTCGAATTTGTCTCTAATGTTCATGCTCTACAACTCCCGTGATGATGAGGCGAGCTGCCGTCTCGAAAGCTTGTGATGCATGTCGGCGCAGGAAAGTGAAATGCAGCCTAAGTCAACCTTGCGCTCCTTGTCAGGATGCAGGCCTTCAGTGCACTTTCCTCACCATCAGACAGCGAAAAGGTCGTAAGGGAGCAAGTGCCCATGTCATTAACGCAATTCGGAATTCTCAACAGACATCAAGTCTCGATGAGGCGGAGTCTCTCCCGGATCCATTGCCATCGCACGCAACGTCGACTATTGCAGGGCGTCTGCCGCAACACTCCGCAGATGATGACATTGGGCAAACGTTGGATTCTTTCTCGGAAGATCTTCACGATATCGCGCCTACAGAGCGGCCACTGAATTCATTCCCCTTTCCCTTTGACAGCCTCAACTACACCTCCCCTACGTTCTCCCTCTTGCCCGATACTCATACAAGTCCTCAACACGACAATGTGCCCACCAAACGCTTTGCTCGCACCCAAAGTCTACTGCAACCGAGAGTGATCGATGTCTGTGCCGAATTCTTCTTGTCTGAATTGAGTTCGACTGTGCCAATCGTCACCCCGGACCTTATTCGACAGGCCACAGCAGCCGCTGCCAACGACGATGAGGCGTATTGTTTGGTTTGCTCTTTCTGCGCTTTCGTCCTTCTCCAGACAGATGAGCTCTCTCGAGACCAGCTCGTCCAAGCCGGCATACAGCAGGAGCCACGGGTGTATGGGCAGACCCTTCTGACAGAGGCGCTTTCAGTTCGCGGCCATCTTGATCTATTGGCCCTACCCAGCCTGCGGACAGTCTTTCTGACTTTCTTCATTTATGGATGCCACTCGGCATTGGGCAAGCACAGACAGGCGTGGTATTTTCTACGCGAAGCGACCACCTTCTACACTACGGCAACTATGGATTTGGCCGAGGAGGACGTTGACGAAGCGTTCCATCGCTTGTTTTGGCTGCTGCTGGTTTCCGAAAGGTTTGCCCCTCCAAGGACTACCCATGCGTGGCTAATTGCGGGCACTGTAGGTCACATGCAATCCGCAGACGTCGGCCCATCACCTTGCAGATTACACCTCAAAGCCCGAGCCTCGAGGATTTGGCGAAAAACAGTCCTCATCTAGTCGGTTTCCGTTGTCTAGCAGAGCTCTTCAAACCCATCGACGACTACTTCATCAGTCTGTGGAACAGAGCAAGCACCAATTGTTCTCCACACTTTCTTGTCGAATCCGAGCAGAATATAAGACGCGGTGTAGCAACATCGTTGGATATTGTAGACACGCAGCTTGCCAACATTCGTGTTTCGCAGCAATGGCTGCGGGTTATCGTGTGGCAATTATGCACCATGTTGGGTTACCTGTCAAGCGACGCTGCACACGAAAGTCTCACGTTCCGCTATCCCTTGAAGATCGCCCAGGATCTCGCGATCTCGACTTGGAAGCTTCCACTCCATAGTATGCAGATGCATGGCATAGGTTTGACCGAGAAGGTGTTTGACATCGCTTGCACTCTCATTGATGTCATCTCTTGCATTCCGACTGAGGATATCAAATCCAATGGCTTCGAAATTGGCCCGGAAGACAATTTGAAGCACTTCTTTTCTCTGATCGCTCGATTACCTGGAGGTCGAGACAAATACCTTCCGCTCTTGGTCACGAAAGTGGACCAAATGCTCCCTGCCATGACGGCACCCCTCGCTCGCCATATTCATGTGCCTCTCAACAAACAAGCACCCGCTTATATCGAATACGAAACGGGTTGAGACAGTAAGGCGTTGGTGGAGGCCACGGTCCGCGTCTCCAGTAATGGCAGGAACACCCAACCACATCACCGGACTTTTTGAGGTTGTGCAAGCAGAGTGCACGCCGTTCAATGTTTCTCTTCGATAACATCAAACTCCTCTGCACCGCTGGACAACCTTTTTGCTGGCATCGCATGTTCGGCATAAGGATCAATCTTGGTGGAAGCGAATTGACGAGCTGGGACACCTTTCTCGAAGAGAAGGTCAAGTTCCGCATATGTCCGTCCCTGCAGCAGCAAATGATTAGCATGGACTGTCATCATTGCATACCAGTCATAAACTCACCTTAGGTTCCGGCAGGCGGAAGAAAACCCAGATTGCAGAAAGGAGGCAGCTTCCGGCCCAGAAGAACGCCGCACGTGAGCTCCAATTCCATGCAGTCGAACTCAGCTGATAGTTCGTCATGACATTCACAAAGATATTGCTTGCGTTGTATGCAGATCGAGCTAGCACAATCGTTTTCGCTTTCAACCTGGTCGACGAGAGCTCCGAAACGAGCGAATATGTTACCGGTCCAACCGTGAAGTCATAGACGAATGTGAACACAACCAAAATGGCGCCGGTGGCCCAGATGGCGCTGTTTGATGTTGCGAATGACAGACAACCAACAATCATCAGCAATGTGAATTGAGCACAGAGACCGCTGAAGTGGATCTTTCGTCGTCCAACCCTGCTCATCAGGAACCAGGAGCCTGCTGTTCCCACCATGCCGAGGGCATATTGTCCCATCGACAACGAGAACGAGTTCGACGGGTCCATGCCGGCTTGAGTCCTTTGCAACTTATTAGCCACGGATGATTGCCGAGATAAGAAGACTCACATAAAGTAGGCAAAGTATCCCATGAGGTTTTGTCCACCGAGGGTTTGTACAAGCCAGATACCCACGACAATCTCTGTCCGTCGCAGATCGATGCCTTTGAAGCAGTCACGATACGTCACACCTTCGCTCATCGCCTTCTCGATCTCATTGGTATGCTCGATTAAGGCGATGGTCTCATCGGGGTTGAAGTTGGGCTCGTTGCGGGATGTGAGCCGCATCAATGACTTCTTCGCGGCAGCTCGGTTCCCATGGCGAACATGCCACCACGGAGACTCCGGTGCCCATATCAAACCGGCCAAAATCGGCAGAGGCCATACCCATTGCACTGCAAACGGGATGCGATATGCCCATTGATCGGCTCGATGGATGGAACCACGATTGACAGCTGCCGCAAAGAACTGGCCTATGACCCAGCACACTACGAATGGCGTCAGCTCCGGAACCCGTCCCCGGATTTGGGTCACTTACTGTTGATGAAGGTTGTGAGATAGGGTCGTAAGACTGTTGGCGCAACCTCCGAGGCGTAAGCGGGCGTGACTGACTGGAACGCGCCCCATGGCATCCCTGGCAGAATGGATTCAGCTTCTGTCAATTATTCGTCCAGTGCATACACTTACCGCAAAGAATCTCACCCACAACCAACACTTTCACGTTGGGTGCAAAGAAGAGCACGAAGATGAAGCAAATCATCAAGACCAGCGATCCAATTGTTGTCATCTTGTATCCGTATCGATCGGATACCCACCCAGCGATGAGCAGACCAAATATTTCACCAGCGCGGGCACCATTTGACAATCCAGACTGCCATGCTGCGGACACGGCCCATTTTTCTTTCGCCTCGTTGTAGACGCCATACTTTTTGTTGAATTCCGGGGACGCATACAAGCTCCCAAGCAATGCAAGGTCATATCCTTCCATGATCAGCGTCGATGATAGAAGAACCGACCAGCCAATGGCCTTAGGGTACAGCTTGATGGCTTTCATGAGACTCATGGTGTGTTCAGAGTCGGAAGCGTGCTTGGCCTCATGGCTGAGAGCCTCGGTGCGCAGGGCAGTGTCCTGTTTGCCATGGCTGGGGATTGTCTCATCGTGGTTGGAGTCCACATAGGTTGCTTTGTCGGTTGCTGACATGTTGGTGGTGGGTATAGTCCAAAGCCGGGTCGATTCTCCAGAGAAGGAAGCAGCGCTGAAAGAATAGCAAAGCCTACTGCTATCTACACGGTGCAGACAGACTTCTCTTTATATCTGTCTCCAGCTCCGATAAGTGCCCGCGCAGGCCTTGCTACCACGCGGCGTTCGCAGTTTGTTCTCCATGCGGAGAGGAACGTGAAAATGTGTGGAGATCAGACGAGAAGTTCGCTTGCGTCCAAAGTCGCATTTACCAAATTGTCGAAATGCTGATCTGACGCATGCCATGAAGGAAGGACGAGCTTTGATTCGTTGGACAGGTTGAAGAAAGCGCCACAGCACCGACGAGCTATATGCCAAGCCGGCGGCAAGTCGGAGTCAGAGCACAAAATCCTACAAGAATCCGCAGATTGGAACGAAGTCTCTCGGAGGTCAAGTCGGCAGTAATGTGGATGGTGGTCAGGCTCAGCATACTGAGGTCGCGATTGAAGATGCCGTTACGGAATACTCGACCCACTGGGCTCAATACTCCGTCGAAGGCCCGTCCGAGACAGAGTCAACCAGATCGATATTTATGGCCTTGAATGTTTTCCGAGAAACCACTTGAGCAGAACTTTCATGCTTCAGGGAGCTTGAACGCCGGGATTATGATTTCCAAAGTCTCCCAGCCATGGTGGAAGGACGCCACAATCTACCAAGTCTATCCTGCGAGTTTTAAGGACTCAAATGGTGATGGGTGGGGTGACATAGCCGGATTGGTGTCGGAAATTGATTATCTCCATCAGTTGGGCGTCGATGTGGTCTGGTTATCGCCCATGTTTGAAAGTCCTCAAGCGGACATGGGATATGATATATCGGATTATCAAAAAGTCTATGCCGCTTATGGGACGGTGGAAGATGTCGACGACTTGATTGAGGCGTGTCACTCCAGGGGCATGAGGTTGATACTGGATCTGGTTGTCAATCACACGTCGAAAGAGCATGAGTGGTTCCGAGAGTCCAGGTCGTCCAAAAACAACCCCAAGCGAGACTGGTACATCTGGAAACCACCGCGTTACGATGAGGAAGGAAACAGGAAGCCACCAACCAATTGGCGGAGCTACTTCGCGGGCGGCACCTGGACCTGGGACGAAACAACCCAAGAATACTATTTGCATCTCTACGCACCGGACCAGCCTGACCTGAATTGGGAGAATGGGGCCTGTCGACGGGCCATCTATGACAACGCAATGCGATTTTGGCTCGATCGGGGAGTGGACGGGTTTCGTGTCGACACTGTCAACAAGTACAGCAAACGCACCGAATTTGTCGATGCGATTGTGTCGGATCCCAACAGCGAGTGGCAGCCAGCACCTGAACAATGGTGTAATGGCCCCCGGATTCACGAGTTTTTGAAAGAAATGAACTCCGAAGTCCTTGATCACTACGATGCCGTGACTGTCGGTGAGTTGTCAAACACACCTGATCCTAAGGGAGTACTCCCGTACGTCAGCGCCGCCGAGAAGGAATTGAACATGGTTTTCCAATTCGACATGATTCGGCTAGGCACCGGTGATGGGTTCGGCAGTAAATATGAATTTCAACCTTGGAAGTTGACCCAACTCAAGACTTTCGTGGAGAGATGGCAGAAATTCATCGAAGGAACTGACGGCTGGACGACTGTTTTCTGCGAAAACCACGACAATGGGAGAGCAGTGTCACGATTCGGAAACGACTCTGCAGAATATTGGGAGACTTCTGCGAAAATGATCGCTTTGTGGCAAGCAACCCTCACGGGCACATTGTTTCTCTACCAAGGACAAGAAATCGGGATGACCAACATGCCGAAAGAATGGCCCATTGAAGAATACAAGGACATCGAGAGCAAGAATTTTTATCGCGAAGCGGAGGAAAGCCGCGATCCCAAGCGGATTGCAAGGATCATGCAGGGCCTTCAAATCTTGGCTCGGGATCATTCTCGGTTACCATTTCAATGGGATGGATCTGCCCATGGAGGGTTTACCAGTGCCAACGTGGAACCTTGGATGAAAGCTCATGACAACTACCCAAGGATCAATGTTGCCAAGCAAGTGCAAAATCCAGCCAGCGTTCTATCATTTTACCGGCGAATGTTGAAGCTGCGTAAAGATCATGCGGATGTTTTCATTCATGGCACATTCGAACTTGTCGACGCCAAGGACGAGAAGGTATTCAGCTATGTCAAAGCCAGCTTTGATGGAAGAAAGAGAGCAGTGGTTATCCTCAATTTCACCGAAGAAAGGGTGGCGTTGTCCAAAACGGTCACCGCGTTGACCATGGGATACCGGCTACTCGTGGAGACCAGCACGAGTGATGCGCGCGAAGATGGACTTCTAGACGCATATGCAGGGAGAATCTATGTCGACTACTAGAGTTTCAGGTTTCCCCACGGGCGGTGCTTGACATGCACCGCCATAGAAGTTTTCATTGCGGAGAGATTGGAGTTTCATCAGGTCAGCTACCCACCGCCTGCAAAGACTCGATGGTAGAACGTTCTGCCGGAGATCTAGTTTAGAGAACTACTTTACTACTGGTAATACTGTACGGACTCGTAGATACCAGTGCCTTTTAACGCCCATTATGCCCAGTAAAGAGCAAATTCCCTGTACATTTTCGGACATACTCCGTACGTCAATGGCAAGCTGTGCTCTTCGGGTCCTTCACTTCGGGGCCGCCCGGATGGGGTCTTCTGCCGGGTTCTGGACGGCCTTCAAGAACTTCTCGGCGCCTTCTGGGTCATCGGCAAAGATGTGGTCGGCCACCATCCTCTTGGGCGTCTCACCCATCCATTGAAACAGCGAGAAATCCTGGAATTTCTCCGCCTTGAAGATCTCGAGCACTTCAACCGGCTCCTCGTCGCTCAAGTTCTCGATGAAGTGACCCATGTTGCGGGGGATGACACCAACGTCGCCGGCCACGTAGTTGAACGTCCGGGCGGTGCCGTCGGCGGCGAAGATGGTGACACGAGCGCGGCCCTTGATGAAGAAGGACCATTCATCGGCGTTGGGGTGCCAGTGCATCTCGCGCATGGCGCCCGGTCCGATGTCCAAGTGAGCGGCGGCGATGGTCTTGGAGATGGGGAAGTTGGTCGAGTCGGTGATGCGGACCAGACCGCCCGTGGTGTTGAGGGGTTCTTGGTCGAGCATCTTGTGGGTGAATTGCAGTTTGGACTTTTTCACGTTGGCGCCTTTGGGTTCTTCGTCCTTGATGGAGCCCGGCAGGGTGCCTTGGAAGATGTATTTCTCCTTTTTGGGGATCGTCTCGAAGACTTCGGGCGCGAGCTTGAAGTTCTCGGCCAGAACGGCCTTGGGGGTGTGCTCTAGTTAGTGTCGGGTGTTAGCATTCGTATTTGTAGAACGCGGTCGAGTCGCTGTGCCGAATAGCACCAAAGATGGCAAGATGGCACTTACTGAGCCAGTCGGTCAACAAAAACGTTGATTCCTCGTCGAAACTTCCATCGTCAAATACGAGCAGGAATTCGGTGCCGTTGGGACTCAGGCCCTGCAGCGAGTGAGGGTGGCCGGAGGGGAAGTACCACAGGTCACCCTTCTGCAGGTCGTCGATGAATTGCCCGCCCTCGGTGTCCAAGGCCGTGACGCGCACGTTGCCTTCGAGCACGTATGCCCACTCGGCCTGCTTGTGCCAGTGCAGCTCGCGGATCACGCCATAGTCGAGTCTCATGTTGACGCCGGCGATCTCGACGGACGAGCCGAGTTCGCGGACTGTGGTCTGGCGAGTCCATCCTCCTTCCTGTCAAACCACGAATTAGTAAGACTGTACCTAAGGATGCTCCAGAAGGAAAGTAAAAGAAGTATGGACTCACTTCAATTCGAATATGTGAATCGGCAAAGCTCCAGCGCATGTTGGGCAAGCTGCCGTGGTCGGTGCTTGGGGGACGTAGCATGTCCGGGTTCTGCCTCTCTCGATCCTTGTTTCGAGGACCCATCATAGTCGCGCCCTCGCCGTTGCGCCATGGAAGAGGCTGCAGGTTCTCACCGTACGAGTCGACCTTGTGATCGTAGGGATCTTTGTGCTTCGGGTTGTACGGTCCATTGCTCTCCGGGTCTGTGATGGGATGTTGTTGTTGTTGCTGCGTCCAATCGGAGAGAGGGACTGCCAGGGCGGTGCTTGCGAGAAGGGACCAGACTGAGACCTTCATTTTGGTGACGGATGGGGAGGACAGGACAAGACGAGACAAAGCTGGGCTAGTCAAGAGCTTGAGCTTGAGCTTCTGCTTCTTCTATTTGTACTCCGCTGATGACCGTCGGAGCTTTATATTTACATCAGGGGGAAGATGACTGGTGACCACTGGTCACTACTAAGTAGTAACTGGGGAGGCGGATGAGGAGAAACGTCATGAAGTCCGGCTGAACGTTTTGCCCTCGTCCAGGATCGACTGGGATCGACCTTTTGTTCGCCTTCGTCACATTTGGAGCTTTGCCACGACTTCGCCCAACCTCGAGATAAAGAGAGCCCGGCAGATTGTTTTTTTCCTGGCCCTTTGCACACTTTCATTACCGCGTGGACTGTGATACTCTGTACCGTTTCGCTAAGAACAGGCCATCACGCTACTACTACTGCTACTGCCACTGCCACTGCTACCACGACACGCGACACTTGTGCTCGTACTTCGCTGGTGGCTCATACTTTTCTTGAAGCTTCAGCTTTCACCAGCCGCGTCAACATGACAACCGCAAATGGATATGGCACGCTGGGCGGAGATTCTCCTCATCATGTCTCGGCTTCAGACAACGAACACCAACCACTGCTGGGCAATAACAACAACAATGCCAAAAAGCCCTCGACTGCCTCGTTCAAACAGCATATGACCGAGGACATTGATAAGCGATGGGCCGACCTCCTGCTGCTGCTGTCCTATGTCATCACGGGCCTGCTCGACAGCTCTGCGGTCTTCATCTGGGGATCGTTCGTGAGCATGCAGACGGGCAACACAGTCTACACGGGTCTGGGACTGGTTGAGCCGACCAAGGGGACACGCTGGATCCGGTCACTCACCTCGATCGCGTTCTTTTGCATGGGGTCGTTCTTCTTCGCCCGCTTCCACCGGTTTTTTTCACCCAAGAAACGATGGGTCCTGATGACCTCGTTCGCCATGCAGCTCGTCCTGGTCGTCATCGCCGGCGCCGTCGTCACCGTCGACTCGCAGTCGCACTCCGAGAACCAACTGCGCTGGCAGGTGCTCGTCCCCTTGGCCCTGGTGGCGTTCCAGAGCAGCGGACAGGCCGTCGTCAGTCGCGCCCTGCAGTACAACAGCCTGACCAGTGTGGTCCTGACGAGCATCTACTGCGACTTGTTCTCGGACCCTTTGCTCATGGCCGGGCTGACCAAGAATGCCGAGAGGAATCGACGAGCCGCGGCGCCGTTGTTGCTCTTGGCCGGCGCCATCTTCGGAGGGCTTTGGTCTCATAGTCCGATCGGCTTGGCTGGAGCCTTGTGGACGGCCGCGATATTGAAAGTCGTCATCATTGGCGCGTTCTTCTTCTGGAGAGCCGAAAAGTCTGCCCCTCAAAATTGAATGAACAGGGACATCTAGTTAGGAATGTCGTCTCGAGAGGCACTTGCTCACCATGCGGGCAACACGCGGTATAGACTCCGATGCTCACAAGGGCAAGTCAAAGCTCGTATTGAGTCGGGAAGCATCACTTGAACATGAGGTCTTGGTGGTGTCAGACGCAGCTCTTTCAAGTCATGGAATTGTCGGCGGTACTGCTACTGCATGGGGTTGCTAGTCCTTGCACCAGCGTCGAGGAAGCAAGTGTTGGACGTGGGTTGAGAGTCGAGGAACCTACGAGTGTGGCATGTACAATCCTGCTTATAAAGCTTGCATGGAAGTCGGAATGGGATAGACAAAGCCAATCAAAAATCATTGAACACTACAAGTCATCCACGAATTCGAACAAGCACATAAGCCTTGCATATATTCATATTTATCTTCAACTTTCATTACGGCTATCAGGAATTCTCTGCCGACGAGCTAGCTAGCTGTATTCGTTCGAGCCGAGTGACCTACTTGAACAATTTTTTGATACCCCTTATCCTTTCGCATCGCCTACATGTGCTTGTGGAAGAAGTTGAGCAAAGTCTGATAAGCTTTCTCGTAGGCGGCCTTGACCTTCTCGTCCTCCAGATCGCCTCGCGCTGCCATAAATCCATGCTCTTGATCGTTGTACCACTCAATGTGCTTGGGCACCGTCAATTTCGATTCGTATTGGTCGACGGCAGACTTGTCCTCTCCCTTTGATGGGATCATACACATTGGGATCGTGACCTTTGGCGCGTCGTTGGGGTCGACCATAGCTGGGTGGCATGCTGCAGCGGCCTTGAACGGAGTGCCGGACTGTGAGACCAAGTTGACAATCTATACAAGAATTAGTGACACAAATCCGGGAACAACATAGGAGAAACAAGAATGGGAATGAGACGGAGACTGACCTTCCCGCCCCAGCAATACCCGACGACACCCCATTCCTTGATGCCTGGGTTGCTGGACTTGAGCTCGTTCATGACGCTCTTGACCTTTTCGACCGTCTTGGGTGGCGCGGCGGTGGTCTTGAAGAACTCGCCCAATTTCTGGCCCTTCTCGTCCGTGTCCGGTGGGTACCAGGAGATGTCGGCGGGCTTGCCCTCGAAGAAGTCCGGCATGAAGATGCGATACTGGTGCTCCTGGTCGGCGTGCGCGAGAATGTCGGCGCCCTGGAGAGTTTGCGGGAAGAAGCCGAAGATGTCGTAGACGACCAAGATGCCTTGACTGGCAGACGACGGTCCGGTTGTGTCTGGGGAGGATGGCTGTGAGCGATGGATCCAGATAGAATGGCGACGGATGTGCACGGGTAGACCTACAAGTCTTCAAGCCATCGACTGTGATGAATTGTCCTTGTTGTTGCTGCACAATAGTGTCAGGATAACTCCCGGGGCGACTCGGATTGGGGTCGGACAGACATAGCCTTTGCTAACCACCACTGGGGTGTTGCAACCTAGAAATACTTAGCTTGAATCGAGTGAATTCAAGATTTCAGGGTCTTGTACATGCTGCAGAAGGTGTCTGGGACATGCTGGCCAGAGTTCTTGACTGTGCTGGTGAACCGAAAAATGACTTGGATGCGGAAGAGATCTGTTTGGTGATGGCAGCAAGTCTGAGGCGAGAGGTCATCGATACGCAGTTGATCAAGTATCAGATGCAGAATTGATATTTATCATTGAAAGAAGTGGAGTGAAGCACGCAGATACTCGTAGAAATCGATGATGTTAATACGCGGAGTTGATGGAGTTGATGCTGCATGAGCATGAAGATGAGGGGCATCATGATTGATGGGGTTCTTTCCCTCGCTCTCCATTCGATCCTCGGCAATTCTTCTACCCAGTGTGCCAGTACCTGTACCGAGTATAGATATTGCAGATACCAAAATCTACGTCAGGCATCGCAGGGATCTACCACAGTACTTGATGTAATGTCACGTGGAGAGTCGCTTCCAAAGAGCGTGAGGCCGAAAGGAACATTGAGACACGATGATAACGGTGTGAACACTATACTCCTGTTGCAAATTCATGAACTTTTCCGGCTTCTTAATCGCACTTTGAAGTCTTCTTGCTTGACGAACCAAGCATTATGAAGCTTCCATGGCTTTGAGGGATCGGCGAGTTCAAGCTGTAATCATTGTCAATGCTTAGCACACGTCTATACACGCTTCTGGTCAGGTTCCACTTACCTCGAATCTCATCGTCAGAGCCGGTACCAGCTTGTACATCTCCAACAGACTGATATTCTTGCCAATGCAAGTCCGTGACCCGGCCCCGAAAGAGAAAATCGAATTCTCCATGAGTCGTTTCTGTTCAGTAGACGCATCAATCCACCGTTGAGGACGATACTGCTCGGTATGCTCTCCAAATAGCGGATCCCGATGCACCGTCCATGCATTACAGCCCACGATGGTCCCTGCTGGGATATACTCGCCACAGAGAGTCACTCCTCCGGCAGGTACAATCCGCTCCAAGGTCAGTCCTGCCGCTGGATGGCACCGCAGCGTTTCTTTGATGACTGCATTGAGATACGGGAGATCTCTGACATCGTTCCAACTCATCAAGCCTTCTTCGCTTACGGGCACTTCCTTCAACTCTCCCATCAGTTTCTGCATGTCATGGGGGTTTCTCAAGAGGTTGTAGAATATGGCACGAAGCGTGATAGCTGTGGTGTCTGAACCCGCAAACATATTTGCGACCGTCAAGGCCAGGACTCTGTCGTGGGTCATGAATTCAGGGTCTTTCCGGTGAGCTTCATAGAATCTCGACAGGAAGTCCCTACGCCCAGGCTTTCCATCAGGACCATTTGGAATCTTTTCTCGACCTTCCGCAACATCAGGCCGAGTGGCGATGCGGGCTCTTGCAAAGGTCACGACAGGAGAGTTGGCGTTCAAGAGGTTGTATTTACTCGCGGTCAAACGTAGTGGATTCTTGAGGAATACACTGTCGAGGATGGGGAGTTGGCCGACCTAGAACAAACAGGGTTTAGACGTCCCCTCGCATGAAGTCGAAAGTGTCTTACCACGGCGGCATAGTTGAGCAGCCATTGAAGATCTTTGATGATATTGTCAACGTCCCCTCCTTTCTCAATAAAGCCTATACGTTTCGAGTAGGTAAGTTCGCCTGCGATGACCAGAGTCAGTTTTCAAGACAACTAGCCACGGCAGCCACTTGCCTATCACATCGAACGCATAGTATTGCAGCCACTTGCTGAAGTCACAAACACCCTCGGGTCCAGACTTATCGGCGAATCGCTTCTCCAGCTGACTCAAGAACTCCAGTATAGTCGAATCAACCAACGGCTCAAATTGGACCAGCGTACTCATGGCATAGGCATTGTTGACGGCTCTCCTTAACTTGGCATGGAACTTCTCATCGGTAGAGGTGAACAGGGTGAAGAGCCGACGACCCTTGGCGATTGTCTGCTGTACAGGATAGAACTCCGATTTGATAAAACCGGAGTTCAAGGCGTAGATGGTTTGGATCGCCGCTGGGTCGGAGACTGACACTGCTCGAGGACCAAGTCGGACCAGTGGACCATGCTTTTGGTGTAGTCTGATGTGCTCCAGTTCAGGCCGTCGCTGCCAAACGACAAACACACGCCATAGATCTGTACAAGAGGCCAGGATTGGGCCTGGTATATGACTGATTCCTCGGCCATATCTGTTGAAGAGTGCACGACTGGTGATGAGGATGACGGTCGCCCAGGTAAAGTACAGGTATGGGTGCTCCTTGAACTGGGCCACTATTTGATCGGTCAACATGCTGAATGTGAGGCTCGATCAGATCAGTTGATGTTCAAAGGAGCCGCCAACTAAAGTGAATAGCAATGTAAGCCCGATCGAGCCCCCGACTGTCTCTTCTTGTGATGCCTGTTCACACGGAAACATCCCACTTGTCATTTGCCGAATCCCCCATGATATGGGGTAATTGGAGTGTGGAGGGGGAAATGCTAGTCACTGCTGTCCTATACATCGGAATCAACCCGCAGAAGGCGGAAATGCGGCCGGTATAAAGGACGAGATGTAGTAGTGCATTGCCTGGGAGGTTGAATATATTGATTAAACAAGAAAGAGCCTGTCTGGTCCGGTGTCGGCGTGCATACCTGTGCATAGGCCTGTCCAGACGATGAAGATAGCAAAAATCACCGGAAATGCGAGGCCGAAGTGGTTGGACTGATATAGTATACCATCTCTCAGGCCGTGTCTGGGGCCCAAATCAGAGACTAGTAGGCCACGGCGACATGGTATGAACAGTTTGCTCTCGAGAATGCGAATATGCGGAACACCTGCTCGATTACTTTAGACACGGGAAACACCCACTGTGTGCCTCCTGGTTGTCTGGATGGTCACGCAGGAGGACAACGCTTTTTGAAGGCAGATATGTGCGAGTACTGGCCTGATAGATCCTAGGTCATTGGCTGGGAAGACGATCCTGGAGCTTTCTCAAAGAAATATTGTGTAGATCCAAAGATTGAGACGAGGAGCAGCGAAGATTGTTTTGTTTATCCGGACGCGCTGTTCATGGCGTGTGACGTCATTGGCGAGAACTCGGTACTGTGCAGCTTCCTTTGTGTTTTGCAGCTGCGATCTTGATATTCGCTTCACGGTCCTTGCGAACTCGAAACTCACACATACAGCCTGCTGTGGCGTCCTTCTACCTCTGTCGACTTTTGCCTCTCCTTCGGGCTCGATTAGCCCGCCTGCAAGGCAAACCTTTCCATCCCGATCCTTAGGCCACTGCGAGTCGTAAACCAAAGTCGTCAATCGACATTTGACGGGGAGCGCAGACGGCATAGAAAGAGGCTGAAACAAGTGGTCTGTTGGGAGCCGCAGGACAGGTAGGCAGCATATACTCCTGGTAAGCGAGCGAGCAAAACACGGTGCCCGGCCAGTAATGCGGAAGCTTATGTGCACCTTGGTCCTCCTCAGTACTCAACCCTGGCGTTCCTCGATGTCGGCTACGGTTGCGTCCTTCGGGCTCAGACTACAGTCGCAGTTGATGTGGACGTGAACATCCCATGGGACAGCTACCTGCCTCAACCGTGTCCGATTCGAAGCGTGACAAAAGAGCAAATGATACCAAACCATCTCGCTGCTTCGGCGTCTCGAGAGGCGCACGCTGAGAAAAGAAAGAGGTTCAATGAGTATTGGTAATATTTGCGTGAGGTTAAGAATCATTGGGAGATCGTGTGGCTTTCAGCAAGGCATCTGGACCTTCAATACAGCAAAGGTCTGGGTCTGCGGTAGCTTCATTTTGTCAATGATGAGGCGATTGGCGGTCACTCAGCGTTCGAACATGGTTATAGTCGGACAGAATCGAAAAGTCAGGACACATATGCTCCAAGTGCAGTAGTTTTTTGGATTATTGCAATTCCATTCCAATTCCAATTCAGGGCGCCACCAATTGACACAATCTGCTCCCCATGTCAAAATAACAGAGTATCCACGGCTCCAAAATTTCGGTCTCCAAAAGGATGCCTATATGGGACGACATCAGCGACTCTGCTTGCCATGCTTGGTACAGACAGATCCCGAGAAAAGAAAGAGCCTGCCCTACTCGTTCTGCTTACGAAGAACTGCCTGTTGGGCCTTTCTTAATCACCTCTTCCGGCAGGGGTTCTTCTTTGTCGGCGCGGATCTACGTTACGATTGCACATTAGTATCTTGTTGCACGACACGATGCTGTGCTGATGGCGGCGCGGCGTACATCTTTCTCGCTCTCCGTGGCGTTCTCTTCACTCCAGTGTCGATTGCCCAAACGATCGGGGAGTTTCTGCTGCGTCATGGCGCTCTCCGGGTGGGTTTTCAGATCTGCTGCCTTTTCCGCGCGGGAAATGGCCGTCGGCCTCGCGCGGACGGCCGTGGTCGACAGGTACCGAGATATTATGCTCGGGCGGCCTAGACGTGTGCGGGCGAATGATAGTGCTGCTGTTCTCATTGTGGTAGAAATCGACGAAAACCGGCCGATGCGGTGCGGCGAAGCGTTCAGGGCTTGATATTACTTGGTAGTCACAGGCTGTGGAATGGTTGTAGAAAGATAGCACGAGGGAAGGACTTCTCGGATGGGTCCATATATGATTTCCTTGTACATCCCCGAATTCCAGACCCATCTGGTCATAATGTCGGGAGTCCGAGGAATGAGTGTTGTGGTGGGAAGTGGTGTGATAAAGTGGTCATCCGAAAGCCGGCTATTGGATCAGACATGGAAATGGATACTTCTCAGACCACGCCACAGCATGGAAGTGGTTCTTCTGTGCACGCTCTCCTCGCGGGGACCGACGTGATCATGATCTGGACTTGTTGCGTCAAAGCGGACTCTTCCGAATGGAGGAAGTTGGCTGATCAGCGTCGACAAAACGAGACAGAGTTGTGGTAAGATGAGCGCGACTTGGAATGTTGCAATAAATATTCAAATCTTTCATTGCGGGCTAAAGATTGAAGGATGGCCTTTTTACAGTGTACTCCGTGCAACTATAACTTTCTGTTCCGCCCTCTTGTTTTCAGGGTGCGTACTCATAAATGCATCTGTCGAACCTGGCATCTTTCTGGAGTATCTTGGAATCTCATACACGACTTGTAGACCACGAGCGTGCGAACGACTCGATACAATTCTACCCCTTGTGTATGGTATCTCTTCTGTGCTCCTGGAGTGACGTCTAGTCCGTCGAAGGCTGCTCCAGCCACCCATGAAGAGGTTCCTTACTACGCCATAGTCATAATCGCCAGGATCAGAAGGCAACGTGCAACTGATGGGATGGACAAGGGCTCTCATCGCCCACGACATATACTGCGAAAAAGAAATTGCCCGGAATATCCACTTTTCCCATTGCATGTGCTCACTACATCTTTCAGATCATGTTTAGGACAGCCATGACTGCGCCAACCATTGCTCCAGACCCAGCAACCACCCTTCCTACTCCGCCCGTGTTCGATGCTGAAGCTGCCGACCCTGCTGCCGACGCGGTCCCTGAACCGCTGCTCGTCTGTGAGCCGCTCAGAGTCGTGGAGGCAGGCCCAGAACTTGTCGCTGCACTTGATCCAGTGGCGGACGCAGAAGTGCTGGCAGGACTGGTGCCGGTGGAAGATGTTATGCTCGGACCAGGGCCAGACGTGATCATGTCTCCATTGCCACCCGGGTATGTTCCACCTCCTGCTGCAGTAAAATCTTGTGGCACCTGAGTCTCGTTGCTGGCGAAGTAATACATTGCCGCAGCAGGGCTCTGTCCCAAGTTGGACTCTTCCAGAAATCTTGTCACGTTGAAACTGGTGCGGTTTGTGGCGCTGTAGCCCTCAAAGGCCGAAGGGAAGGAGAAGTTGCCGTGCTGAAAAAAGGTATAGATGATGTAGCGGTGAGCGGACGAATTCGTTGGAGGCGAAGGTCTAGCATATGGGACTCGCGGGGCGGTTGTGTTCATGAGCTGGCTCGTACCATCAGAGGACATGGCAGCTGGGATCATGTCGGTTTGTAACCAGTGCACAATGAAGCGGAGATTGGGATTCGACGGGTATCTCGCATCAGGATCGACCATGAGGAGGACGTAGGAGCCATTGTAGCTGGCAATCGAATCGTAGTTGGCAGTCTCGAGGGCGACCGTGGGTTCATTGGCGGTGACTGTAGGCTGTCAGCAATGAGGCTGAGTGCGAAGAAAACGACTTCACTTACTGCCTACGCCAAAGAGCTCTGCTTCCGTGACAACGATCGGGTTTCCATTATCTCGATACGTGACGGAGAGCTCGGTGTGGTTGGGCGCCTCCGGGAAGCCGAAATCTGGTGGAGGAATGGCCAATGCTGGAGCGACGCTCAAAAGCAGGGATAGCAGAGCACGGGAGTGCATGTTGCTGTAGTATAAGCTTGATAGAATGGACAAGCCGTGGACTTCGTCGCAGCGACCAGCGCAGGAGGTTATACTACATCCTGTGGTACAGACCTACCTGGATGTTGGACTGGATCATGCACGTCATTGCCAGTGTTCCACATCCACCAGAAAGAGTTTCAACAGTGTGAGAGATGTGCTTCGCCTCACGTTGCCGCCTTGGCTGCAGAACGAGGTGTGTTGTGATTCGCATTGATCGGATACTCGGAGTCGTACAATTCCAGATCGAAAAAGATGCTGACACCCAGGGCTGGGACCACGATTTTCAGGGCTCTTAGGCCCACGCTAATCCAAACCGTCAATCCAGCGTTATTTTCTCTCCACACCCGCTTGTCGGCGGGGAAGATGTACAAGTATGTCACTGATGATGAGGCATAAGGTGTTCTGGTGCGCCCATCTCACCCTTGCTCTTCACGGCTGCCTTCCGCAGTTCATCAATAGGTTGGTCAGCAGGAGACTCGAATAGAAAATGCTCTTCCACTCCTGCACATACTTGCTAGTATCGCCTTGTCAGAAAGTCAAAGGTTGACGTACCAAGGCTCCGGCGATGGCGAGGAGAATACTTGTGACTGGCGCTACAGGCAACCAAGGTCTTGAACTTGCAGTACGTGATCTCTGCTATAGCGCTCTGACCAGAATCTGCAGGAGGCTCTGTGGCAAAGCTACTGCTGCAGTATCCCGATCAATATGCGGTTCGCGCCCTTACGCGGAACCCAAGCTCAGCAGGAGCAAGACAGCTCTCTGAGGCGGGCGCAGAAGTGGTCAAGGGAGACCTGACAGATCCATCAACGTTACCTGCCGCGTTCGATGGCTGCTGGGGTGCCTTTGTAGTCACCAATTTCTACGATTCTGTAGGTCGATAGCTGCTGCTGCTCCCTCGACAGCCTGACAGTCATATAGGACATCAAGGACGATCCAGCTAGCGAAGAAGAACAAGGTAAGAATGCGGCCAGGGCAGCTCTGAGCGCAGGGGTCCAATGTTTTGTGTGGAGTACTCTTCCGAGCTCCTTGGAGATATCCAAGGGAGAGGTTTGCTGCGAGATATACGAAGGCAAACATCGTGTGGATGGATTCATCAAGAACATTGGGCTTCCAGCGACCTTTGTGTACACTGGCAACTTCTATGAAAACATGATACTACGAGGTCATGTCAGGAAAAGCGAAGACGGCGCACGTCTCGAGTTCCGACAACCTATCATCCAGGCAAACACGAAACGTAAGCTTCTTCCTGTTCTGCGAGGAGTTCTCGGCTGAGGCAGGGCAGTGCACATGCTCTGGGTCCAACGCGACCTTTCGACCATCGTCAAAGCAATCTTTGGCAATTGGGATGCACGCAAACAGGAACTGCTGCATCAGTACGTTTATGCCATGGATGCCATTCACACTCCAAAAGAGGTCTGCCAGACCATCGAGAGAGGTGAGCACAGTCGCAGACCTCGGTCTTTGGCCCCTGCTGACTCGGTAGTCACTGGTCTTCCGACAAAGTATGTCATTTTGCCAAACACAGGCAACGAGTCTCGCGATATTATGTTCAATCTGTACAATAAGACAGGCACTTATCCTGGTGTACAATTACCCGACAAGAAAGTGTTGGAACTAGGTGTTGAACTGCATGGACTCGAACAATTCGTCCGAGAGGACCTTGTGCCACATTTGAGGGCATCGGGTGATCTGAAAGAATAGCCAGTGATCACGGCATGCACCGGGTTCCTGATCTCAATCTCGATTACATCTCATACACAATTCATCGTCCTCGCAATCATCGAGTCTTTGCTTGGCGCAAAGAATACGTGAAGATGGAGTGATTTCGATGTCTCTCGTTTGTTGGGCCCGAAGGCTCATCCACGCCCGGCGGAGGTTTAATTAACCCCTACAGGATATTGAAGGACATAGGAGGCATTGGAGTCACAGACATTGAAGTCGCAGACATCTGAGCCTGTTGGTGAGTGAAGTCTGACCCTGAGGTACAGTGAATCACAAAATGCAGAGCCTGCCATTGGTATAGTCCTTGGGATGGCAAACCATGTTGACTTACAGCAGGTCAATGAGTACCAAATCGCGACATCTCTTGTGATTCTTTTTCTTTGCACTCGTTGATTATTCTGGCAATGCTCCATGGAGTGGTCAATCACAATGCCAACAAAGCAACCTGAGGAGTTGGGGTTCTTCTCCCTACCCTACTCAGAACAGGTCACTCTGCCGGTAGCCACCGAAGCTGCTTTCTGTGAGACCATGTCCTCTTTGGCGCTGGGACCGCGATGAAGCTCAAGACAGCTGCCGAAATCAACCTCTTGAAACACCCTTTTCATCTTCCACCGGATATGAGGCGTCTGCGCCTGCCAGGCCATCTCATGCCGCACATCGAATGCAGCATTCCGAATTTCAATCCAGAAGTCGTGGCCCGGGGAATTCTACAACTGCCGACAGATGCCTTCCAGAGGGAGGCGATTGTGGATTGGTGTGACGGTTATGTACAGAGCTTGCTGTATTCCATAGCGAAAGACATTCGTGACGGTCTTCTGCGACATCGCCAACAAGCAACTTCCTTTCTGGTGATGTGGCTCGAACCTATGGCCGACGTTCGGGGTCCTACTTGCACGATTTCAAAGGCTGTGAGCGAGTTTGAGAAATGGGCAAGGCCGACTTCATGGAGAAGAGACAGAATTATTGGAAGCTCCAAGCAGAAGAGGCCAGAACCCAGCGTGATCGGGCGCGACTCTCCCACGGTCAGAAACTCCTGCAAACCGGGGAGCTGTACGCAAAAGAGACGGAATGTCTAAAAGACTCGTTGCGGGCTCTGATGTCGAAAATCGACTTCTTGCTCTTGCATCATCCCGTTCTCAAAGACAAACCGGTCGAGAGAAGCACGGATAGACCTCGCCAAGAGATGAAGCCGAGTCGGTCGAGTGGCTCTTGACTAGTCCCGAGCGTCTTCCAGAACGTCTGCGGAGCCTTGTCAAGGTGATGTTGGAGGTCGCACTTGAAGGACATATGAAGTTGCTCAAGCAGATGAGGAAATCTGCTTGGAGCTTCTGACGTTTGACCCAGCACCCGAGCAAGGACCCGACGTGAGGTTTGTCAGTGAATTGCTCAACGTAGCCAGTGGGCAGGATTGGTGTAGACTTGACAGATTTGTTTGAATTCGAGAGGCATGTGTTACTCCGGGGCGAACGGCGGCCAGAGATCTTGATCGCTCATGATGACTTGGTCGAGGTTGACGATCGTTGGAGATGAGAAGCTGTCGAGTCATTGGGTAGACACATGGTGTTAACGGCTTTGAAAGAGCCGGGCGGACAGCTTACGGACAATCCCATCCGCAATTGACCTTGACGTGGGTGTCCTTTCGAGTCGTACATATTTAAGGTTCGTCAAACGGCGTAGACGGTCAGGTTTTTGTCGAAAGTGGGAATAAGACTTCAAAACCACTTTGAAAGGATTGTTGACAGTAGCTCAACCTCTTCCCAGATCTTGCGGAATGACTCCTGGAAGACTCGGTCGGAGTAGTAGAAACTCACCAAGAGCGCTCGTACTTGCAGCCAGTCGCGGGACTGGAGCGTTTGTGCAACTCTTGCTAGAGCGGCCACGAACCATGGGCGTTCACGCTGGCCATAACTCATATGAGCTCCGATAAACAGGACCCACAATAGGGCGTTGTGAGCAGTACCCCAATATGACTGTAGAGCTGTAGCTTCGAGTGCATTCCTCAAGTCCTCGACTAGACCTCGAGCGATTTTGCTGGATGGTTGGATCACGTTATAGTGTGCATTGGAATATGTGATCAGCGCCAGCCGGCAAGCTTCTTGGATAGGCCGGTGCGCGCCGTAATGATCGAATGGATAGGATAGCAGGCGATGATCGACGTTGACTCGTTTGATGCTGACTTGTCTCTTTTCCGCAACTGGGAAGTCATGAATCCCAATCCGCTCGAAGCATCTGTCCCGCAATCAGCGTCTGGCTGGAGGTGAAGATAGGGATTTTATGATAACAAGGATTGACTCACACCCAGGCTCTTCGCGTGTCGTGCAATAATTGCCAGAACTCGTCATCGAAATACTCTCTCATTGCAGGCTCCAACAAGCCTTCTCCGAGTCTAGCGATACTCGGCTCGCTCTTTGAAAGGACACTCAGGAACTTCTCGTCGGTCAGTTTGATCTCGTCCTTGACCATGGGGAGTAGTGGCTTTGTTCGGGTTCTGATTGCACGCCAGAACGATCCACTGCCCGTCACATACTATCATCAGCCAAGGAAAAGGAAGATACAATCACTGTGGAGTGCACTTACACCATGATGGCCTCTATGGCCTTGCGCTGCACGCCGTCGAACCCTCCTCTGAGCTCGAGGAGCCTCTGAACGCCATCGAGATGGATGCATTCGTCACCAGCAAAAATCTAGTGCCACATGTCAGAAAATGATAGATTTCGTAGCCCCAGTCCCACGACGGAGACAAACGCACCTCTTGCCACAGAAGGAAATGCACAGCAACGAGTGTCGAAGGCTTTGCGGCAGTTTTTGGATCTGCCAGAGCTTCGTTGAGCGCTTGAATGGCCTTAATTCGGTAGTGGACCCGTTCTTGAGTCAGGTTCAGCCTTGAGTTGGGACCAAATCCAACTACAGAGACTTGCTCCATGTCGTAAGCCATGCATCCGATCAGTGCATACAGCAAGGCAGGCTCCGAAGCTGTAAGCGGGACGAGCCAGGAGTTATAGTCCTCTCTCTCTGCTTGCACCGGTTCGACGGCTGGCATGATGACGGTGAAGTAGTACATGATGATGTTCTCCATCTCGGGTGTCATTGACACCTTGCCGCTCCGGAAGGGATTTAGTTTCAGGGAGTCGAGGTAAATCCGCACGCTGGGTGCATGATAGTCCTGGGATGGGTTGATGGTGCTGGTGAGACTCGTGCTTTGAGGCCATCTTTGGATACCTACTACGGGCTCAGGAGTGTCTGCTTCTCGACGCACAAGGTCCGCCGAGACTCTGGTTGGGGGCACCAGCTTCTTTCGCGGAAACTCCTGCTGGCGTGCCAGCTTCCGTTTCATGAAAGCATTCTGCTGTGCGCGGCGGTTGATCTCCCGATGATCAGGTTTCGTCTCCTCAGTAGTGGCACTTCCAGAATGTGGAATCCAGAGCAGGTTCATGGGAGGACTCTGTTCAACCTTAGCGGGTGCCGGTGAGTTGGGCAGGGTTGACGAGCGCGCCGAGGTCTGGCCATCTTCGAGATCGTATTCTGTGGAAAGCATCTTCTCTGGAGGTCTGAAAGACATAGCGATTCTTACTTCCAGGTTCACCGGAGTCGTTCACCGCACGAGCTCATGCTGTGTCCAATGCGACCTCAGCTGATGGCTTGTCGGCAGATCACTGTTCAAAGCGAGAGCCGCGGCATCCCTTGCTCTTGGCAGTCTTGAAATGAGCTCGCGGTCGATAAGCGAAGCCAGCCACATCATCATCTGTACCAATCGCTGATGGGCAGCAGGGTATTCGATGCGTGGCCATGCCGTGTCTTGCTTGCGCTGTCGTCATGGAGTTAGACCAATCATCGTCGAATATCTCTTCTTAGTAATCACGGCGATATTGTAGGCTGCGAGGTTCAACACATTGCCAGTCTTACGTGTCGCCCATTTCTACGAACTACAACAGCCAGCTGGGAACTTTTCATGATGCGCACTGCATCTCCTAATGCAAGACCATTTCGGCTAGATGTCCTCTGAGGTCTTTGGATTCACCAGATGGGCAATGCCCGCATCTGCACACCTTGTCCATTGCTCTCCTGGACTTCGCTGAATTTGCCAGACTTTCATCGTAGGCGTCCAGAACTAACTTCTCAGACTGTTCGATCGCTTTCGCTACTTGTGCTATTTTGCTACAGAAGACCATCATCCTTCAAACCTGCGCCGTCACTTTTTGCACGGTACTCACATGCATGAACGAGGCATCAAGCCTTTCGATCAATACCTTCAGACTCGATTCGAAACCGATCACACACTCGACCTTCCCTCTTGTTCGAAGTCCTGTCCAGCTTGTACCTGCTACCAAGAGATGGAATCGACTGCACTTTGTGAGCTTGCCGAACACGGAACGGAGCACATGATTTCCAGTACAAGCGACGGCCCGGATGCAGCTTGAGGAGGTTTGTGACCATACGTTCACACCGCAGAGGCCTTTGCACAGGCCCTAAAGATGCGTTGGGCACACACCTGGATGTCATGCGCGCATCAGATTGTCACTGTTGCATGACCTCACGCGTGCCCTGCTGCCATGAGTCCAAATCGGCCTTGTAGGTCCAACTGTTGGCTTCAATTCGCAACGTCCAAAATCAATCTCTCGCCAGAATGCGGAAGACCCTCTTCAATTCTCAAATATCCATCATCTCATCCTTCGTGGGACAAGCACTTGGTATGTCCATCGATCTGAAGGTACGATCGCCCGCCAATGCAGACCGGCTTAGATGCAACACCTCGTATTTTGACTCAAAGGGTATAATGTAAGTCTGCCTGGTGATGCAATGGCCCCCTGAAGTTGAACCTTGCCCCTTCTCTCTGCTCTACATGTGGCAGTCATGGATCAATGACAGTACCCGAAAACTCGTCGATGTGGATGGCCTGTTCTTACCATGACGGCCACCCGTGGAGGCTGCACACATTGTTTCAAGTCTCTACAGCATCCCTGGACTGTAGCCATACCGCCTGGAAAAATGAGATTGCGTTTGTGTGCTTCACTGTGCTTTGCCGTGCCCAGCGGGTCGCAAAGGTGACTCGCAGGCTTTGTGGTGTATCCCCTGTCGCAAATCGCAAGCCTGGGGGGACCAAAGCCTGCATACATCTGCTCTGAAGCTGCATACTCTACGTGAGAATTGCTACTGACTAGACAGACTCGACCAAGCAATTTGGGATACTGCGTGTTGCCAGCATTAGTTGATCAGTCGGTCTCATACCGATATCGGCTTTAATTTCCTTGGCAAGACTCACAGGCTCTCAGACGATCGAGACTGACCCTCACAGATTGAGTCCACTCAACAAAAATACCGGATAAATACGAGCTGTTGTGAGGTTCGTCATGACAGCGTATTATTTGGTGGCAAGTCACAATGTAATGATGCGAATCCATGCACACTACGCAACCCAACCTCCACAACGCCGTAAGAGGCTTGAATGGAAGACTTCGGATGTTTGACAGATGAATTGACCTGCAGAAATTTCTGGATGGAAAAGGGCCGAAGACGGACAATGCCTGTTTTAAGGATCTTGGTTGCAAGATGAGTGTCACAATCAGAGCTTGATACGCCTACTCCTGACGACAATGTTCCTTTGAGGCGCAAGGGAGACTGCAATTCGGACAGGTCTGAACACGACTTTGCAAGCTGAGAGGAAGGATGTCGCTCCTTCGCAAATCCTTCCGTTATATTCAACTGCTTGTCTCAGCCGATCCCACCGGTCTGGATTACGTCCTTTTGCTGACAGGCACTGTCTGTGCCATTGTCTCTGGGATTCCTTTCCCTCTCATTGGAATCCTCTTTGGTCAGCTCATCGACAACTTCAACTCTGCCACTTGTACTGCGGACGAGCAGTCTGGCGACCACCCCGATTATCAAGGGCAAGTGAACTCCAAAATCTTGCTCATATTCTACCTGGCAATTGCTCAATTCATCACGATATATGTGCATTTGGCATGTTGGAGCTTGGGTGGTGCGCGCCTCGCCCAGCGACTTAGAGAAAGCTATCTCAAGAATCTGCTCCGACAGGAACCTTCTTTCTTCGACAATGTCACAGCTGGCGAGGTCGCGTCTCGGCTTAATGGCGACATTCAAACCATTCGATCGGGGACTTCGGAAAAGGTTGGGATATGCCTTTCGAGTGTCTCATTCTTCGTTACAGCGTACATCGTGGCTTTCATCAAAGATACCAAGTTGGCAGGCATGTTGATCTGGTTGTTTCCGGCCTACTTTCTAATGTCGCTGGTTGGCAGCCACTATGTTGAGAAGTATTCGGAATTGGTGTCCACTCATGCCGCATCTGCAGCGTCCATCGCCGCCGAAGCCCTTTCCAATGTCATTGTTGTCCATGCGTTCGGAGCAAACGCTCGACTCGAGAAGATCTTCTCACAACACCAAACATCGTCGGAACGGGAAGGTGTGAAAAAGGCATTCGCCACCGGAGTACAATCCGGGGTCATGTATTTCATCGCTTATGCTGGAAATGCTCTCGCATTCTGGCAAGGGAGCAGACAAATCGCACATGCGGTCAGCGTGGATTCCACTGATGCCTCAGTTGGCAAAGTTTTCACAGTCATTTTCATCATGGTGGAAGGTAAGACATTCCAAGAAGCAGTCGATTGACGTGACTAATGCTGTGCTAGCCACGCTTGTGCTCAGTCAGGTCGCCCCTTTCATTCACATGTTTGGTGCAGCCTTGGCTTCGTTCAATACAATCCGTGATGATATGAGCCACCAATCGAGCATTGACGCGACCACCAATGATGATGGCATACGTTTGGAGAACGTCAACGGTGCCTTCGAGTTGAAGCGGGTCTCCTTCCGATACCCATCACGGCCGGACACCGTCATTCTTCAAGAACTAAACCTCGAGATTCCTGCCGGGCAGCATACAGCCATTGTCGGGATGTCTGGAAGCGGAAAATCCACCATTGCTGGCTTGCTTACGCGGCTCTATGATCCAACAGATGGCCAAATTTTTCTTGACGGCCAGGACTTGCGCACTCTCAATGCTCGGCAGCTGAGGAGTCATATCGGATTAGTCCAACAAGAACCATCCCTGTTGAACCGCTCGATCTTGGAAAATATTGCCCATGGCCTGGTAAACTCAGCGCATCCCGACCACAGCCGTCTGGTACCGATTCTGCTTGGTCCACAATTGTCCATGCTGGCAGAGTCTGTCAGGAATGGTGCAGACATGAGTGCTGCAGCTGAGGAACAGGGTGCACTCGTGATGGAAATCGTCGAACTCGTCCGAAAAGCTGCCGCTTTAGCTGATGTAACCAACTTTATCTCGTCTCTCAAAGATAATTACGGCACATTGGTGGGTGCTGGTGGGCGACTGGTAAGCGGAGGCCAGAAGCAACGGATTGCTCTCGCCAGGGCTTTGGTCAAGGACCCGAAGATCCTCATTCTCGATGAAGCTACGGCTGCACTTGACTCGGCAAGTGAGCAGCGCATTCAAGCAGCTATCTCTAAGGTGGCCGCAGGAAGGACCATGATCACCGTTGCACACCGCTTGGCCACTGTGAAGTACGCCAACAACATCATTGTTCTGAAGGAAGGCATGATCCTCGAACAAGGTAATCATACGGCACTCCTCGCCAAGGCCGGTACCTACGCCAACTTGGTACAGATGCAGACCATCGGGGCAGGCACTGATGAGGACCTGGAGTCGTCGCAAGGCTCAGTCGAAATCGACAGTCCCACCAGAGATACTCTTGCTGGCGAGAAGAGACCAGATCACGCGTCAGAAAAAGAACTTGAGCACTTCACTGCGGATGATGACGAGAATGCAGAGACGGAGGACGAAACAGCTGCTTCATCGTCAAGGTCACTGGTATCGGTCATGCACGGGCTGTCACGCATCGTACGACCTTATACGCTAGTTATTGTGATGGCACTGTTGGCTGCAAGTATCGTTGGTGGCGCATTCTCTGCCGAAGCAGTCATCTTCGGCAACACTGTCGGGAGACTCAATCCTTGCAAAACCGAATCCAGTATTCGAGCCGCCGGCAACTTCTTCGGCCTGATGTTCTTTGTGCTCGCCATCATCGAATTCTTTGCCAATCTGGTCAGCTGGTCGGCATTCGGCTGGTTGTCTGAGAAAATGCTGTACGTTGTACGACTCTTGTCCTTCCGCTCATTGTTTGAGCAGAGTCTCCAGTGGCACCAATCGGAGAACCGAACTCCAGCAAAACTACTCTTGTACATCACCAAGGACGGCAATGCTTTAGCAGGGTTAAGTGGTTCCGTTTTGGGGACCATATTCTCTATATCGGTGAATTTGATCGTTGCTATTGTGTTGACCCATATCATTGCATGGAAGATAGCATTGGTATGCCTAGCACTGGTGCCGCTACTTCTTGGAGCCGGGTTGATGGAGCTGCGAGTCTTGGGCAAATTTGAGGATAAACACGAGAACGCGTTTGCCGAATCCGTCGACATCAGTGTGGAAGCAATCAGCTCAATCAAGACTGTTGCAGCATTGGGCCTGGAGAAGGAGACCCTCATGACCTATCGTCGCTCACTCAGAGGCCCTCGTAAAGAAACGACGGCAGTCAGCCTCCATGCAGCTTTGTGGTTGGCCCTCATGTACTTCTTAGGCAACATGGTGAATGCTCTGGCCTACTGGTGGGGATCGAAACAGATCATATCTGGAGCGTATACTCAGACCCAGTTCTTGATCGTGGTCTTCTCACTTTTGGTGAGTGCAATGCTATGGAGCCAAATGTTTGCGCTGGCGCCGGAGCTCTCGAGTGCATGGGCTGCGGTAGCCAGAATCCTGGACCTCATCGACATCGGCTCAACCAAAAATCTCAAGGTCGAAAAACATTGGGCGGCTTCGGCTCAGTCTTCCGAAAAGGATGTTGAAGCGCTGGCAGAGGCAACGGGCCTAGTGACGAGTCTAAGCAGCGGCTCCAGCGTAAGTTTTCGCGACATCACTTTTACGTATCCCGCTCGGCTCGATATGAAGGTCTTGCAAGGATTGAACTTGGAAATCCCCAGTGGACAGTTCTGTGCTCTGGTTGGTCCATCTGGCGCTGGGAAGTCCACTATCATATCACTTATCGAGGGCATGTACAGACCGCAGAGCGGTTCGATCTTGATTGACGGGGTCGACATCACGAGGCAGAAGGATTTCTCGTTCCGCGATGAGATATCTCTTGTCCCTCAAGACAGTGTTCTGTTCGAAGGCACGGTGGCATTCAATGTGGGACTTGGAGCTAGACCTAACGAAGAGGCTAGTCGGGCTGATATCGAGGATGCTTGTCGACTCGCCAACATTCACGAGACCATTGTCAGCTTGCCGCAGGGATATGATACCCTTTGCGGGCCAAATGGAAGCCAGCTGTCTGGTGGACAGAGACAACGGCTCTCGATAGCAAGAGCTTTGGTTCGCAAACCTCGACTTCTCATTCTCGACGAGTCGACGAGTGCATTGGATGCGGAATCAGAGAAACTCTTGCAGGAAGGGCTGGCTAAAGCTTCGAAGGGAATTACCGTGATTGCCATTGCACATCGCCTGCACACCATCAAGCAAGCCAACATTATCTTTTTGATTGAGGGAGGCAGATGCGTTGACCATGGCCCGCACTCTGAATTGTTCCAGAGATCTGAGAGTTATCGGAGCAATGTTCTGCATCAAACCTTGGGCGACGTGGAGCAGGTAGCACCTTAGCCTAGTTATCACAAGGAAGTGCGAAAAGGACCTGACAGGGACGCAAATGAATACTGCCGGCTACATTCCCTACATGTCCACCTTCTTGTCCATTGATCTCCGAAGCCGCACAGGTTGGCCAGACTGTCAGTAGTGGGTGAGTACATACCTTCGTAGGTGCAATACCACGACTGACGGACTGAGGTATCGAGTGTTCGGTATTTCAAGGATTTACCATACCGGCATGACACCGTCAGGTAATACCGTACTGTGTATGTCTCCACTCGTACATGGTGTTACAAACTACTAGGTACGGTTACACACTACTAGGTACGCGTAGTACAATGTATCCATCCACTATCATCCACTACGAGCAGGATCCTTGTTTCATCTGATAAGATTTTTCTTACATCGGAGATTCCACTCGCTGAAGCATCACAAGCATTTTACATCATCTGATAAGATAAAAATTTTCTCATGGTGGAAACCATCCCGCGTCCATGACAACACCTTGACCCTCATCCGTGCCTCATCCATGCTCATTCTACACATCCCACTCACGACACGCTAGATATGCACATCTGATTAGTTTAGATTAGATTTTTCTCTGCTCATAGCTTCGAATTCTCCCATCTCGGTGGTCTCTTCTCCACAAACGCCCGGATACCTTCACCAAAGTTGGTCCCATGCATCAGACGAGGGTACCAACCATCAGCCAGACTCGACACAGCATCCTCCACACTGCTCGCTTCCCAACTCAAACGAATCCCCTGCCGACCAACGATCAGCGCATCGGGACTGTTTCTGCACATGTCCTGAGCGACTTGGACCGCAGCATGAACAACATCTGCAGCACACTCCACCACTCGACTAACAAGACCCCATTCATGAAGCTCCTTGGCGCTCACATTCCTGCCTGTCAGTACAAGGTCGGTGGTGCGTTGCAGTCCGATGGTGCGCGTCAGGCGTGGTAGACACCCCGCCACAGGTACTATCCCTCGCTTCACCTCAGGTAGGGAGAATATCGCCCAAGACCAGGCTATTACCAAATCGCAGTTGGCGACCATCTCAAATCCTCCACCCATGCATATGCCATTTACAGCTGCGATGATCGGCTTCTTGCCCTTTCGACGGGGCAACCCAGCAAGGCCTGGTGCAGCCATGTCGTTGACCACCCCCGCCTTGTTCATCTCGTTCCACTCTGTGCGTGCCGACGCATGGTCAGTCCTCGTTCAAGGAAAGGCATCGCTAGAGGTGAGCCTACCCTGCAAATCGGCCCCAGTGCAAAACGCTCGACCGACGCCGGTGATGATGCCGACCCATAGCCTTTCATCTTGGTCGAAGAGGTCCCAGACACCCTGGATTTCCCGGCTGGTGGCTTTGTCGATACAATTGAGCTTCTCCGGTCTGTCCAGCGTGACCTGAAGAATTCGCTCTTGTGGGAACGAGACATTGAAATGTCGGAAGGGTCCAAGGTTCGACCTAAGAGACATCGAGGGTAGATCGTCGATCGGTGACCGGCCAGCCACGAGACAGGTAGGTTGCAGGTATGTTGACTAGTCCGGCCAGCTTCCTCGCAAGCGTCTTTATACTTTTCCGAGTGAGTATCATTCTGACAATTCACGTGCATTGGCTTTTCCAGAGAAGTTCTGTTGCCGAGGAATGCTTGGATTTCTTTCTGAGCCTGTACCGAGAGCCCCGCTTAGTGATTGTCCAATCTTTCTGTTTGGCTTCAGAGACTCTTCTTGTCAGTCTAGAAGTCTGCTGCAACGCTCCTCAACAGCACTATTCACACGTTCTGATATCGCTACAGTTCCATAATAACGACCAAGTCTCGTCAAAATGGTGTCCGATACTCAAACCCACCACAAATATCCGCCGGTAAAGCTACCGCACCCTTTTCTGACCACATATGGTGTACGCAACATTGGGGAGACGAACCCAGCGAGGCTCGTCCTGACACTGGATGGTCATCCGCCAGCTGGAAGACAGCTGGCCCAACCACTACACCACGATACGCTCTCATGGCTGGAGCTGTCTTTCAAACCCAAGGACGAGTGTCCGCCTCTCTCGAATAACAGTGCATGGGCACGAGCGTGTCGAAGTCCACAGACCACGTTCGAATGGTCCGGCAACAGCACACCTTCACTGGGCCAGATCTGGAACGTGATTCACGCCATCTACCTCGCACATCCAACGAACGAGTACTTCCGACTGACTCTGGTCGGCCTGGGGAAGGACATTATCCGGAACGAGTTGCTTGCTACCGGGTTGGCGATTGAGCATCCCAGGCCATGGCGACCCGCAGACGAATTGAAATCGTACTCTGATGAACTCCTGATACTGCGAAGTTCATTCTGGCAAGGCGCGGGCTCTCCAATGGGCCCTCGTCCGATTTGGGTGGTGGGAGACGGTACGGACGGTCCTCAACGGGAATCACTGTCGCAGTACCCGCTCATGCCCGAGAACCATCATTTCACAATGAAGTTTCCCGACGAGGCCGTGTACACTCGTCATCCTATCCGACGGCCCAAGCCGCACCCGGGGTCGATCGCGTACAGTCGCTACGTCCCGGAGCTGGACGAGCACTTCTCGCTCGAAGTTGTCGACTGGCAGAACCAAGAGCACCTGGCGCTGTTCAACATGTGGCAGAACGACCCACGAGTTGCACAGGGCTGGAACGAGACTGGAACTCTGGACCAGCACCGCGAATACCTGCGCAAATTGTGGTTCGATCCTCACGTGCTCTGCTTGTTTGGGCGCTTCAACGAAAGCCGCTTCGCCTATTTTGAACTATACTGGGCAAAGGTAAAAAAATTCCCGCTACCCACCATGCGTCATTCGTTGTTTCGTCCCCTTCGAGATCCAACACGTGATTGCTTACCACGGACTATTCACTGACTGTCGTTCGCAGGAGGATCACTACGGCGCCCACTACGACGCCGGAGACTACGATCGGGGTCGCCATTCTCTCGTCGGCGACGAATCGTTCCGCGGCTCGCATCGGGTCAACGCATGGTACTCAAGCTGCATCCACTATTGCTTTCTGGACGAGCCGCGCACGGCCAATGTCGTGGGCGAGCCCAAGGCCACGGGCGCGACAATTCTGTCGTATGAGCAGTCGCAAGGCCTGGTAATCGGCAAGTATGTCGACCTGGGCCACAAACGGTCGGTTCATTCGATTTGTAGCCGCGAGAAGTGGTTCCAGCTCTGTCCACTGTTCTGGGATGGCCGGGAGAGACCGCTCGAGTCCTCTGACCGAGCCGCGTGGAATGCGAAGCTCTAACTACATATGTTAGCCTTGAGTTTTTTTGGAATTCGAAAATAGTGCTATCTACGTTAGGCAGTCTTCCAATGTTAGTTGTGCAGCTCCAAAACAATGTCACGCCGTGCTCCGTGCAAGAAGATATTTAGTGGAATTCGCCGTGAGGATTCTGTAATTGACTTTTTTTTTATGTTGTGAACTCCAGAGCGTGCAACAATTAAGCCATCACTTTTGGAATAAACCACCCCGTACCACGGCAGCTTCACTTTGACCTAAATACTGACCTAGATACTATGAACTTCCTGATGATCCTGTGTCTCCACGCAGCTGTAGGTTACTAGCTGATTCGACCACCGAGCAATACAGCGTCCGGCCGATCGGCTGCCAATTCTTCAACTGTCGCCACCAGCTCATCAAGAATCGCGTGCACGAACGCTGAATTTCCTTCACTCCCCACCACCCCGACATGCGTCCGCCCTTGTCGGACGAGCGACACGATCTTCATCGGATAAGCAGCGTCTCCGTGTGGATTCGAAATGTCCACTTTGCAAGTTCTTCCGGCGAATGGCATAGTGTCGAAGTCCTCAAAGTCCTGGTGGTGGACGATGGAATCGAAAAATCGTGCCTCGGATGGCCACTGCGTGCACTGCTTGGATATCTTCTCGAACCCGAGGAAATCATGGACTGCGGATTCTGCAGTCTGCTTCTGAACGAATAGTAACAGGTCCGTCGCGGTCCATTGCTGTCCAAACAAGACCCTGATCGGCGTGAATTGGTAACACGGGCCCACGACGTTCTCCACATTCGCGAGGTCGATGAGACGGCCCGAAGTGACGCTGCCGAATGTTACGTCTGGAATTTGCAGGCGACGTGCCAACACGAGTGCCCATCCTGCAGTCAGCAGGCTAGCGGTGGTGATCTCCTTGGGACGTTGAGAGATGTCGACCGGTTTTGTCACGAACAAGGGCTTGTCTCCGGGTCGTCCGGAGGCTTCGCCTAGCATGGACAACGATGAGCCGTCCAGGAGACCGCGCCAATAATCGACAGCCCCACGTTGGATCTGCTCATCGCAAATGCGTGCCATGTACGAGGAGAATGGCTCGAACTCGACGACCTTCCCTCCGGTGTACAAGATCTCCAGATCTCGGAGCAGGGCTGGGAGAGAGATGCCATCGTACTGAGCGTGGGACAGGCATATGATCAGGCATCTCTGGCCGTCCGTGCCTTCGACATAGAACATCTTGAAAAAAGGTGAGCCCAGCTGGAAATCCGATTCAATATCATCTTCGCATAGGTCGGTGACGTATTGTTCGATTTCTGTGTCGGCATGTTTCATGACCACAGGAGTACGCAGTTCATCCGCAACCACTTGGAAGAGGGACGATTCGTGCTCGATGAAGATGGTGCGTAGAATATCGTGAGTCTTGACCAGCTCATCGCAGGCGAGGAGCAAACGCTCTTGATCGATGCCTTCGTCAAAGTACAACATCGTGTATTGTACCGAGGTTCGCGGAGTTTGGATGGTTGCCCGGACGTCCAGCGCCTGGGAATCTGTCACTGGAAGAACGTCTTGGATGGACCACTTGGGATCAGTCAACTGGGGCCGGACAACTTTGAAGAGGAACGATCCTATCTCGGGAAGAGCCAGCGTCGAGAAAGGCTTGTAAGTCTGAACTTTCTGTTTTAAAACTTGGTCGACCTTCAACACCTTGGCCGCGTCGCGCAGGCGCATGTGCTGAAAGACATCGGCTACCGTCAACATGTGCCCTTGAAAACGGAGATCTGACACCAATTTCATCGCCAGGACAGAGTCGCCACCAAGGCGGAAGAAATTGTCGTCAAGGTCAATCTTCTCCGGACCGATCGCGAGTATCTTTGCCCACGATGTCCGCAGTATTGACTCGGTCGCTGTCAAATCTGTCTGCGCCGAGATTCTCGTCCACACGTACTTGAGGCTTTCTCGGAGCTTGGTGAGCACATCTCGAGGGATCTTGGAGGCCAGTTGGTTCAGCAAGTCGTGATCAACTTGGTCCGCCAGAGAAGGGATCTTGTCAACCACAACATACGCAAAGGGGACCATATACGGTGGAAGACTGTCTTGGATGAATCTGTCGAGCTCTTTAAGTGCCACCGCAAGGTCGAGGGCAATCTTCGCAGTGATTGCCGCTCGGAAGCTTTGCGGGCTTGAGCCATCGGCAATGATGTCGTGACTCGTCGGCATCAGCTCAACGCCATCTTCCTGCGAATTTTGCTGCTCTATGAAGGCAACGAGCATTTGCTCCAAACGCGGCCGAGGTGCATCCGAGGAGGACTGGAATACGGCGACAGCGGCACGAAGTCCTGGTGGAAGATGGCTTTTGAAACGGGCTTCCACATCTGCGATGTCGACTGCGTGCCCTTGAACAGGAGCAACATTCTCTTTTCGGCCAACGAATATCAAGCTGCCGTCGTCTTGTAATCGGACCATATCACCTGTGGGCTGCACTTTCCCCCTTCGGCCGACGTGATGAGAGCTTCCAGCCACGAGCCAGGCTGGAGATTCAAGAGTTTCGCCCGAAAGAATATCTCCTTCGAGCCAGAGCTCGCCCACGCAGCCAATGGGCGATAACAGGGACGGGTTCCGGGTATCACAAACCCAAGAGACTACAGCAGGAGGATAGATTGAGTCTGGCTCCATTCGAGCGTCTGCTCGGAGTCTTTTAGATGGTTCATCCAAGGACAATGGGGCCACACGGTTCCATTGCCAGATCTGGTCCAGTTCCGCCTGGGAGAGACAAGAAATCTCATCGAGTCTTCTGGAGAGATGCTTTGTCAATTGCAAAGAAGCCGCTTCCAGCTGACCAAGTATTCTTTTCATTTGGTCGATATCAATCAGGCTGCTGTCGAAACTTGCACAGATCCTGAAACCACCCTTCCGAATACCACAGCCCAGCATCAGCGGATACGGGTTGAAATGTAGTGCTTCACGTACCACATCCCCTTGGTCAAAGCCAAGTTCACCGCCCATGTATTCTGGTTCTGGCTGGATGACCAAGCCCGTTCGAGCCTCGATGGCACATTGAGCATCGCTGCTGACCTTTCTGATGTTCTGCACCCCGTAATGCTGATAAGGCGTGCGAGCCAACATGCCTTGCTGGATGGTCTGTAGATAAGATTCCACAGTGCGCGTCCGGTCGATACGTATGCGGACTGGTATTGTTGCGATCAATGGGCCTTCAATACTTTCGACGCCTGCCAACGGAATGTCTCGACCAGTGAGTGTCTCAATGAATACGACATCATTGGCAGCCGTATACTGCGATGCAACAAGCGCCCATGCAGCACGAATAAGTGTTGCCATGGTGAAGCGCGAACCTACGCTTGCTTCGATGTGAACTTGATGCTCAAGCATCGCATCCGCAGTTGGCAAGTAGTCCCTAGAAGGCGCGCGCGGGAACTGAGGTCCGACAGCACCCTCGAGTTCTCGTCGCCAAAACTGTTGAACGGAGTTCTCATCCGTGTCTTGCAAATACCTGACAAGGTCCCTCATCTGTGTTCCTGTACTGATGTGCTGACCTTGCAAGGCATGCGCGACCTTTCCGAGTATCAACGGCTCCGACCATCCATCGTAGAGTACGTGGTGGATAGTCCAGATCATGTAGCGCTTCCTGCCGGCTGGAGGGGTGACAATGGCATATCGAGCTAGCCTTTGGCCAAGGTCCATCTTCTCATTCCTGTCGCTCTCAAGATATTGTGCAAGGTCAGTCGACTGCCTCCAGATGATGTTTCCCTTGAGGACGACTTGCCAAAGCCTAGATTCTGAAGACTGAACCAAGCGAGTGCGTAGAATAGGGCTTGTCGCCACTGCTTCCTCCCATGCTTGCCTCCAGGAAGCCAAATCAATATGTTCTGGGATACAGGCGAGTCTCTGGGCAACGTAAGGCGTGGCTGATTTCAGCGAGAAGGTAAACAGTCCTTCCTGTGTTGGTGTGCAAGGATATATGTCTTCTATGGCCACCCGATCAGCTCCGCAAGCCTGTGCTGCCTCGAGACAGGCACTGTCGATGGTGTGTGAGATCATAGAGAAAGCTGGTGTTACCGTCCGTGCCTGCGATTCACACATGTGGACAACTTCAGCCATCGCCGACAGTTTTGGGTGGAGAAAAGCGTTGGCGACAGTGAGATCGAGACCTTGCGCTCTACAGACAGACACAAGTCTCATTGCCGTCAAAGAGTCCCCACCTAGTGCAAAAAAGTTATCGCCAGGGAGGATTGTTTCGGCATCAAGCTTCAAAGTCTGGCCCCATGCTTGCCGCAAGCGTTGTTCGAGTTCACTCAGTCGATATGTAGTACCGCGCTCTGCGCCATGATCAAGCTGCCGCAGGTCGACGGTGGCAGCAAACTGCCTTAGTCGCTTGCGATCGGTCTTGCCTGATATCAATACAGGAATATAGTTGATGGGTATATACGCGCTCGGTACCATGTATCGGGGCAGGACTTTTGCTAGGTTTGCATCGGCTTGTGACAACGTATCCTGAAGCTCGCCGCTTGGTTGCACTAACTTCAGGTCAGAGTCTCCCTGCTGCTGTGGTGCCTGGGAAGCAACGAACGCCACCAAAGTAGGTTGGCCTCCAGAGCCCGAAGGTGTCACGACCTCCGCAATGACGCTGGTAGCAGGAGATAGAATGGTCTTGAGCTGGTATTCGATCTCGCCAAGTTCAACGCGTTGTCCACGTAATTTGACTTGAGTGTCTTTTCGTCCGACGAAGACAATGCCTCCAGAGCCGTCAGGATCATATTTCCCCAAGTCTCCAGTCTTGTACAGACGCCCTCGACGCCCGCTGTGGGTGTTGTGGCCCGCTCTGAGCCATGACAGATCCTCGATGAAAGCGGCTGCGGTTTTGGCAGGGTCATTCAGATAGCCTTGTCCGACGATTGGACCTTCGACAAGCAACTCGCCCACAGCACCGACTGGCATCAACGATTCGTGGTCGTTGGGGTCAACAATCCACATGGCCGCTCCCGTGCCTTTGCCAATGGAGATGTAGTCTCTGCCAGTTGCGGCGCTACTGTTGACCGTACATCCGATTGTGCACTCGCAAGGTCCGTAGCCGATCACGATCCTGGTGTCTCGACCCCAGCGTGTGACATCTCTGGCTGTGACAGCCTCTCCTCCCAGACCCAGCATGCTGAGTGACGCGATAACGTCGGAGTCCAGTATTCGTGCGACCGACGGGGTTAGACCTGCGTAGTTGACCTGCATCCCCCGCATAACACCATTTATGTCGTTCATCCGATCTTCGTCGGAGGGGATGCAAAGGCAGCCGCCTTGTGCAAGGGTACAGAGCATGCTATCGATGCTGACGTCAAAAGCGTACGACGCAAAATCGAGAACCCTGGAATTTTCTGTATAGCCAACGGCTTCCGCCCGAGGAATGGCACTGCTTGTATAGGTTTCGTGAGAGATCATGACTCCCTTCGGAACACCCGTGCTTCCCGAAGTGAAGATAATGTACATGAGAGCAGTTGGTGGCACGGGTGTCAACGTTGCCCCACGCTGCAGTTTTGAGAGATCTGTGAACGTGTCCTCTTCCACGACGACAACCTTGCCCTCCGGTAGGATTGACGCCGATAGGTCTTGCTGTTGCCGGGAGGTCAGCATCGTCTTTGCTCCCACTTGCTGTGCCGTATTTTGGAGACGGGCAAGCGGAAGGGTTGGGTCCATGAGTACAAAAGTTGCACCCGCTTTCATCACTGCAAGCACGGCGACAATTGTCCATCTTGACTTCTCAAAGCAGACCGGCAGGACATCATGTAGTTGAACACCCATCTCTGTGAGTGTGTGCGCCGTGAAGGTGGAATACTGCTCGATTTGGGCATACGTCAGGCAGCCGTCCCAGGAAGAGATTGCGACTTTACCTGGACACCTTTGAGCTCGTTCGGATATCACATCGTGCATGCAGAAACTGTGGGAAGGCGGTAGTTTGTGATTCCACTCCCATATCTTGTCCAGATCATGTTGGGTGGGCTGAATGCAATCCTCAATGGTCGCACGCGGCTTTGCAATGCACATTCTGATGGTGTCGACCAGTGTCTCAATATGCCGCGTCACCGTGTATTGCGGCACGCTCTCGGTGCACCACACCGGTCGAGCCTCGAGCTTACCATCACGAAATCGTAACTCGAGGTGAAGTACTCCCTTTTCACATCATTGTCAGAGATGCGATATCAAGGTGGAATGCATTTTGCTTACTTCATCTCGCGCTTCCTCTAACGTTTGTGAAAGGGAACTCGTGCTCAGAAGGAGCGATACGGGACTGAGACTGTCTGCACCATGACTTGGTGCAGCCGTTATGAGGCGGTGGGAGACAGCTGTAGCAATGTGTCCAACATCGCCTGGTGGCTCCGTTACAACTTCTTTCATCGAAAGATGATTGCGGGTTGGCTCATGTGCAAGACCGTTTGCTGGGCTATTATAAGTCCACTCGAAGGAGACCTCATCGCGTTCCCGGCTCCGACTGAGCATTAGAAGCCAGGACGAAAGGATGAATCCCTCTCTCATACCTGTTGGAGTGTTGGTCGTACCGGATGCAAGATCAACAACCTTGAATGACAGGAAGTGGTCCTCATCAACGCGGTCGTTGGGCAATCCATGGAGCGATTCATCTTTTGAACAATTCCCATTGCGTGGAAAGTCCTGGATAGAGCCCATTCTGCATCAATCGAGCTTTGGTGCTCGGATTGACGCTGTGGCGGCCCAGGCTGGGAGGAGGAGTTACAGCTCGACTGTTCTCTTGGTGCTCTTGAGCTTTGCAAGACTCGAATGTGTCTGGAGTGATGATGTATAGTACTCGCCAAAGTCGGCCAGCCAGTATTATGTCAGCAGGTTCTCAATCGCCGATCAAGCCGTATCGCATCAAGCAGACCATGGTTGCCGTACAGGTCAAGGCATTGTCGACCGAGATCGGTCGGCGTGGGTGGTTGGGATACGTCCCTCACCTAACTACGAGCCAGGAGGGGAAGAGGGTCGGGCGTTTGACACGCAGGATCCATCATTCGACATGCCGGTCTGCGTCAGACTGCGTTGTGCGAAATTGGCGGAGAGGACCACAGCAGAAACAGTTGATGCGGACCTTCGATCATGCAAGGTTAACGAACAGGCCACGAGGGCCGCAGGAAAGTGGACCATCTCTTCGGGGTCCAGGACGAAAGAAGGTCACCCAGCAAGACTTGAAAGCGTTACCCAAAAGGCGAATGGCACAGAAGGACCAAAACCTGCAATGAGCAACGAGGATTAACAGCGACTGGCGGAGAAACACACTGTCCATTCGGCAGAGTTGCCTTCCAAGTTGTCACCCAACCAGGTTTTTAGCTGTAATGAACCCGTATTTTATTCCCAGGCTTTTTTAAACTTACTAGCGCGTTTCAACACGTCGCGAATACTCCAGGTATTGAGCCATGTATTGTCAATGGGTCAACGTCTGCACCATCCACGTTCTATCAAGATGCTCAACAAGTGGAGCAAAGTGCAATGTTGTTTGCTCCTGGTCGATGCTTTGCCTCTGCGGAGCGGCAATCTTCGCCGGAAACACGTTCGTTTCCATGCAGGGACACAGAGCACTGAACTACCATGCGCAGCCAACGCTCTTCCGATCCCGCTGCTCGTAGGGCCCATCCATTTGGTGACACTGACCTAGTACTTCTCCCGAGGTAGGTACGAAATTTTCGCCTCCGAAAATGACAGTTCAGCCTAGGTTCCGAGTCCTAGAGGGCTACCAATGGTTCATCACGCCTGGCGAGACCGGATGGCACAATATTGGAAGCAGCAAGTCAGGCTGTCCACGTGTTGCGGCCTGCTAGTATCAAATGCGAAGGTACCCAGCCTCAGGAAATAAAGTCCATCTGAACGTTGATACCTCAATGCACTTCAGCCATGGCGCTGGCGAGCACAAGACCACTGTTGTTTCCTCCGCGTCCACCTTCGATCGTTCACGGGAGCACAGAAACACCATTAGTCGATTTCACACTTGGAGAGCTGCTTGATTTTCAGTGCAGACGATATTCGACAAGAGAATGTTTGATAGTACCATGGACTGGCGCAAGGTGGACATACAACCACCTCAGAGAAGAAAGCAGCAGGGTCGCGAAGGCTCTGCTTGCTCGTGGCATTCGAGCTGGAGACAGAATTGCCATCATGGCTGGGAACTGTGAACAATACGTGTCAGTGTTCTTCGCTACAGTGCGTATAGGCTGCATTCTGGTCATCCTCAACAATACCTACACTTCTTCCGAAGCACAGTATGCTCTGAGGTTTACTGGTAAGTGTTGGTCTACAGGCGACGAACATGCTCTGACCAAGACAGAGTGCAAGCTTCTGTTCACTACTTCTCGCATTGGTCATCGCGACAATAAGCCACTTTTGCATCATCTACGGGACGCGCCTGGGACCGTTGAGGAGATCATCATCCTGAGAGGCCATGCAGGACAATTCACTTCATACGAGAGCTTCGCAGAAGATGGAGCTTGCGAGCCAGACGAGCCACTTGCCGAATGCTCCAACCATTTTGGTACTCACGATGTCTGCAACCTGCAATTCACCAGCGGCACGACAGGGAATCCAAAAGCTGCGATGTTGACTCACCAGTAAGCTGGCCGTCTGCCCTCCATCCCAATCAAGCACACTGACCCAAGTTTAGCTCTCTTGTCAATAACAGTAGATTTATTGGTGATCGAATGGCTCTGACTGAGGATGACGTGTTGTGTTGCCCGCCTCCGTTGTTCCATTGTTTCGGTCTGGTGCTCGGTTTACTAGCTATAATCACCCATGGAGGGAAAGTGGTCTATCCTACAGAGACATTTGACGCAGCCGCTTGTTTGAAAGCAATCCACGAGGAGCAGTGCACAGCTTTACACGGTGTTCCAGCCATGTTTGATTCTATCTTCAGTCTACCGCGGCCGGACGGTTTTGATTGCTATCGTCTGCGAACTGGAATCATTGCCGGGGCTCCTGTTCCTCGGCACCTGATGGAATTGCTGGTCAACGACCTCGGAATGACAGAGTTTACGAGTAGTTACGGTAAGCTGCTCAATTTTGATCTGCGATCAATAAGCTTCTAATGGGTTTGAATAGGGTTGACCGAGGCATCTCCTACCTGCTTCAACGCCATGCACGACGATCCTATTGACCTGAAACTTTCGACAGTCGGCCAGGTCATGCCACATGCTCATGCCAAGATTGTGGACCGATATGGTAAGATCGTACCAATTGGTGAGAGAGGAGAGCTTTGCATCGCTGGGTATCAGTTACAACGAGGGTACTGGAAGAACCCCGAGAAGACCTCGGAAGTCATGATTCGTGATGAGAACGGCGTCTTGTGGCTGCATACTGGTGATGAAGCAGTCTTCCATGAAGACAAAACTTGCACAATCACTGGCCGGTTCAAAGACATCATCATTCGAGGTGGGGTTCCTAGCTGTCAAATTTCAGCCTAGACACTGACGAAGCGTTTTAGGCGGAGAAAACATTTACCCTCTCGAGGTTGAAGAGAGGTTGATGCAACACGAAGCTATCGAAAGGGCAATCGTGGTCGGCATGAAGCATCATCGACTAGGAGAAGTCGTGGTTGCCTTTCTGCAAGGTACCTCTCCAGCATTTGGAGGAACCTACGCCGCTATCAGCGACGATGAGGTTCGCGAATGGGTGAAGATGAGACTGGGCCGGCACAAGGCTCCTGAACATGTATTCTGGCTAGGCAAGGATGGAGTTCCCAATGCTGTTCCACTGACAGGAAGTGGGAAGGTGAGGAAGTTCGAGCTTGCCAAGTTGGCCGAACAGATCCTGGGAACTGCAAAAGCGAAGCTATAAGCGAGCAACAGGCCTACTTGTATGAACACCAAGAAACCGCAGGTAAAAACCTCTGTGATCCGTTGACTATAGAGTTCGAGGTCTCTTGTGCAACTTTTAAAATCGGCTTGTGCCCAAGCTTTGCCTTTATTCAGCTAACCTATATCTGGACTGACGCCTTCTGCGACTCTGGATCGGCCTGACCGTCCTCATCGCTTACAGCCTGGCAGACCTGTCCTCCGTCACCGGCTCGGTCGATTGACGCCTTTGCTGGATCATGGACTCGGCGATGCGTCGACCTCTCTCTGCAAGTATGGGATACAAAGCATCATCAACCTGCAGTGGCCATAGTTAGCAGTGACACACACGATTAGATTGACGGCGCACATACGTCGTCGGCTTCCCCGAGGGATCCTTGTAACCACAAGCCACAGTCTTTTGCGAGCAGGTCCGTCCGGAAGTTCACTTGATAGTCCCGATTTACGCTTACACGATGCCCATCAACCAAGTCTGAAAGCTGCCGCATGATTCGTTCGTGATCGCTCTTGTCGTATCCAGTCGCTGCAATGACAAGGTCGAAGGTACCGCAGTAGTCAGATGCGTCGTCGTCGAGGCACTTCAACGATAGAGCAACCTGTCCGCCAACAGTCTTCGCAGCCGCTGCTAGTTGATGGCTGAACTTGATTTGATATTGCCATCTCGACGGGTCTGCTTCTTTAACGCTTTGTCGGTATTGCGAGTCATATAAATCCCTAAGCATGCCGTCCTCGATCGCGTGACCGGAAGCTGAGCGTTCTACTCCATCCATTGCTCTTCGTCTCAATTCTGGTGGCAGTGTCTGTCCTGCCTCTGTGGTTGGTCGTCGCGCGACGTCCATGACACTGCATCACTTTTAGCATTAAACTAGCCACCGCTAAATTCCGGGTGACCTACAATGGAGTGCTGTCGGATCCTCGGAGGACAGCATCCTCGGTGAACCAGACGGCTTGATGGTGTCCCCATATACTCTGCACGTATTCGAACACTTCAGCAGCCGATTGACCATCACCAATAATCGCAATGCGGGCTCTCCCTGCCGTCTTCTTCAACATTGACGGGACAGCATCCAAGGTGTCTGTCGAATGGGCGAGGCTCGGACCGATATTTGCTCGGGACAGAATGGCGGGTATTTTGGGTTGAGGTTCCATTGAACATATGAGTTGCTTTGTTACTAACACATCTTGCTTCCCAGTGACCATGTCCGAGACCGATACTTTCCAGCAGGAGACTGCGCCTGCTGCATTTGCTACCGGCGTTATGCTGTTCACTTGTTTCTGAAAACCCTTCCGCGCCTGGAGGCGATCTGCGCACCATCTCAGGTATCCCGAGAAAAGTTCTCTGGATGGACAGAGATGGGAGCTGTTGGCATAGACGACGAGCCGATTCGTTGCTTGAAGGTAGTTCATGAAGGTGAATTTGGAGCGAGGGTTTTCGGAAGTAATCAGGTCATTCAGGAACGAAGTCCTCAGACGTGTAGCTGGTATGTCCGGACACGGTTTCCATGACGACTGAGGTTGAGATTCCAGAAATAACGTATTGTCGAGAGATTGTCTCTCATGCAAGGCGATGGCAATGGAGAGCGCCGTAATTCCAAAGCCGATGCAGACCAGATCCAACGGTTGAGAGTCTGACTGCATATTGTTGTCCTTTCCCAGGTCGGAGTGATCGCAACTGAATGCCATCGAGCGTGAATTCTCTGTGACCAGAGGTGTGTACTACAACAATGAGTCTGCGGATCACGCCGATGTCATCAAATCTGAGGCCATCGCTCCAGTTCAAGGGTAATTGCCGGTCGCGTATATTTTTCCGTAGACTGGACAGTTGGCCGGTCCCTGTTTTTCACCGTTGTACCAGCCATGTCCTGGGTCCTGGTACATACTGGCCCTGCGTGTTAGCGCACCACAGCGGTGTCGAGCTGTACAATACGCTAATGTACAGGTAGTCCTTGGGTACCTGCCAGGTAAGATCTCTAATACGGTGCAGAACAGCAGTGGTATTTGACATGATTAAATTACGGCGGGCTGTCTTGGCGCTGTACTGTCTCGGATCAGATAACTCAAACCAAAATCTGATAACTTAATTTCCACCACGCCAAAACTGCGCCAAGACCGACGGACTTGGAGGATCCAACGCAGAAAGTGGCTCCTTCACCGCGATTTTCTCCGTGCGTTCTCCCTGCGTTAACTGCAAACAGCATCAATCTGCACCTCTTCCTGGTCACGAAGCTTTGAAAAATTTTCATCTGATAAGATAATCTCCAATCGAAAGTCCTCTTCTGTAACGTGCCGAGCTCGACGATCCACCGCTGATTCTCATCCTCCGAACAAGCACCTTTCCGGGCCAGTCCCAGGCCGCGAATGTGATCAAGCCCGTGCAAGCCTCCGCCAACAGCAACAGCCGGCAGACAAGATGGCGGTCGGTGGTGGTTGCGATATCGGAAGCGTGTGCTCAAGAGCTCGGCTCCTCGACAGCCCAACATTTCAGAAGAAAAGATTGAAAAATGAAAACACAACAAGTGGAATTCCCCTTCCGAGCATGACATACCAGACCGGAAGCTGACTCCAGGCAACCATGCCGCACTTCAAGCGCAGTCAGGCATTGCTGAGCACTGCATTGTGGCCAAGGCTGTGGCTGTGTCGGAGCGCCATTCGCAGCCTGTCAAGTCCTCTATGCGCCTAGTACTTTCCGTATGGCAACTACGTGGAACGCTGTGATGCCAGTTCTCGTCCACCTCGAACATCCAGCTGTGCTGGCGTAAAGCGCTGTTCATCAATCCGGGCTAACCACCTGCAAATGTCCGCCCATGACCATATCATGAAGGGCACTCTTTCCCGAGCTGCATATAATTCCAGCAAACTGGTAAGTTGTCAGTCCGGTTCAGAAATTGTTGCTTCAGCGACAAGACGTACTGGAATTGCCCAGATCATCGCCGAAGCAGGTCTTCAAAACACTTTCTCCATAAGTGGTTCCGTCAGATGGATAGTATGCCACTGCTTGCTTGCCAATTGCAATCCCAATCATGGGTGGGATCTCTTTCAGCTCCATGAATTCCGGATTGATGCCTTGATGTTGGGCCAACATCAACTGATGAATGTTCTGCGCTGCGTATTGTCCCATATGCATCGCAGCACCACAACGCTTGATGCCCGACCACTTCGCAATATCACCAACTGCAAAATGGTGTAGCGAATTTGGCACTTCCGGCATGACGTTCAACCTATAAATCTGTCAGCAACCTTCCTCTTTTCCCCGGCTGCGCTTACCGTGCGGTGACTTGGACATAGCCTTCCTCGTCCAATGCTGATTGATGCAGGTAAGTGGTCGAGGGAATGCTTCGTGATACGGCGTGGATCACATGTCCAGCCCGAATTCGCGACTGATCTGACAATACTAAGTCCCAGATGGGTTGGCCGTCATCTGAAGGGAAACTTTTGGTGCTCAGCACGCGTTGACCCATGATCGTCTCGACTCCGGCTTCGTGAAGGGTGATGAGGCATCTTTCCTTGAAGTCGTCAGGAAGAGGCTCCGAAGAGCAAAGCTTTTCTCTAGAATGGATCAAGGTGACTTTCTGGTCTGGCATGACCAATTTGATTTCGGCTGCCATCTCGATCCCGACCGCACCTGCAGGTCGTGAATACTGGGTTTCCAGGACATGTAAGGAATTCCTTACCTCCACCAATGACAACAACGCCGTCTCTGGCTTTTCTCACCGCTTCGATATGCTCTGCCGCCTCCGACAGGTAGGCCTGTCTTGACTTTGCCTGAGGAACAACCGGCCATACTCTACGCAGACCAGTGGCTGCTACGAGGAAGTCGTATTCCAATCCCAGTGACGAACCTGTCTCCGACTCGGTGACCACGGCTTGCTTCTTGTCGCAGTCCACATTTTTGACGCTGCCTTGGATGAAGTGGATGTCCTTCAGCGCCGGAATGTCTCTGAAATTTGTCCACGCCTTTGGTGCATACTCTCCAGAGGCAAGCGCAAGTGGCGATGATATCAGATGGACTGGAGTACCAGTCAATATTTGGGCGTATGGTCTGGTGATGAACACTCACAATACCCGTCCTTTTCATCTACAAGGGTGATTTTGACAGGAATCTTGCTGAATTTGCTGGTATCCGCTGGCTGAGAAGCAAACCGCGGTGATCTCCCTTCGCATAGGTCTAGCAGATTCAAAGCCGCTCCGAGTCCAGCGTATGAGCCCCCAAGGACGAGGACTTTAAATGGACTCGAATGTAGAGTAGATGCGATCCCCTCGTTTGATGGCATACTGAGATTCCGGGGGAATGATCGCCGGACCGAAAGTAATCGTCGTGCCACGAACCTCATACAGATTGGAAATGAGGCAACTGAGGCAACTGAGGCTCATCAGGCTTATAAAGTATCTGATGTTGTGGCTCGTGGTGGCCGAAACCGGGAGACGTGCCAATGCTGATGCTATCTACGAGGCTACTTAACCTATCGCGGTGGGGTGAGACCCGAGAGCCCATGATGGCCCGCCCCGGCGTCCCTGAGTGGTGTGGTCAGCTCCCAGTCTCCCAGGGGTTGGCAGCCTAGTAGTGGTCCCTGCAAACCACCATGCCGGCCCCAATCATCTTTAATAAAGCTCGTTGTTCCACCCACCTACCACCTCCTCCATCACACATGACTCTTCCTTAAATGCTTGGAAAAATAACCTAGAATCAGACACTTTCCTTCAACTCCCTGTGGACTTCATCACTAAGTCAGAGAGTTACCCCAGCGCATCGTGGACTCCTTGATCGTGCGTCTGTTTCTTGAGCCTGCGTCTCTCGGCGGTGTACTTCCATTGGAGTCAGCAGGGTTTTCATTACGCTCTGTGCCATGGAGATACATGCCTCGTGAAGGTCCCTGGGCTCGTACTTGGCAGGATTGTCTTCCGATGTACAGGCCGGCATGACCTTTGGTTTCGTATCAGTCTCATTCGTTCCAAAGAATAGGCAGGCTCATCCTCACCGGAACTGCAACGTCCATGTTGAAGCTGAAGAAAAATGGAATCGAATACCGATCCAGTCCCGACGTATTACGGACGCGGTGAACAGTGGATACAAATTTGTCATTGGAGATTCTTTGCAAGAAGTCGCCGACGTTGACGACAAATGGCCCACGAATAGGCTTCGCAGGGACGTACATGCCGTTCTTGTTGAGGATGTCTAGGCCTCCTGTCATGTCTTGGTTGAGGATTGTGAAGGCTGTGTGCGTGTCAGCGTCGCCTCCTTACAGTTTTCAAGTCGGACCGTACTTTCGAAATCACTATGTGCGCCCAGGCCGTCCAGATCTTCTGCGCCGGGCGCTCGAGGTGCATAATGCTGCAAGATGATTGACACGAATGGCGCAGTGACCATGGGATCGAAATAACTCTCCTCGGCCCCCAGGCCTAGAGCGAATGTCCGAAGCAGAGCGCGAGACAATTTCAGAAGTTCGGCCTGATATCTCAATAGCGTGGTCCGGAACTCTGGCCAGTGGTCTGGCCATTGGTTATGTATGCCAATACAAAGCTCGCGCTTCTCAGGACTCAGATGTGGCCGTTGTGGATCGTTGTCGGGGTCGTAACTGTACAGGAAGGAACCTTTCTTGACTGGTTGAATTAGAGTCAATAAACTCCCGCCTTGGAGATCCGGCTTTACGACGCCTCACCTGCCTCGCCGTCCGGCGTTTTGGTGTAGTGAATCTCATACCCTCGGAGGGTGGGAGACTTGTACACGTCCTGCTCCTTCTTCACCTCCAGCGGCTGTGCATGATATCTGCGCGAAAGCTCAAAGAGCTCGTCGATCAAGTCTTGCGAGATACCGTGGTTCTTGATGTACATGAAGCCAACGGTTTTGCAAACATCTGCAACCTCTTTCGCTGCTTGCAAGCGGTGCTCATAATCGTCGCTGAATATGTTGCCAATGTCAACATGGGGGACCTCTTCAAAAGTTTTGACGGCCTAGTCGCCCTTCAGAATTTCTCGTTTGTTGTCATGGGTCCCGTCACGAAAGAAGCATTCATACTGCGGCTCATGCTGAGCCACTACTGTCGCGGTAGTCGACATTTCTGCTGCTGTGGCTGCGGTCGCCGTCCGGAAGGCTTAGCAATGCTTATATTCTCCAACTGACGGTCTTGAAGATGAGTGAGGACGGGTGTGAAATCGAGAAAGTTGTATCGATGGTCATGTGCAGCGACGAACTGGGTCAGGAACGGAGATTCGCGGGGCTGGAGATAAGCCGACCGCAAATAAGAGAGCAGATGCTAGACAATGTCGAGATCCTGGCCAGGATATCTATCAGTCCACGACCCGAACAGGCTACGCCCGAGGTCGGAGTCGGACGCGAAGGTGCACGCGTGCACCATCAAAGACTCCTACCAAGCGACGTCGCTTGCATTCGAGATGTCAAAGCCGACCAGTTGATTAGCGCCAAAGACGTCGGCCTCACACGTCTAACCCAAAAAGCTGTAAATCATCCACCCAGTCGCGCATCCATCCGCTCTCTTGGAAGTCATCGCCAACCAAAAGCTGAAAATCCGAGTTGTACGTGTCCAGAGTTGGCCTTGGGAGAGGACCAAGACGCTCATCTGGGGTCATCCAGTCGCCGAGCACCGGACCCTGATCAACCGGTGCCTGGGTGTTCCTTTCCATGATCGAAGTATCTTCCTGCTCCGTGGTTGATCTGGATATTAAAGTTCGCAAAGCCTCTATGTTCGACTCATAGTTCTTCAGCGCCGACGGGCCATAAGGCTCCAGTAGCTCAACTAGTGTATCGGTGTCTTCTGTCTCAGAACTGTTATATCCACTCGCTCGCTCCTGATCTCGTTTACCATGACTGATGTTGGGGTGGTTGGGGTTTTGCATCGATACCGCCTTCCTTATAGCCCTCACGTTGGCAAGATTGTTGACCGCAGACGTCCGGATCCGACTGAAAGTCTGCAGCACGTTCTCGATGGTGTCCAGCGCATGACCAGACTGCGAGGCTAGCGCTGGGACGCAGCAAAGGGCGGATAATTGTGGAATGGCGGTAACGAGCATATACCATGTGAAGGCGGAACTGAGACAATGAGTATGGTTGCGGAGCTCGATGGCTTCAAAGATCTTGACGTTCAAGTTGGACGCGGCGATGGAGATGGCTGAGGATGAGAGTGGAGAAATATTGAAGATCGATGATGGACGATACAGGAGAGTGATGGCAGTCAGAATTGTGGCATGGAGTTGAGCGAGTTGAAAATCGTAGGCGCGGGCACGGCCGCTTGGATCGGTGAGTCGCAGCTCTGGAGATAGGCCCCGAATGTACTCGAGAAGGCGATTGGCAAGTACCTGCTTGTGCATTGAAGTCGCGTCAGGTTGCGCAGAGAGCCAGAGGCAGATATCGTGAAGGATCTCGCAGATCGAGACCCAAGAGACGAATATCTGGGCTCGGAGATCGGACGGATCGGGGAAGTCAGATGTACTAGGCCGCTCAACAGTGCAGTCAGCGATGTTGATCAGGCGAGGCCGGCCATGCGCGGACGCTGAGAGGCTGTCTCTTGCATAAAGCGTCCACCAAATCCGCCTTTTAAGGCCTTCATTCTTCCCCGGGCGAAGGCCTTTTCGGTGCAGCCCCATTTGTTGAGCTAAGCTAATGGCATACATGTTCCAGAACCGCGGTGTGTCCATTGAAATGTCCTTCGGAGCACTGGGTGCGCACCATTGCATCAAGCACGCGGCAGCTAGGAGCTTGAAAGGGTTGCGCTCAACTCCACTGTCGACTATAGCTTTCACACGCCGATAGTGTAACGGCAGAGGTGTGCTTGTATGTTTACCTCCTGTCATATACGACCCTACCAGCATCAAGGATTGTAGGAGTAGGATGGACGTTGCTTTCGTGGAGACTGCGGAGTCCCTTTCGGACGAAATTCCATCGATATCGAGAACAGGCATCCACGTCCAACAGAATTCCATGACCGCCTCGAATAAGCACTGCCGGACAGCTAGCCGTGGCAAATCAAACACGCCATGGATCTGTAGAACTTTCAAATCAGCCTCTGAGACCTTGAATTCGTGTGCCTGTCGGTCCGGGTGTGTATGGTCGAGCTCCGGGAAGTCCTCGCCCAAGATTGCTGACCGTGAAAGAAAGGAAGAATTGTGGAATTCGTCAATGGCCGGCGAAGTCACCTCTTCCAAGAGCTTCACGCCACTTCCGAGTATGACTGGATCGTGTATGAAAACGGACGGTGCTTCTGTTGCCGTTCCCAGATCGGGTGGCCTCGGGGGAATGGCTGGGCTGGAGAGGCTGTCATGTTCTTGGTCTGGCGAGGTGGCCAGCAGGGTTGTAGTCGGAAGGACTGGGGAGAACGTATACGCTGCACCGGGCTCGTCAATCACGTCGTCAGTATCGCCGGCTATCGTGGGAGCCTGCTGGGCTAGATTCCGCTTTGGCCTAGGATTGGCTGTTTTCTTGCTTCTCAGCCGCGGCCTATCAATGGAATATGGTCATCATCTCGTTCCATCTTGTTGCGTTGAAATGGGCTAAGACAATCGGTACTCGTATCATACTTGCAAATGACACCATGCGCAGCGCAATTCGAACATGGTCGTCGCTCTCCCACATTGCAACGGACTTCATTGAGACGGTCAGCAAGTCCGGATCGACATTTTGCAAGGCTTTGATCTACCTTTTCTCAGGTGGCAATCTTCGCAAGCACGGGTGTAAGATACAGTAGGCGTAGTCGTAGTCTTGTAGCAGCGGAACTTTGAGATCTGCATTGCGAGGCTATGGATCGTGAACACAGAGAGAGGAGAGTCAGAGGTGGCGCATGTCGGATTGATGCCGAAACGCGAAGTGAAGTACTTGAGGCAAAAGAAGGACTCCATTTATCCTCGGGCTTGGCATTGTCTGTTTAGGCCTTACCAACTCCAGTCAGCCCCATAATGGCCCTACCTTTAACGACGAGGTCGCGAAATGCGGGCTGACTAGGCATGATGCGGGGAAAGCTCAGCGCCTGCGAAGGAAGTGCTAGGCAATGGAAGTCTGCCCGGCGGTTTTTCTTCCCATAAGACATATATTGCAACCCCTACGTATTTCGGCATGCCTTATGGTGCGAGCCAGCCTCCCTCTGAGACGGACCCTAACAGGTGCCGTTGCTAGTTGGGAGTTCGGCCAAGCTGAAATCCCAATTGAGGTAATACCACTCCTCAAATCTCGCTGGCTTCTGCGCGGCAGGCTGACTGGTGTTGCTTCGAGGGATGTCGAATGCTTCGACAGTGGAAGAAGCGTTAACGTAGCTACCTCCTGCGCCTGGACGGGTTGTCTGGTTATAGTTGATCTCGTTGGAGTCGACCTCGCCCCTGATCAGCTCAAGCCAGGTGTCGTGGCTGTCTTCAAGGATCGTCTGGATGAAAGAGGCGTTTTGGTAGTTATCTTCAACAATTTCGATCAGGCCGTCTCCACGGGCGACCTTGTAGTACTTGAGATTGATCTACGTCAGGGATGTGTTTGAAGAGATACAGGCTTTTACGCACAGTGAACCAGTCACGGTAAGCTTTCAGCAAGCCGGGCCTATACGTTTCAACGTCCTCATATGCTGCACCAGTCAGATAGGACATCCAAGAACGGCAGACAACTCACAGTTCACCAACGGAGCCAAAGGATCGTTGACATCCACAGCGATGATCTTCCAGTCGGTTTCACCACCCTAGAAGACAACCAGTCAGGAGTTGTACAGCAGTCAGATGGAAGTAAAACTTACATCATTCAATGCCAGACCACCAAGAATCTTTGCCTGCTTGATTTGGCCGACGTAACCGGCACTGTCAGAACGAGTTAACTTTTAGGACTTCAGAACGCTATCTGAAGACCTCACTCTTGACCAATGTCAAAGATGTCAACAGGGTCATTGTCACCAGGCTCCCCGGTAAAAGAGTGGTTGAAGTTAGGGCTTTCCCAGGTCTGTGGAATGGAGCCGTAGAGAAACGGATAGGACTTGTGTGGCCAGACACTTTCCACGTATCGTGGTGCGTCATTTCGACTGTCATGAAAGATTGGATCTAATACACCAATGAGTATGGCAAGTCCGGCCTGAAGAATGGCGATCCAACACTTACTTAGAGGTTCATCCCTACTGATTTCGATCTTGCCATCAACCCAACGTGGGATCTCGACGACCATGTTCACCACGCGCCTGTTGGTCTCATTAGGCCATAAAGGAACATCGTGCCAGAACGAGATGGGTGTGTTGTCTCGTTGCAACCACATGCGCCAGTCCTTGTCAAATCAGTATCCTCGAAGATGCTCTTGGGCCAACAGAGAGGCTCACCAGCGTGTTGCGCTGTCCGACCTCTCTTAAATTGTAGTTGACAGCATTGCCTGCTGTACAATCTTGGCCCACTGCAAGAGTGACGGCCGCGGATAGACCTAGGAGGAATGTCAGGGAAGCCATTTCGACGAATTTGAGCTACAATCGAAATTGAGAAAGCGAAGAATTTTCGGTTTCCTGCTTGCACCTGGGTGCACGTCTTATGTAGTCCCTCCCAGCTCCCGACCAATTTTATCGTCATTGCATAGCGTATCTACCTAGCCTTGCCCAGAGAGTAAATAGTCCACTTCTTGGTGTAGGAGTGATCTTGATCTTGGCAAAAGATTCGCTTTATGGAGTACGTGTCGTTCGAACTGACGTTAGGCTCCGAACTGCCACTGGGTGCCCACGGAAAGAAAAGGCAAGGACGGAGCGGATGTCTGGTCCAAGCAAAGCCAAGCCTTGGCCAATGCAACGAGGCGGTGGTCTTCCGAGGCTGCCATCACGAATAAGACAAGAGCTTGCTAGACACGTGGGCATGAAGAATCGAGCTAGGATTGTCGTAGAAATGTTGAGTTTTGGTGGGAAAGCCTTGTGAACAATAGATAAAGGCAAACAGAAAAGCGATCTGAAGTATCAGCACTGACCCATCTTTACGAGGAATGCTTGGTGAGAGGTGGTGGACTTTCGACCTTCAAAGCAGGAAGGACAGACGGAGTGGAATTTACATAATGTGAATCCTTAGAGGTAGGATACCCGGTTTCGTGGTGGCAATGAGACTTCCTGTCGGCCTAGGACCGGGGCAATAGTTCAAACCCCCTAGGAAACCTCAGCCTTACCAACACTCCATACCCCCAGCGACCCGAGCGGCCATGCATCCAGAGCGGAAGATCTCAACCAAGAATACAGTACTCATATTCCCTACGATTGCTTCAGACAGAACTACAATCGTGTCTTACGCCCCCTTCGGATCTCCACTACTCTACAGCTTCGCCTGTTGTTCTCTCCGCTTCTCTGCCTCGACTGTCCTCCATAGCTGTCTTGTATCAACCATCATCGACCAGAGATGTTGCATGTTGTTCATCTCGCTCTTCCTGGCTTCATCGAGCAATGCTTCGTAGGGCGTCTGGTTAGCTCGAGCAAGCGCACTATCCAGTTCGTACTCCGTGAAACCATACGCATCAATGATCTTGGATACATGGTTTTCGGCTAGGTCACCGATTGCAGTCCGATACGCCTGGGCGAGTAGTTTTCGTTGTCGTTGAGTCAGCGACAGGGGCGGCGTGAGAATCAGATGAGCATTCTGGAGGATTGATAACGAAAACTAGTGGTTGTCAGTGGTATTCCCTCTTTCGTCGAGCGGAACAAGACCTACCACTTGTGCCAGAGCAATGAGAGACGGTAGAAACTCGGCATTTCTATTCCGATCAATGACATCCCAGAAACCTTTCCAGTACACGAAATCACCGTGAGCCATGGTAAGAGCGTGGGTTGAAAAGCTGGTATCATTGCCGGCATTCGTATCATCCATGTGGTTCTGTACGAGGACCACCAGCCTCTGTTCGAGGACGAAGCGTTGGAGGTCTCTGTGAAGCCAGTCCTCTTCTTTATGAACGTCGATCGGCTTCGGTGGCTCTTTTTGGCGCAGGAAAGAGAGGTACGATAAGCTGAACAAGGACGACTCTGTCTTCCTACAATCGATGTCAGTTCTGATCTCAACGTTATCCTGGCTCGACTCACGCCTTGAAATGCTTCACAATTGCCCTTGGAACCTGTTGAGCAACGACATAATTGTCCCCTTCGTATGTCACGGCGTTGATTGAATTGGCGTACATGCGTCCGAAGCCAGATAAGGCATTATACCCGTGCCCTCCGCAAGCAATACGGCATGTCTCAATGCCATGACCGGTGATCTCTGTCGAATAGACTTTTGCACCCACTGTCTGCAAATGCAAATCCTCGAGCTCGGAAGTGTCGTTAGTTTTGAGGTACTGCTCCGTGTACGTGTCATAAGCTCGCTTGATATTCTGCCCTACCAATACAAGCGCGCTTGCCTTGTGAGGTTTGTCAGCGTTTCCCACTCCTTTGGGGGCTTTTGACTCACCTGCGCGAGCAAAGGCAACAGCCTATATTGCACGCTGGCATAGCTGAATACAGGTTTCTCTTCTCCGGTCTGGTCACGATCGAACTGACGTCGGAAGGTTGTGTAATGATATGCAACCGCCACAGCTTTCAACAAGTCCCAACCAGTTATCTCGGCCATGAGGGCTCGAACCGTCACCATGGACCCATATGAATGCTTGGTGTTCTTGGGAGCAACGTAAGTCCCGTCTTGCAGCACTTGAGCATTCCTGGCAAGCATTTGCGTCCTTGGAATCCGAACATTATGGAATCGCAAGGCACCGTTATCAGTGCCCAGCATGCCCTGAAACACCTTCGGGCCCAATTCGTATATTTCGACTCCCGGCATGAGCTCCTGGGTGTTTAGGTCCCTAAGCTGAGTGAGAAAGAGGTGGTTTCCATACTCCTTGCCATTTATAATTAATCGCGCCACCACGATGGAATGAGTTGCCCATATACCGGTGGCACCGATCCAGTACTTTGTGCTGCTTATTGTTGGAGAGTTGATGATGAATTCGTCAGTGGCTGGATCGAACGTCGAAGTTGTCTCGATCCCCTTGACGTTGGAACCATGACCCAACTCGGTCTGTGAGTAAGAACCAAAGATTTCGAACCTCTCTGCTCTCGGTACCCAGATCGCTTTCTGTTCGTCAGACATTTGCCTTTCTATATTCGACATGAATACTAGACGTGTATGGGTCAGCAACCTAGAATCGCTGCGTTGGAACAGAACACTGACTTCTGAATTGAGGCTGTACAGGCAGCATGTTGTCGGTATATCTGATGGCTTCCATGAGCTGTCTGTGCGGCCAGTCATGTTTCAATTTGAGCCTGATGAGCTCTCTTGACTGCAGAGCTGCCCGCGTCCATGCATCTTTGCGTGCTAGCGACGGAGTATTCACGGTTTTCTTGGAGAATATTGGATTGTTGAGGAATGCTTCCAGGATTGCTTTCCGTCTGTCGAACTTTTCCCTACCACCCCACAGAAACAGGCCGAATGGCGTCTCTTGGGGCGTTGTAGGGATATCTCGTTGTGTCCGTGGTTGATTTGACATTTTGTCGGGCTTGGCCTACTCTGCACAAGTTGCTCTTGCTTCGGACCTCACCTTCTCTACCTTTATGAATATGATCGGTTTGCCCCTGGCTTCGAAGGCGGTCGGGTCTTCGATCCTGTGCAATGATGTGGATGGTCTGGGGTCGGACTCCGCCGTCGATGACTGGAAATTGGAGATTCATTGAATGCACGCTCGGGATATCAGCCGGTGAAATGCCACATGCGGCAATCACCGACCTCCTTGGACTGCTCCCGAGCTGCAGCAAGCCACATGAAGTAACGCGTGACCCCTCAGGCTATTCTTGGGAATGCAGTCGGCGATCAGAAGAAAGACCTTACCAGAGTCCTGAAATTATCACGCAACAGGATATACAGATGACTATGGAAGGACGGTACCGGTACATTACCGTCGAACGACAAGGAAGTGATGGGATATATGTTATCACACTTCGCAAGCCTCCAGAAAATCGACTGGATGTCGCGTGCTGCCAGGAGTTGATACGAGCATATCACAGCATCCAACAACTTCTCGGCTTAGACTCTGAAGGGGCTGTGATCCTACGGGGTCAAGACGCAAAATTCTTCTGCACTGTTTGTCAACCATTGACTTGATTGTCTTCGCTAATTGTCCTCAAGGGTCTTGATCTTGACGAACGCGAGCGAAACATCTTTTCATCCAGCGACGGGTTTTATCCGGTAAGTGGATGCGATCCTAGTCAGGATGAGTTTACTGACATGGGTCTCTGTCAGTTGCTGGCCACTGTGCTGGACTTCCCGTTTCCCACGATCGCCCTGATCACTGGCCATGTGTTCGGCGGCGCATGTCTTCTAACATTGGCCCACGACTACAGAGTCATGAATGCTAACAGAGGCTTTTGGCAAATGCCTCCGGTCAATGCAGGCCTTCATCATGACGGGATGGGGTCATTAGTCCGGTCAAAATTGGCTCCCAAGGTGGCGAGGAAGGTACTCCTCGAGGCACATAAGTACACCGGCAAAACCGCCCTCGAAGATGGGATTGTGGACTCTGTCGCAGACCCAGACAAGATGTTCGGCGTGGCTCTTGAACTTGCCGAAAAATGGAAAGGCAAAGCAAAAATGGGCGTCTACGGTCTCCTTCGTAATGAGCTATGGGGTCAGGCGCTCACGGCATACCGCCAGAACAGTTATGTGCACCATAAAGAAACAGCAAGAGAGCCGAAGGTCAAGCTGTGAATATCTGCAAGCGATAGAGAGTACTATCTTCCAATTGGTCTTGAAGATCATACCAACGTACAAGACAATTATAGCTTGCTATTCGTCTTCCCTGACTTCCATTTCTGCACTTCTGGGTGACCTTCCGGCGGGAACAGCTCTTTCACAAGCACTTTCTTGATGACCTTCCCCGTTGCATTCTTCTTCAATCCGTCAACAACTCGCAACAACGTCGGCGTCTTGTATCCTGCAAGGTTGTCTTTCAAGTCCGCCCTCAGCTTTTCCAATGTCAACGACTTCAGGCACTGTGAACACGTTAGCATTCGTTGGCACAAACTTTGGGATGGCCAATCACTTCAGGCTTCAGCACAATCGCTGCAGCGACTCTCTGTCCAAACTCCTCGTCATCAACACCGACAACCATAACTTCCGAAACATATTCTAAGCCCAAAATCTCTCTCTCTATGTCTAACGCGGACAGCTTGTACCCACCCGACTTGATAACTGCGGTCGAGTCGTTAGCAACATTCTCTGCAGGGCAAAGACAGGCACTTGCTGTCTATAGATGCTCTTCCCAAAATAAAATAATGTCTTCCCTCTCGGCGTGCGATATCTCCGGTTTTGAAATAACCATTCTCGTCCATTGAATTCTTGGTAGCCTCTCGATCGTAAAGATACCTGCCGTGTCAGCTGTGAGAGCAGAAGAACCCAGCGACACATACTTCGAGAACATGATGGGACTTCTGGTCAAGATCTCGCCCTCATCGCCATTCGACAGATACAGGTCGGTTCCAGCCGCCCTCTCGCCAACCGAGCCCTTAAGATAGTCAGTAACATTTAGCAGCCACAACTGAGGAGACTTACATCGGGAACACCTTTAGCCCACGGCGTGACGGTGAAGCCGTTGGCAAATTCTGTTCCCCCATAGCGAGTGAGGATCGATCGGCCGTTCCTGAGTTTCGTCCACTTCTGCTGCAGTGGTCGAGGAAGAGCTGACGTGCCGCAAAGCATGGCTCGAAACCCGTTGGCACCCTTTTTGTAGGCGTCCAATTGATCCGGTGGCAATTTCGACAGATGTTGTTCGTAGTATGCCATTAGCCTCATGTAAATGGTGGGAACTCCGCTGAAGTAGGTCAAGCCACCCTGCCGTATCCGTTCCCATGTCCATGGGACGTCGAAAGATCCACTTCTAAACTCGATATGTCCACCAACCCACAGGAATGGGAGAAGGGTCACTGTGATACCGGTAGCGTGATGTACAGGGAGGGTGTGCAGGACGACGTCGCCTTCCCGAATCCCATGCTGATCTCCAAAGCCGATAGCTACATCGATGAGAAAGCCTCGACGTTTGACAGCACCTTTGGGAGGGCCGGTGGTGCCAGATGTAAAGATGACCAAGCCCGACCGATTGAGATCCAAATAGGGGTCTGAAGAAACCAGAAATTGGTCCGGGTCCAGACAGGGCTGCATAACATGTGGTGTGATCTCAATGAACCTATATTGAGGCTGCCCTGAACTTTGCATCCATCTCTCCAGGCTTTGGCCTAGCGCAACACTACGTTTGGCGGTGATTACAGCCACCGCCCGAGATTTGGTGGCAAAGTAAGATGCCTCTTTAACGGGTAAATCTGGTGCTGCAGTAGTTTGTTAGTCAATGAACCAAGTAGGGGATGAGCAACCAACATATCGGCACAGTCACAGCCCCCAGTGCTATCAACGCGAGAAAGGCAACCGTGAACTCATACCCGGCAGGCCCAAGCAGATTGACAAAGACTTCTTCGTCTCGATCCAGTCTCGCAACAACCTCGGGGCTGAGACTCGAGCGCAGCACGTTCCTCAGATTGAGTACATCCGTCAAAAATTGTGCATAGTTGGCAGTGTAGCCGAATGTCAAGTCTGTGACGGCAATCAAATCCGTCTTGTAGGAAAGCCTCACAAGGCGGCTGAAGAAATAGAAGTTGGGAAAGACATTTGGTCCTTGATGTCTTCGCACGAAGTGTATCCTGTCCTCTGGGTCCGTGGGTGTGGTCGACATCGTGGGCAATGCTCCTGTCTGCAACAGTAATCTCCCAAGTCATGCAAACCGCATCAAGATATGTAGCATGTGTGCCTTCTCTCCGTCGGATCCAAAGATCTACCCGACTACGGAGAGAGCATGCTGGTTCAATCGCATTAGAGAAAGCTGAGAACGGCCACTTGCTGGTTGCGATTCTTACCTCATCAAGAAGGACCGAGCCTTTTTCGCCGAAAGGAGGGATTCATGCAGTCTTTTCTCCGCGTTCTCCTCACAGGGACCTTAGCGGACCAATTGGGAAGCATACACCCTTGTGACTCGGCTCTCACATGTGGGACCCCATGGGGATATCATATCTGTCTTTTCAGGCACCGTTCTCGAAGGATCCGCACCCTGTCTTATTCTCTCCTCTCTGCTCTTATCAGTAACCAAGCAGATAGGCACGAGGACGAGTTCAAAGATGTTAGGGTTTACCTCCTTCAGCGAGACCAGGACAGCCGTGGAGGCTGAAGGCATCTATATCGGGGGCTGGTCCATCCGGCGCGCGATGTGGCCAAAGACTGTGGACGGAAAACATGGTAAGCACGTCCCCAGTCCTATGAAGACGACCCATGATCATGCTAATATCCTTCAGACAGTAGCCAAGACCGGGTCGAGCATGTTGCTGCTATCCAGGACTGGGATGCGGCCGAAGAAGCAGCCCTGGTCAGAAAGCTCGACTGTCGCGTTCTTTTGCCATGCTGTATCGTCTACTTCCTTGCTTACCTCGACCGCGCGAATATGGGCTTTGTCAACATCATGCATGCGGGCACAGAAGATAGTTTTGAGGAGAGCTTGCACCTGAAAGGTACAGATTTCAACTGGGTATGTCCGACTTTTACCGGCATACTGTTAAGCGATACCAACAAGTTCTGCAGGCCGTGTCAATCACCTACTTCATGGTGACTGTGCTACTCATGCCTTCGAACCTTTTGATGAAGCGATATGGCGCGAAAAAGTACTTCCCAGTGATTATGGTTCTTTTTGGTACGATTGCCAGCATCTCTTTCTGTGACCGAGGCAGCTGACCAAGGAAAGGCACCATTGTCATGACGATATCCGCCGTGAAGAATGTCGATGGTCTCCTGGCAGCTCGTTTCTTCCTCGGTATTCCCGAAGCAGGTGTCGTGCCAACGACCATCATGTACTTCAGCTTCTGGTACAAGCCTACCGAACGAGCGTTGCGAATAGGAATTTTCCACGCAGCAAATGCTCTTGCCTCTGGCGTTGGTGGCTTCCTCGCCGTGGGTATTGACAAGGTTGGTCCGTGGATTTCCCTGCTTCTGATTTGTAACTGACAGTAGCAGCTTGATGGAAGAGCCGGATTGGAGAGTTGGCGTTGGCTCTTTATTATCGAGGGTCTCCTTCCAATCGTCATGGCTCTACCGGTGTACTTTCTGCTCTTGACATTTCCAGAGACATCGACAGCACTATCAGACCGAGGTAAGGCGGCGACCAAGCAGCACTCTAGCTACTGAACCACTGACCGCTTCCCAGAACGTCACATTGCCATCAACAGGTTTGGTCGGGGCTCCACACGCAGTACCGACGTGACATGGGAGTGGCGAGCCTTCTATGCAGTCATGAAACGCCCGTCTACGTATGTTTTTTTCGTGTCGTACATCTGCCTCCTGATTGTCGCCGTGGCTCTTGGAACATTCCTACCAACGATTCTCAAAGTGGTATTTCCCTCTTTCCAGTTGCTATCGGATCAACAGCTAATGTCGGAAGTTTGCGAAATTCTCAAGCACAAAAGCGAACGAGTATACGTCTGCTGTCTACTTCGCTGCCATTGTGTGCTATGCCGTATGGTCATGGCACTCTGACTGGACCAGAGAGAGGATCTGGCATTATATCATTCCAGCGCTTGGCGCCATACCTTGTTTTGCAGTATGGACCTATGTGGGAGTCCATCAGAGCTTCGGCAGTATCAAGCCTATTTCGCTCTACGGTCTTGCATTCCTCGGAAATCTTGTGTCGATTGCACAACCGGCTGCTCTAAGCTACAGAAGCGCCACTCTCTACGGAGCAGCTGAACAGGCCGTGGGTGGTGCAATTGCAATTGCATCTCTGTCGATTGCCAGCATTATTGGCCCCCAAGTAAGTACCGTAGGCCGCAATTCGTGACCTTGGCTGACTTGCCTAGATTTTTCCAAGTGCAGATGCGCCATGGTGTGAGTATCATGTTCTCACTCTTGCTTTGTCGTACGCTTTGAATCAAGCTGACTGGTGAGTTGCAGACGTTCCTGGCTTTTCTGCTGCTTGCTCGACTATTGCTTTTACCATCATCTCGTTCGCTTCTCTGCCAGTCTGGCTGCTTTTGGAAGCGAAGTCTCGAAAGAAGAAGACTGACCATGCAATGCCTCTTCGGGCAATGGAGGATGCCGAGCATGCTATGGTTTCGGCAGCTGCCCTAGAGCGACTTCACGAGCAGAACACGATGGAGAACAAAGTCGATGTTGAGACTCCAAAGCACGTCGAAACAATACCTATGGAACCTTCGACCAAGCACTAGGGCTGGTGGGAGTAAAAGCACAGCAGGTCTCACTGAGTGAATTTAATGCTCCACTCTGCAACTTGCGTGCAGGCGCTGGAGGCGGTCGGTTCGAAGCATTTGGTGTTGTTGTTCTTCTTGAGCTTACAGGCAGAGAACAAATTGCTTTTTGGGGGCGATTTCGATAGTAGATACGATGGTAGTGCTATTGAATTATGAAATCGGTTGTACTACATACGTAGGCTACTACCGAAAATTAAATTAGTCTTGAATGTGAGGTACAGTATTCGTCTCGATTTTTAGACTGCTTTCTCTTCTTCTTCGTGCCAAGTTAAGAGACATGCCAGCAACCAATTTTGACACCTTCCAACAGGGAGACGAAGGTGATTGTGATTCCCAATACGAGCAGCTTTCCAGACTTCTCGTACATCAACCAGGAGATCAGCGTCGAGGACCCGCAGGTGCACGACTTCATGAAAGCTTCAGGATGCACATGCACGCACGAAGGTCCTTGAAAGCAAGCAAGCTAAGTCGTTCCGAAACAACGACAAGTCTGCCTAATGGGATGCCATTGTCTTGCCATGGAAGGGGCTTCGAGTGTGGGCGAGAACCGGGTACCTTACGACTATTGTCCAAGCCCCGCAGCGTCTGAATCGCGGATGTCTTTCATATCCGACCTCTTACATTCGGGACATCACAACGCTAAATATATATTCCACAAACAATCATGCCGTTGTTCAGGGACTCGGATCAATGCCCTATTCGATTAGAGTGAGAGGGCCACGACATCAGCGTCCCAGCGATAAAAGGCCGAATCTCTCCCAGGCCTTGGCTCCTACTCTGGATGGTCTACCTCCTTAACGACAGACTCAACCCTAGCGACTTGTCTCATCTTACGCCGCTGAAGAAGCATATACTGAACATTCCTCCAAGGCCAGCTCCATCTTTTGGACCATAATGGATCTCTTGCCGCGAGGGAACGACGCCCTCAACGTCAATCCTTCGACCGGAGTGGACCTCGTTCTTTCGACAAACGGATCTGACTGGCTTTGGGCAGTCACAGCCGTCTACATACTCAGTTTCGTAAGTCTTTTTACCCGCTCGCCCTCGAATGCTCTTACTTACAAAGCTTACTGACACTTCTTCGTGTAGTTTGCCTGCTTGGTCCCATCCTTCACTGCACCCGAGAGCAAAAGGATTTTCAATTACACTCTGTCCATGGCCCTTTTGGTCGGCGCGGTGACCTATTTCGCTCAAGCTTCTAACCTGGGGTGGAGCGCCGTCGAGCAGGCCAACCAACTTTCCCGCCAGCTCTCCTACGCACGGTACATCAACTGGGTCGTCTCATTCCCGGCTCTGGTCTTGTCCCTTGGTCTGTTGTCAGGAATCTCCTGGACCACAATAGTCCTGAACATTGTTTGCTCATGGTTCTGGGTTCTCTGCTATCTCACTGCCGCCTACACCACCACCAACTACAAGTGGGGCTTTTTCGCTTTCGGCACCTTCGCCTATGTGATTCTTGCAATGAGCACCATCAACGAAAGTCGTGAGTCGGCTCAAGTCCTTGGCATCGGTCGTGACTATATCATCCTGGCTAGTTGGGTGAACCTGATATGGCTGCTTTATCCTGTCGCCTTCGGCTTGAGTGACGGAGGTCATGTCCTTGGAGTCACTAGTGGTTTCATCTTCTTTGGGACCTTGGACGTGCTTCTTCTACCGGTGGCAAGTGTCGGTTTCTTGGTTCTATCATGCAACTGGGATTTTGCGGCTCTGCAACTCGACGTCAGTGAATACCGCGGCGTCCGGCATGGCAAGGTCTTGCCGGAGAAGGGCCGTGCCTCTGCTGCACATGAACGCTGAAGTCTCAAGCCAGGGCCGATGTAGAAGCTTAAGTCATCCGTGTTTTCGACGTTACGGTTGTATATCTCATAACTGGAGCTTTGGTGGACCCTTTTGCTGGGGGATCAGGAATACTGTTATGCAGTTGCTTGGTGACATGTATGGAAAGTCTCTTTCTTACCAAGGGTAAATGGGGGACTATCATAAACGGGGCAGGGGCATATAGATAGGCCAGGGATATTTCATTCGTTCTAATGGTGGCGTAGGACATGTGTATGCAGTACAGTTCGGGTCTGAGAAATTTGGTCTTGAAGTAGTCGCCTTCCAGCAATGGACTCAGATTCCAGACAGGTGACAATGTACCTGGGCCTTCCTTCCGAAGCTCTGGCTGACCCCATTTCCAAGGCCAGGTGTGCCTTCAACGAATGCCTCATTCCGCTGCCATGTGCGGGCGCAACTTGTTACAAGGGCAACAACACGAAATTCCTGGGTCTACCGAGATGATACGTTGGATTGGAAAGGATGTCCTCCATTTCCGAGTGCGAGATCCATTGCTCTTGGTTGCGCATGTAGTGGACCAAGAAATCGTCAGCTACTTTTGCGAGAACAGGACGGAGGTTTGGCTAAGCCTTGCACGCCTCGACAGTAACGATACTTTGCCGTGCAAGGAATGGGCTTTTGGTGCGGCGCCATACATGAGCCATTCGTTACCGGAACACACTTCTCCAGGGCGCGCGACTTCAATTACCGCCGGATGGATGGCCAGCCAAATCTGTGATGGGTAAGCTGCCAATACTGATAACCCGGTCAACGTGGACGATAGGTACTGGGAACATTGTTCCAGACGCCTCCGTGGGCCGAACGGATTTTCAGGTGATGTTCATAGCCGGATGCCATTCCATATCAGGTCGGCAAGAATCAAGCATGCAATGTGGATACCGAAGATCAGGCCGAGCCGAACGTATCGAGGATAGTGGGATACATTCCCACCCTTAATCGCAACAAGATCCTCCGTGCAGCTACGCCAGCCGAGTACCCTCCGCCTGTGCACAACCTTGCACGTATTCAACCCTCATTAACCTGTCGAGGCCGAAAGCTCGAGGAAGAAATCAGCATAAAGCAAGGCATGGATTATTGCTCTATCACGTTCCAGTGAAATCTTCAATAGAAATGTCGAATCGAAACAGTCTCCGCACTATTGCCCGGTTCGTGACAGGCCACAACAACGCTGACGGTACGTCTGTGTTCCAGACAGACGTAGATAGCAACCCGCCTGTCAGAGCGCTCCCCGATGGCATGCAAATCTTCGATTGCTACATGACGCAAGGTTTTCCCGTCGACGTGGCCACTGGAAGCGATCTTCGCGTATACGAGCGGCTCATTCAGAACCCTCCCGGGATCGTGGTCCCCAATGGATCTGCAGCCAGGGTTGTCGACATCCCACCGGCATATACTTCACCCATGCATCGCAGCATGAGTCTGAACTACAACTTTGTCATCGAAGGCGAGGTGGAAGTCCTTCTGGACTCAGGTGAAACAAGATCTTTGAAGCGAGGAGATGTGTTGGTTCAGCGCGCCATCAATCATGCGTGGAGAAATACGAGTGAGACGGAGTGGGCGAGGATTACGGCTGTTGTGTTGCCAGTGCAAGGCATTCATCTTGGAGGCAAGGGATTGGAAACATCGAAAGGAAACGAGGGCCAGCTGGGGTAACAAGACGCGTGAATGGTAGATAGGCTTGCACAGCTTGCAGAGTTGACTGACAGATAGTGTACGTGGAGACAGTTTTGCATCTAGGGTAGCTTAAGTGCCTGATGCATCTGTTTCTTTATCTTATACGGTGTGAACTTATGAGACCGCTTAACGACTAATTGAATGCCGGCAAGTTGTTGGCATTATTATGTCATGTCGTAGCTACGGATATCCTTGCGCTCTTCCCTCGAGTCCAGAGTTCGAAGAGCTTGAATGCCCGGCCGCTAAGTAAACACACGATGCTTGGGCTGGCAACTGCCGGATTTCTGGGGAAGCCAAGATCTCCCCGGCTTGCTTGCTCACCTGTATCTCCACATGTTCATCATGCCACGGATACTCTGGTCCCTATGATCAGCCCGTCCAAACTAGAGGTCCATAGCGTTGCCGAACCAGAGTGGCAGCGTCTTGGACCGCTTTCTTACAAACTGCTCGTGCCAAAGACTAGATGGTGAAGCTTCGGCAGCTTATGCTTTATAGCTAAAAGCCCTTCACATCCTGGATCTTGAGAGCGAGACTTGATCACCTTGTGGTGAGCCGCGTCGTATTAGTATCCAGGGAGACTTACGACAATCTTCAGAATGACACAACCCAATATTAGAAAAGTGATTGTCGTGGGTGCCGGGCCTGTCGGGCTTCTCACAGCTCTGATGCTGGGTCAGAAAGGAATTCCTGTCGATGTGTTAGAAGCCAATGACCAGGTCAACAGCTCTCCTCGCGGACTCGCTTACGGTCCTGCTGCGGTGAGGTATAGAAGGTTCATTGGTTTGAATGTGGACTTACTGACAAACCTACGTAGAGTCCTGCACCGAGCCGGCATACTGGAGAAGACCATTGAAAAAGGATTTAGTGCAGGTAGTGTGGCATGGAGAAAGCCTGACGGAGCATTGATCATTGACCTTGACCGTCTGGACATACCTGTAGAGGGTCTGCCACATAGCGTCATCTTACCTGTCGGCTCGTTATCTGGATTGCTCGTGCAAGAGACCCAAAACTACCCGAGCATCACTGTCCATTGGAATCATCGAGTTACTGGAGTTGGCCAAGACAGTGTCAAGTCCTGGGTCCAAGTCCAGGACACATCATCAGGAACTTCAACTACGATGGAGGCCGACTTTGTCGTCGGCTGCGACGGAGGCACCAGTGCCGTGAGAAAGTCGCTGTCTGGAGGTAGCTTCCCTGGATATACCTGGCCCATGCAGTTGATTGCCGTAAATGTGAGTACTCAAGCACTTGCCCTTGTGACTACCTTATGATCAAGACATGGAGAGGATTGCTGACTCTTGTGAACAGGCATCCATCGACTTTGACAGATTGGGATTTAGTGACGCCCAATGGGTCATTCATCCCGAACACTGGTTTGTCATTGCCAGGATCAACAAGCAAGGAATGTGGCGTATTGTTTATGGCGAGACTCCTGGTCTGTCGATCGACGAGGTCCGGACTCGTCTGACTGACAAGTTTCGCAAACACCTCCCAGGCATGCCAGAGCCCGACCAGTATACGTTGCATAATGTCACGCCCTATTCGATTCATCAGAGATGTGCTGAGAAGATGCGAGTGGGAAGGGTAATGTTGGCAGGAGATGCTGCACACCTTAACAATCCCATGTAAGTTTCTGTATACCAGATAAGGATCCCCTTGGCACAGTGAGGTCTCTTGCACAGGAAGTCTGTCTGCCTCAATGCGAGTGATATTTGCTTATCTATAGTTCCGCCGCTGATGTGGGAAATTACAGGGGTGGACTGGGCCTCACAACAGGCGTTGCGGACGTAGGTAGTCTGATCGACTGCCTTTACGGCATCCACGACGGACTAGCATCCTACCGTATCCTTGACAAGTACGATGAGATGCGTCGGCAGATCTTCCTGAACGGAACGGATGTTATTTCCACCGAAAACTTCAAACGCATCATGCAAGATGCTGAAGGAGTCGCGCAAAGAGATCCAGTTCTGCAGCTTCTGGCCCAAGCGAAAACAGACTCCAATATTGCTGCGTCTTTGGCAAAGGCACGTAAACCCCTTTCCCCTTTACAGCATTTCCTGCAATAATGAGGTCTGACGCACGACTACTTAGCATGAGTTGAGCATCGGTTGTGATATGACTCAGTTCTACGATCTGAAACCAGTGAATGGTACTTTAGCCAAAGCTGATTGATCCAGCTGGCGGTGACTGCGAAGCTTCTGGGTGTTGAGGCTTAACCGAACGTCGGGTTCTGACAGCTGCTGGATATACTGTTTAAAAGCACAAGCAATGAAGCTAATATTCTCGAGCCTCATGTCCGTATCAGCAGTACTTTACCACAAAAGGCATGCTATTTCCATGGTCAAAGGCTGCCGGAAACCTCTGGTTCTCGAATACAAATTGATTTGCCAGCTTTCTGAAGCCTTCGATGGTGTCCTCAACAAGGTTGCAATTCCCAACAGCTTCCATAGGATGCAAGAAACATTCCAAGCCGCTGGGTGTGCCAGCGTCTTGACGGTCGGCCTTTCTCAACACTGTCCCACAGCTTAAGTACTCGACACTTGGCCACTGTCCAGATCATTTTTCTCCTAGGAAGCAGCTCTCGGTTCGGAAAAGAGGACTGGGAGGCCAAGTCAATACGGAAAATGACAGTCCAGTTGTACGACAGGGGCGGGCTCCAAGGAACTGATCTATTCCGACCCTGAAAGGTTTGGCTTCCGGACTCTTGGAAGACCCTTTTATCTCGGTTTCATGTAATAGGAGAAATGGGATGCACTAGGCCTGCGGAGTCAGTGACCTTTCTTGTTGTCCCTGATTAGTGTACTAACCCAGTGGGACTCCCTAGAAGATGGAGAGTCCGGGGAAACTAGACTCCAGCTTTGTCTCGATTCGGTCGGTTCAAAGCTGGAGTTCCGGCCTATATATTCCGGCCTATATATTCCGGCCGTCTCTCCCCTACTCAATCCCTGACACAGATCCAAAATAGCAAGATACATAGCCAGCATATCAACATGGGCGCAGAAATTGTGCAACAGGAGAATATTGAGGGAATCTCGCCTGTAGGAGAGCAAAAACCTGCTAGAGGCAAGATAGGTGAGGAGGTGCTTGACCCTCATATTCACGATGACCATGGTGACCCTCACCGAGCCGCACTCGACGATGTGGACGCAGAAGGCAAAGTCAAAGCCACGACCTGGGGGGCTGTCTTTTTCCTTGGTATCACATTCATCTCGTCTCTCAGCTTCACCTTGAATTCCTTTGCCTCGATCGCGACATTGGTGGCAATGGAACTTCAGGGTAACCTCAACAACGTGAACTGGGTTGCTGGCGGGTTCTCTTTGGGCGGAAGTGTCGCTTTTGCCCTTGCCGGTGGGTTCAGCGACTACCTCGGCCGAAAAGACATCATTGTCACTGGGCAAATCTTCTTGCTGATCGGTCACTTGGTTGGAGCCACGGCGCAGACTTTCAATCAGATCATCGCCGCTATGACTATTCTAGGAGTCGGGACTGGAATGACCTTTGTGTAAGTCTCCTGATAGCCCTCATACCTGTGCTGGGATGACCTGGAATGCTGATCTTGTTTGCCTTCACAGCATCTACGCAGGTATTTCAGAGATTCTGCCCAATAAGTGGCGATCGTTCGGCATCGCCACCACGGAGATCAATCTGGCTGTGTTGGGCACGTTCGGCCCTCTAATGGGTCGTGGCCTTGCCGAAAACGCTACATGGCGATGGCTTTTCATCCTGGGTGAGATCGCTGGTCTCATCGCCATCGTAGGCACGGTCATCTTCTACCGGCCTCCACGTCGCATTTTCCAGGATCGCACAAAACGTCAAGTCCTCTACGAGCTGGACTACCTTGGCATCTTCCTCTACACAGCCGGAGTGACAGTGTTTCTTCTTGGTTTGGGCTGGCCGGGCACTCAGTATCCCTGGCGAAGCGCCGCTGTCATTGCGCCATTGACCATCGGCGGCGTCCTATTCCTGTGCACTTTCGCCTGGGACTTCTCAGGTCGAGCGGCCAGGCCACTTTTCCCATACCGGCTGTTTCGCAAATTCGAAGAGTTTACTTCCCTCGTCATCGTCATGTTCTCCTCTGGTCTTGCACACATAGCCTTGACTACATTCGTGCCTCAACAGATTGCCTACGTCTTCACATCCAACCCTATTACCGCCGGTTGGTACAATGTTCCCTCCGGCGTGGGAGGTCTCATTGGAGGGGCTCTCTTGGGCTCCCTGGTTCCACGGATCAAACATATCCCTCTACAGCTTCTGGTCGCCAACGCTATTCAAGCACTCGGTTGCGGACTCTTGGCCTTGATCACTCCGGACCGCACTGCTGGAGGCCTGGTCATACAAGGGATTGCAAACATTTCGTTTCCCTGGACCATCGTTATTGGTTACAGCACGGTGGGGCTGCATGTGCCTCAGCGCGATATTGGTCTCTCATACGGGCTGCTGGGCGCGGTTCGCTACCTGGGCGGAGCGGTAGGCAGTACCATTTTCAACACGGTGCTCACTGCCAGAGTCCCAAAAGCCGTCCCAAAGAAGGTCGCTGAGGCAGTCATACCCTTGGGCTACCCGGTGGCTGACGTGGGCAAGCTGATTGCAGCTATCTCATCTAGGAAAGCCTCCAATGTGGCTAGCATTCCTGGTGAAGTCGTGGCCGCTGCGAGGGAGGCGATTCGCTGGGGATACAGCGAGGCTTTCAGCTACGTCTGGTATGCCTCTATACCTTTCTTCGTCATCGCTTGTGTTGCTTCTCTCTTCGTACTGGATCCTTCACCATACTTCACAAACCATACTGCCGTTGAGGTGGATGACAAAGGAATTGCAGGCGGTCTGAGACATGGTCATCATCCCGACAAGGGCACCGCCCAGGAACTTCAGAAGCTTGAGACTCATGCGTGAGCGGAGGCTCGCGTTCAGGGCAAGAACAGAGGTGAAGCAGTAGGTGTTTTCGGGGTATCAGAACTGCCAGAAGGTTGGCGACAGTGGCAAGTTGAATTTAGTAATCTCATAACATCAACCGGCTTGCTGAAACAGGTTGAGCTCACTGCGTGCCTGGAGAAGCCAATATCGTGTATGTAAAGAATCTGACAAGCTCTGGAGCATCAAAACACTTGACTGTTCTCGTGGTAGAGACTTATCATTTGGTGCCTCACCAACACGCAACGATTCTGTATGATTACCTATCCATTTTCCACGTTTTGGTAACGCTGTCTGACGCAGACTCGATTTGTTTGCAACATTTCCGGCTCAGTTATAGACCAGTGTCAATAGTTTCCTCATCTCACGTCGCAGACTGCCCAGTCTTCTCTTTGTACGCCTCTGCCACTGCCAGAACGCCGGTCTCCCTCACAAATTTACCGCCTCGGCGCTCTGGTGGATGATGAAATATCAATTCGTCCCCGTTTCCCTCCACTGTCTCGCCTGTCATCCCTTTCTGGACCCAGTCCTCATAACCAACGTCGGCTAGGTCAGCCAGAGTATCAAAACATCGAAGGATGGTGCTCATTGGTGTGATTTGGTCAGGAGGCAGTTTGCTCACTAAGCCAGCAGGTAGGCCTGGAGTGTCCACAATAGCAGGACAGACCGCGTTGATGCGTATGTTGACCTTGGAAGCCGCTCCATTTCTTGCAAGAGCCCGGACAAGCCCAACGAGAGCGTGTTTACTGCCCGTGTATTGCGGCAGGATGGGGATAGGGAATATACCTCCCCCAGAGGATGTAATGATTATCTTTCCGCCGAGCTTGGGCTTGCCGGCCTCTGTGCTTGGGACAGTCAAGTAGTGTGCAGCAAGCTTGATGCCATAGTACCTGCGAGATACGTTGATCAGCGACTCAAGAGCACTTCAGGGATGTATCATCGAATGTAATTGTGTTTGATGGGCAATGCTTACGTTCCCGTAACATTCACGTCAAATGGTCTAGTGTTTGGCTGCGATGGTGGCTTATTCACATCGTTGGAGAGTGTATTGAATATGTCGTCTCGATCGTCGACGCCGGCGTTGAGCGCAACAAAATCTAAACGCTTGGTCCACGCGTAGGCTTGCTTGAACATATCGGCTTGTTCCTGCCAGGAGGCTATGTTGGTCTGAATGAATATCGTATCGGGATTAGACACTTTTGGCGCATTTATGTCGGCAATGACGACCCTCCATTTAATAGAGACGAGGTGTTGTACCAGTGCCTCACCTATACCGGATGAGCCGCCAGTGACGATTGCTGTAGGAGGAGTCATGGTAACAATGAATGCCAGATGGACGAGAGAAGCGACTCTGGCTCTCCAACTAAGAAGTTCAAGAGATACAATCAATAGCTTGGTTTTCTGAGGAAGCAAAAGAGGAAGCCTGGCGACGGTGATTTCGTTCTGGGGGTTCCGTTCGCCTTGTATTTTGGCCCAGACATCTGCGCAGAGAGCTTCCTAGGAGTCTAGAAGATTTTGCACGGTCACTCGCAAAGCACATTGTCTGTTAGATGGGCCGAATGTATTGGGAAATGCCGACGGAAGATGCGGCCCTACCTCCCCATGGATTCTCTATCGGTGGCCCCGAACATGGTATTGCAACCTAGCGAGGCCTCTACTGGAGATTTGTACTTGTATTTCACTCTGCAGCTGCCAGCTGCCACTCGGTACTTCGCTAAGTAGATTAATCGCCAATTGCTAGAAATCTCCTACCATGACCCCACCGCTCATTGCGCTCGAGGAGCACTTCTATTCTCGAGCGGTATTCGACTCGTTCGATAACGACATGAAAACAGGCATTTCTAAATGGCCAGGAGCACTCGACAGACTCTTCGATGCTGGTGATCTCCGCCTCAAGGAGATGGACAACGGCAAAGTGGTCCTTCAAGTTATCTCGCATTGCGCCGCGGACAATCCATCGCCCGAGGTCTGTAGGGCAGGCAACGATCAGCTGGCTGAAGAGATACGCAAGTCTGAAGAGACCAGAAAGCGCTTTGCCGGCTTTGCAGTTCTGCCCATGTCAGATCCCGGGGCTGCAGCGACCGAGTTGGAGCGGACGGTCAAAGAGCATGGCTTCGTGGGCGCGCTGGTCGATCATAAGGCTGGCAACAAATTTTGTGACGGGGACGAGTACGATGTTCTCTGGCAGAAACTGCAAGACCTGGACGTTCCGATCTACCTTCACCCTGCGTGGCCAACGAGAGAACTCCTCCAAACATCGTACGCTGGGAACTATCCGCCTCGTTCGATGACCGTGATAGGAGGAGCAATGTGGGGCTGGCACAGCGAGGTCGGTGTCCATGTACTTCGACTACATGCCGCAAGAGTGTTTGATAAGTTCCCCAAGTTGAAGATAATTCTGGGTCATTTTGGAGAGATGATGCCGTTCATGTTGCAGAGGATCGTAGATCAGGAAAGCATTATGGGCAAGCGAGATCGGCCCTTTGGGCAGGTGTGGAATGAGAACATCTGGATCACCACTTCCGCTGCATACAGTGTTGATCCGATGCGTTGCATCCTGGCCAACACCAAGATCGAGAGGATCATGTACAGCATTGATTACCCCTTTACAACGAACGAACGTGGCCTCAAATTCTTTCAAGACCTCGAGAAAAGTGGCCTTGTCAACGAGAAAGAGCTCGAACTTATCGCGTATAAGAACGCCGAGAATCTTTTGGGTGTCAAGGCACAGCCAGCAAAGCAGGTCAATGGTAATGGGACGAGTCACAACGCTTGAGTAACCCTCATGTCCGACTGGCTACTAGCATGTCTGTTGTCTTGGACGTATTTCGTGTTACCAATGAAAGTATTATGTGACTCAGACGATGTTTTATATTTGCACGATCCGCATTCTCTTATGCATATGCTACATCGCATGGAACCAAGTGTCACAAGATATGGGCAATGGCAAGTCCGGCATCAGACGTCGGTTAAGATTCTTTGGGTGTCCATGACGGATGATCCCCCGCAGAGTCTAGCATATACACAATTGAATGATAAGATATCCCCCAGCATGAGCTTTGGATTTCCAGGGGTTGTGAGTCGCCTTTTGCCCAGTTCAACACCACTTCTGTTTCACTAACACTGCTTTGACCAAACCAAACTAAAACATCATGACATCGGATTCCTCGAACGGAATGAGAGTGCTCCACGACTCAAGATCTTCGGTCGGAAGTGATCCAAAGAAGTCGCTTTCCTGTAGAGGACTGTATCAGTACTTTTCACTTTGGAGAGGGGTAGCACAGCGAAAAGAGCCTCAATTCGATGAAGCAACTCACGTAGAATGGAAGAGTGCTTGTGTCGTCAAAGTCCACAGGATCGATCATCAAGTTTGCAGTTGGAGAAGTCTGGTCACCTGCTCGTTCTCGGTTGTTCATTTGGCTCTGGGATTCCTCATGTTCCACAGCAAGGCGGGCAAAGTTGCACATATCTCTCACGAAAACGCGCGACAATTCGAGACCAGTCACAAATTCCAGGTTGGAGAAGTATCCGAAGGCAATGTCTAAATAGAACTTTCGTCAGTCGTTGTGTCCTTGCCGCGTACTGAACCACACTCGACCCATGGTTGAATGTGTACACGTACCCAAAAGTACTAGGTCCGACGGAACAGTAGACATTTTTGTGTCTTGTAAAATGTGAACGAAGAGGTTCATGAAACAGTACACGGGCGTGTACCGTGCAATTCTGTACGAGAGTTAACGTTTGTCAGAAGGTAACGCTCGATCCACCGAGCAAGACAAGGAGCACAGAGGAGCCTTACAAGGCAGAGCAATTACAGTCAATTTGGACCTGTCTGGTAGCCAGAATAGCAGAACGTGAGGCATGGGCAACTTCGTTACGTGAAGCCTCCACTTGGCAAGCAGCAGCTGCATTGTCTGCCAAGTAAGTGGATATTCCTGACCAAGGATAAGTCAAAGGAGTATTGACGTCTAGCACCAGACAGAAGTAATGCGCCTGAAGAGATTGGGCCTCACGTAGCGTAAGGCCGGCTGGTAATTCGGAAGCGTCGAGTGCGCCGTCCAGGCACATTCTCTGCTGCACTGAGCACTTGAAATCTGCGAGGTCCTTCCTCAACTTGCGGACTGTTTTGATCAGTTGTTCAGTCGTTTGTCGGAGAGCGCGTGCGCTTGAAAGGCGCTTCTTAGCAGTGGAAGCTAGCTGCATCATCTTGATAAGCGTGTGACAGTAAAAGGTATCGCTCGACCGTCCGTTGAGTGCACTGAGTGGCACCTGGCAGCTTATCTCGTCATCGTCCATGATCTATGAAAGGTCAACAGAAATAAGTTGAATATCACGATGAGGAGACATACCGACGGGCGACCAGAACGGGAGCAAATGTGTTTCTCCAGACAGTAAATGGCCCAGAACATCCAGTTTCTATGCGTGACTTCATGTGGAGAGAGTTTCCAGGAATGAGAAGGCTGTCTATGTAGTCCCTTCGAGCACGCAAGTCGCATGGCGTCTGTACACAAAGTATACTGTAGAGATATCTTACCTATGCCCTCACTGAAGTATGCCTATGAGAAATTCAGGTCGGCGGCGAAAACATAGAGAAAAAAAACCAAACACTTACCATCAGTATAAGAGCCTGCACACTCATCAGGGATGTATGCAAGAAAAAGGTCTCAGTATGCACAGAGAGTGCATTTTCGAAAAAGGCCCACGAGGCTTGCAAAGTCTCGCGAAAGGGTTTTGTCTTGGAAAGAACAATTCGACACCCGTGCGCCCAAACGACGTTGCATAACGCGTACCAGGCCTTATCGTCTGTGACAGGGTTATGCGTGCCATTGAAATGCGCGCGAAGACGGCCCTCAAACAGAGTGCGCTCTACCACGCCAAAGGAACGGTCCAGTCCCTCTTCAAAGTAAGCTGAACCACAGTGTCACGCATCAGCTCAATCTGGACTGGATGACGCTGGGGAAAGACTTGCCGTTAGTGTATTGCCATGCAACTTCTGGACAAGGGTCAGGTTCTCGAGAAAACGACAATGTGCCGCTCATTTTGAGCATTCGAGCCGAATCTAAAACAAGACGCTTCACCGTGCTGGAGTAGTCTGACAATTTGACTTTGGAAGTCACCCATTCCACTCCAGGCTGAGAGCAGAAAGACAGCATACACCGCGGGCCTGTCATCTATCATTTCCAAATTCTACATTGGCTGGTTTCGACTCACCGTAGTATTCGAGATTGAGCTAGGCGAACAACTCAGCATAAAGCAGAGAATCTGGGGTGATTAGCCTACCGTGTCTGTGGCATAGAGACTGTTATCCTCTTGCCCAACATCATGATTGTCAAAGACATCGATCGATGGCTCACACTCCTCTTCTGGCGCTTCGATCGGACACTCAGGCTGCTGAGGAATAAAGATAAGTGGTTGTGAAGGTGAAATGCTGAAGTTCGCCTGATTTGCAGGAGGGTCCGCCACATAGTCCTGCAGCCCATCAGTCTACACTCGGAAGCATACTCTAAGCAATTGCTGCTACGACATTGGTTGTCGGTGGCGAGGTTCGAGGGACTGCCTCGATGGGATGTGTCCTCAATACTTACGCTCGTCTCAGAAAAAGCGTCTGGATATTCCGGTTAGTCGCCAGTATGGATGACGTGAGGTACGGTCAGGGTCAATGTTTTGGCGTACTGGAGCTTTGGTGTCCAACTATGCGCTCATCAGGCTTCCTACTACCCTGGACGCGTGGACGCCTTCGAGGCGTGACGACACATTCTTCGGCACGATCCTGACAGTTCGCGCATGGTGTGTTGCCATTACCTGGAGGAAAGTTGAGCACGACTGGACTCTTGAAGTCTGCATATTGTGGACATACACCTGATCTTCTTGGCCCTACAGTGATTGCAAGCCACGGACCGCCGAGTCTTAGCCGCCATCGGGACAAGGTTGAGTCGAGCTTGGAATTCCGACGCCATGGTTCAGAAGCCGGTCAAGGAAATGCGTGCCTTTGCTCGTTGGTACGAGCAATTTGAGCGTGACTGAAGAGCGTCAGGGCTAACGGGCTGAACCAAACGAGACGTTGAAGGCCGAGAACGGGCTCTGGCACCCTTTGTCCGGGCTTCGCAAGTTTATCTCGTGGTCTTTGGTGCTATGCCTATTCCTTTCGGCAATACGGACAAGTGCCTCAGATCAAGACTGTGCTTAAAATCTCGGAGTAGCTTCTACCCGTCGGCTAATGCAACTCCGGTGACACGTCGAAATCCACCTGCAGGCGGAGCAGATTCCTCAGTCGTCAGTAAGCTTGGGCCTTCTTCTTCCCTGATAGTTCTTTAGTTCATGAAATTTCTGCGCGATACATCCAGTACTCCCCCGCACCTTGCGCATCATGGCCAAAGATCTGCCGTATTGCCATTTCTTTCAGAAATTAGTTGATTGGCTGCAGAAATGCTCCTCACGTGCGCGCTAAGGTACCCCATGCACCCCATGCTTTACGGCACTTTCAAGTCGATCACAACCGTGGAGTTTTACCAATTCCAGCAATAAAACCTGCATTTCGCCGAAGGGCTACGAAATTCCGAGCATACGAGTACCACTTCGATGTGTGACGGCCAGTACGTTAGTCTCATGATGGACTTCCCTATGTTGCGAGGGTGTCCTAGGACGCACCAGACCGTTCATCGGCCCCCGAACCCATTGACGGTCACCCACAAATACCTCCACGTTCGAGCAGCCATATCCAGTTCTATCCCCTTGTTGCTCACGACAGATCTGGTGCAGCTCGGGTGAGAGATCAATTGACTCCATTGAAGTCCAACTAAGGACAGCATGGCAGCTCCCTCAGACTTCACTCGCAGGCTAAAGCCCGCTCCGCCTGACGGAGCAACCACGATAAACCAGGAGCGTGAACAATCCGACGTTGATGCTGACCAGCTTGGCCAATATCTCCACGGCAAGATATACCTCCAAAGACAGCAACGAATACTGGCCATCATCATCAAAGAGAAACTCTTCGACAAGTCCCAGCAAGCGAATCTATCACGACCAGATCGCTACAAATTGGGTCTGGCCAGAGGAAAGCGTTTACGTCAATTGCAGGACTTCCATGGCTGGGACGATGAAGATTTCCTGATGGCCGAATATCTGGTGGATGATGTTCAGCCTTACCACCTGCACATCTCGCTGTTTACCGCTGCAATAAGAGAGCAATCCAACGACGAGCAGCGAGAGTATTGGATGCCAAAGGTGGCCTCGTGGGAGATCGTTGGTGCATACGCACAGACCGAGCTGGGCCATGGGAGCAACGTGCGTGGCATCGAGACACAAGCTCGCTGGGATCCTCAATCTCAGCAGTTTATCCTCCACAGTCCGTACCTTACAGCAAGCAAATGGTGGAATGGGACGTTGGGCAGGACGGCCACTCACGCTGTAGTGATTGCGCAGTTGATGCTCCCTGAAGGATCTGACGGATCAGATGTCAAGTACAAGTCCCATGGACCACATCCATTCATCGTCCAGGTCCGGGACATGAGAACACATCAACCACCGAATTCCATCATCGTTGGTGACATTGGACCCAAATACGGCTATGCTCCGATGGACAACGCGTACATGCTGTTCGACCATCATAGGCGAGTTATTTCCCCAGCATATTCGCGGATTCTGCTAACGTCGGCAGAATTCCACATAGCGCTCTCCTGTCAAGATATTCGAAACTCGATCCTCACACGGGCGCATACACCAAGTCGAAAAATCCCAGCTCTCTCTACGGACAACTGACAAGAGGCCGCTCAGTGATCGCAATGCATGCTCGTCTGGTCCTGGCCAGGGCCGTGACAGTCGCCGTCCGCTATTTATCCATACGGCGGCAATTCCATGATCGCGATAATCCGGACAAAGAAGGCACGGAGACATCGGTCCTGGACTATCCAACGGTCCAGATCCGCATCTTGCCGTTGCTTGCGACCACCTTCGCACTCCATTTCAGTGGTCTAGCCATGCGCCAACTTTACGAGCGGACCAGGAACAGCAGTGCATCGGACGGCGACCGGGTTTCCGAGAATGCCGACCTAGCGACACTGACAGAGCTCCACAGTACTTCTGCTGGACTCAAAAGTCTCACCACGGAGCTGGCTGCGAACGGCATTGAAACATGTCGGCGAGCCATGGGTGGGCATGGCTACGGCGGCGGCACAGGTCTGGTCCAGCTCAACGCAGATTACCTTTCCAAGCCCACGGTCGAGGGTGACAATTGGATGATCACCCAGCAGGTGGCGCAATATCTGATCAAGAAGGTTAAGGAGCGAGCCCATTCCTTGAAGAGTCAAGCTCTCAACAAGACAGAGGAACACCTCAAGGACTATTTGTACAGTCGTGTCAGAGAACCCAAATTCAGAGTCCTTGAAGATAACGAGGCCATCGTACAGGCTTTCAATTGGCGTATGTCATGGTTGGTAAGTTGTCTGGTACTTTGGGATGAAGTCCTGCCTGGCTCGCTGACACGTGTTCCTCAAGGCTTTCCGAGCGTACGATGCGCGAGAAGTTCTGGGAAGGCCGTGGAATAGTCTTCTCATAGAATTCCACAAATTGAGTCGAGGCAAGTGTTGATTTGCCGGATCCCTGCAGCTTTTCGTCTGGTCATGGCTGACTCCTATTGCTCCCTTCAGCCTATTCACAAGCGATGCTTGTCTCGAACTTCTACGCCGCCATCTCTTCGTCGACAATGGGGCCCCTAGCACCGACAACGCGAAGAGCCCTGACCGACCTATTCCGCCTTTTCGCCTTGCACACAATGGATACGGAGGCACGTGAGTTCCAGAACTCGGGCGCCGTAAGCTCGGACACCTTGGACCAGCTATCGGACACAGTTTTGGCACTCATGTCCAAGATCAGGCCGCACGCGGTCAAGCTCGTGGATGCATGGGCCTTACCAGATTACCTGTTGGATAGGTGAGATCAAGCTAATTCCTTCCCCAGAAATCCAAACACTTGAACAAACCTGACGCTCCGGAATTCTCAATAGTGCATTAGGTCGCTACGACGGACGAGTCTACGAAGACCTCTTCCATCGCGCACATGTGTTGAACCCTCTGAACAAAGTGACGTTCAACCCAGACTATCGTAGCAATGAGATCGTCATGGGAAGTGGAGATGCAGGCCGAATTCAAGCGAAGCTGTAGGCGCGCACAGACTGAGACCTGGGATGATCTGCAGATATTTCACGTTGCACGGCGATTTCATGCAAGCATTTTTCGCAGACAATTTGTAAGCATTTGTACTCATTCAGATTTCATGCATCCCCCCAAATCTCTTGTGAAATGGATAGTCGATGTATCCCGATGGCTCCTGCGCTGCGTAGAAGCTGGACGGGTCATACGCATTCAGATCAAGATTCTCCTTCAGTCGAAAAGGCAAGTCGGGGTTCGAAACAAAATCCCTGCCAAAAGCGATCGCAACTTTTCTGTCCATTTGGACTGCCTCTTCGGCTTGTTTCCGGTCATATCCGCCATTCAGGAGAAGTGGAGAGTCTTTGTCCCATTGCTCGATGACAAAGTCCAGGCTCTCGTGCACTCCGTGTATTCTGGAATGAACGAGATGCAGGTAAGCCAGGCTAAGCGGCCTCAGCTTCCGAAGCAGGTACGAGAATTGCTCCTCGGTGTCCTTCATGCCCATACCTTGGTATGGGCTGTATGGAGAAAGACGAACACCTGTCCTATCAGCCCCCACAGCTTCAATAACTTCAGCTAGGACTTCCAGGCACAGTCGAGCTCGGTTGTCGATGCTTCCTCCCCAGAGGTCTGCCCGGTGGTTACAAGTGTCTTGTAGAAACTGATCGATGAGATACCCATTCGCAGCATGGACTTCGACACCATCGAAGCCTGCCTCCATGGCATTTCGGGCGGCAACAGCATAGTCTCGAATCAGCATTTCGATCTCTTCGTTGGTTAGAGGTCGCGGTATCGGATTTCCTTCTTTGATTGCGATAGCACTGCTGCTGATCATCTCGATTCCTTGAACATCCAGTACTTCTTGACGTCCTGCTCGTCCAACAGCCCAAAGCTGTGCAAAGATAAACGATCCTTTGTCGTGGACAGCCCGAGTTACGTTCTTCCAGCCTTCAATCTGTGCTGCCGAAAATATCCCAGGAGCGTTGATATATCTTCCACCTGCCGCTTTTGAAACGCATGTGGACTCGGAAATGATCAGAGTGCCTGGAACGCTTGCTCTCTGCCCATAGTATTGTTCCATCAGATGGAGGGGTACACCGTCGTTGTCTGCTCTGCACCGTGACATGGGTGCCATGGCAATGCGGTGCCGGAGCTTGCATCGTCCAACCTGCATCGGTCCGTATAACGAAGTCATTTTCAAAGGCTGTCCGCTGGTTCCTGCTCGATTCACACGAGCGCTGTAGTTCAAGTGTTGCAATCAATCGAAGCGAGCTCACAGCTGCCAGGAAGGGTTCAACCCACCTATAAGCATGGCAGATGTTAGATATCACGGCATTTTCCCAAGGTCAACCACACACCGGCATGAAAGATGACCAAACCACTGCGGCATCACGGCATACAGCAAGCCCGCTGTGGCGCATCTAAAAGGTCACAGGAGTTTGTTCAAGGCCATCACAGGGGGAATACCGAAGGAAGCTGGGATCAGAGCAATTGACTCTCACTCCCAACACGTATCTGATTGGTCCTGAAGTGGTACGAACCCAAGCCCAACTCGGAACTCCGGGTTGTGAAGAGAGAATGAAAGTGTCGACGGCTATCAGGCGTCCGACGGCAGACCTTAAATGTTGGGAATAGCAACACAATCCCTTCTAGATCCGTCGATGACTTTGAGCCACGGCATTCAGCGGAGAACCGAAAACGCCGATTTCGACTCCATTGGCAGTCGACTGCAATAAACGGCACGCGGTGACATGACACCCCCCGGTAGAAGACCGACGTAGAGGCTTGAGCCGGTCTGGACCCGGTCTGGGCACACTGCGCTCATTCGATTATGTCGAAAGCAAGTCGAGTTCGGTGGTGATAATCTGCTGGCAGGCGTGGACATGACATCTGGCGTTTGGGGGCATGAGCACTCTGCTTTATCGGTCAATATTGGAGGATGCGGAAGCTTGTTGAGACGATGAGGATTGTTTCGCTGTCAAGCAGCCAAAATATGGATATTGGACGAGGAGACTCCCTCCGGCTGCGCCCACGCTCCCGCAAGCCAGCTGGCCATCAACCCAAAGCGTAGTGCGAGAGTTGCAACGGAAAGGAGGGTCGAGGTCGGAGTTACCAGTGTCGCCAGCTCCAGCAACAAGACAGGTCGATTTACGCTGTAGACTCAGAGGAAAGCCATTTCCCGCACCAGGCTTGACTTGACCCATCCCCTAGCGAAATTCCTTCCTGTCCACAGTATCACGCTTATCCACCAGACCCTTCCCACGACGGAATCATACCACATGTGTATAGGCAGACCTTTCTCTTTTCTTCTCTTGCTGACAGCTCTGATGATTGCACCCTCCAGCACAACTGCAAGCCCATTTAGAGCAAAGAATTTCGCTTCACCAGTGGCCATCCTCCAGTCGCCAGCAAGGACTCCCCGGACTGAAAAGCTATGGACGAAGGCGCTACTCAAGAAAGCACCTATGACCTTTCCAACGTCTGCCGGCTGATCTGGACCCTTGCGTAGCAGCTTGCGTTCCATCCATTCCCCGGGCCACACGCCGTAGACCAGAAATAACCTTGCAAACAGTCGATGCCAACCAAAACTCCAGAACTTGCGGACGCTCGTGATGTCCCAAGGCCTCGTCGTATACAGAGGTGGGAAGAAGGCAAGGGGACTGGGTCGAAGTGGATGGAGCATGATAGCAAAGAGGGAGTGGCCGAAAGAGAATGCTGCCATCAGGAAAGCACCAAGTGCAGCTGTCAGAAGTAGCTGAAACAGCATGGGAATACGATGGTCGAAGAGATCATAGGCAGAATATGCATTCCACGGCGCATCCTGGGTCGACAAAAGGTAGCGCAGGTAGATGGTTCTGATGACAGCCCAGCTAACGAGAAGGACCGGGCAAACGTGAACCAAGATGCTGTGGATACGATTCTGAACAGTAGGAAGCCATGTTTTGCGGGTGTGTCTGACGTCGGCCGTGGTCCAAGTAAAGCCAATGCCGCGCATGGAGAGTTCGAGCTCGAGAGCCCACGCAGCACGATCGAAGAGTGTTGTTGGCCAACCAATCTCTGTCACGGCCGTCTCATACACTGGTATCGGGTCTGGGCCGGAGATGGAATTGCGTAGAACACGCATGGCGGAACCAGGTATGGAGTTGTTGGTGGGTTGCACGTTGCTTTCTTTTACGCTGAACGTACTCCTATTGCGCATGATCTTGACCATGTCCTCTTGCGAAGCACCAGAGTGATGGAAGGGATCGGCAACTCCTCCATTTGTCCATTCCTTGTCAATATGTTTTGCTCCCTGCTCTTGTGATTCCACCCTTAGCCGATGATGGTACTTGACTCTGCGCGGTATGTGCTCGAACAAGTAGGGACTGATGAAGAAAGCGTCGAGTACCCTGCATCCGCCGTACAAGCCCACGAGACCAAGTTGATAGGTCAAACCAATGCTTTGAGGAACATGGTAGACAAGAGGAAGACGAAAGAAGAGGACGCCGGCGGTCAGGGCGAGACAATTTCGGAGGATCTTGACAGAGGTTCGATTGATCGCAGGAGGAGGTGGAGGAGCAAGTAGAAGTAGAGCAAAGTAGTAAAGCAGTGGGGGTAAAAGAGCCGCGGTGAAGGTGAGAGGTTTGCTATCAGGGATGGGATGAAGGCCAGGGCGAGGAGTTGGGTTTGAGAAGGATTCCTGCAACTGATAAAGTATCTGTAGGCATTTTGAAGCCATCATATTCGACGAAGGAAGAGCAGGTTAGGAGAAGAGGATCATTCTTTTTGCTTTCAGTGGTTCTGTTACCTTTCGACCAGCAATTGCGACAACCGACATGTCTATGCTGGCATCATGGATGACGTCGATTCTCTGGTGCCAGAATGTTTGCTTGTTGAGACGAACTTGCAGAAATCAACTCCAAAATCTGGCATACCCACGGGCAGGTAGGGAGGCGTGGGACGCGAACATCGGCATAGACGTCGCGCAGCCGGATTGTGCTTTCCTTCCGCCATTGCAGCTTGACGCTGGCTGAGATGGCAATTAGCGGTGTGATGATGGAGTGGGCAATTGTTGATCGGCTAAGTTGCCCTTGGTTTGCTTTGAACCGGAAGGCCTAAGAAAACGACCGATTCCGCAGAATGATGCTCTTTCGTCCTGGACGGTTTGGATTCGGTTCGCGCATGATGGCTCTAACAAACTGGGGTTTTTCGGGGCGGTGCTTGTCGCCCATGCCTGGGTCAAGCGCCGGAGCGGTCCTTCATTATTGCTGTCACTCCGAGTAGCCACTAAGAAGCACTCGTGTCACGGGCGGCAGGGACCTTTGAAAACGAGTTCTGGGCGGACTTTTTGGCTTTACTCAAGCCCCGGGCACTTGATCACGCGTAACATTTCTGCGTTGTGATATGTCGCTCCCCACCAACCACAGCTTCTTCGCAGATAACCAGCCGTGCCAGCCTCACTCGAGTCTGAAGCCCTGCATGAAGCGATCAAAGTACCATGCACCTGATCAGGCGGGCACTAGTAAGGTAAGGCAACCCGGACTCGTTGCTTTTTCCATCAACAACAGGCGCAGCCTCTCCAGGCATCTCGAATCTTTTCGCAGTCCTCGATAAATGTCCTACGAGGGCGACGGCAGCCTCTATGTGGTATGCCCATATCCTTGCCGCTTTGATATGCGTTCAGCTTGCTCAATCCTCCTGATATGGCCGTCGTCACCGTCACCGTAGCGCAGACAGAGTCACCGAACCACTATGCAGTCGCGGTCGAGAAACAGTCCTTCGATGGCCGATATACTCCCTCCTCGATCATTGTCACACTCAGTGTGGCTTTGGCTCTCTACAACTCGCTGGAAATGATTCTTCTGATCTCACTGACATTCAAAAGAAGGAGAGGCTTATACTTCTGGAGCTTGGCCCTCTGCAACTTCGGCGTCTTCGCCTATACCACTGGAATGATGCTAGGATTTTTCGAACTCTGTATCCTATGGCTGAGCAAATCATGGCTGGACGTGGGCTGGGTATGCATGATTGTCTGCCAATCTCTCGTACTCTACTCGCGGCTGGGCCTGATACTGGACAATGTCAAAATCTTGATGGGCGTCAAGTGGATGATTGTCGTCAACAGCCTCATTTTCCTGGTCCCGACGGTGATTCTAGACTTCGGCTCGACGTACTCAGGGCTCCCATCCTTTTCTGAAGCATACTACTACATGGAACACATCCAAATGACCGGCGTCACCCTCCAAGAACTGATAATTTCCAGCCTCTACCTTTGGAAGACCACCAGTCTACTCAAAGTCATCTCGAGAGCAAATTCTCGGAGCATGATCTGGCAACTGTTTACAATCAACATCATCATCATCTGTATGGACGTGAGTGGCCAGCAAATCCATCTCCGTGCAAGGACTGACATACTCCAAGGTCGCGCTCATCATCCTCGAGTACAAGCATCTCCAGCTCTACCAAGAAAGCATCAAGGCCTTCGTCTACAGCGTCAAGCTGAAGCTCGAGTGGAACATCCTATCCAAGCTTGTCAACCTTGTTCATGGTGACGGAATCAATAGGTCCATGACTTTAGACATCATTGACCCGACAACACTCTCGGGACAGGCGCGATCGGAAATACGAGCAGAAGTGGTGGGGCCTGAACGTCTCGCTGGCTCGCTCGCTAGCGACGAGAAAGTAAGTGGCCGGCAACTGGAGGCCGGGCAAGCTACCGGCATACCATCAGGTGATAACGATCAAATATGCCCGGTACTTTCACGCGAGTCTGGCTGGACACCAAGAACGAATAGGAGAGTATCTGATGATTTGTATGCAGACGCCCTGCGGACTCTGAAGTGAACATGGTTGCAGCTACACGCAATCTGCATGGAGCAGTCTGATGATCAGTGATCTTGCCGGGTCTAGATGTCACACCTCCTTCCGGACCCCGTGGCTCCTCTTCGACCTAATTATCCTCTTTTGCCTTCAGATCCTCCACCATCTCATCATATGCGTGATAAGCGTCAATCTTGGTGCTGGCAAACTTCCTCGCGGGAACTCGCTTCTCGAACAGGATATCAAGTTCCTCGAATGTCCTTCCACCTGTTTCAGGAAGTCTGAAAAACACCCATATCAGACATGGAATACACAGGCCGCCAAAGAAAAATGCCTGCAGCATGTTAGAATAAGCTCTCACATGGCTGTCATCATAGTCTTACCGTTTTTCCTTCCCAGCCCCATGCTGTTGGGTTCAGTGCAAATGCCGGAATTGGATAGATCGCAATATCGATAATGTATGCCGTAGCTCGGGCCAATGCAACGGTCTTGCCTCGAAGTCTCGTCGATCCTGCTTCTCCGACAATGGTGTACAAGGTTGCAGCAACAGATGGCGAGTACACAAAAAGATACACCATCAACAACACCGACTGGGTCCAAGCTGCTCCCCCGCTGTTGGAAAGTGAAACAAATCCGATGACGAAGTACAGGATTGTCATGCAGAGAAGCCCGTACATGAAGATCGTTCGTCGACCAACGTATGAGAGCAAGGGCCACGCAAGCACTGTGCCGACCACGGAGAGGGCGTTGTTGCCAATGTTGAGTTTGAATGCGTCTGAGGTTGGGAGACCGGCTTGCACAAAGAAGTACGTGGTATAGCCTTGCAAAGGGGAGCCGATGAGTGCTTGGATGCCGTACGCAATGCAGGCTACCTCGGTCCTTCGCAAGTCGATTCCACGGAAGCAGTCCCAGTAAGAGGCGCCAGCATCGACTTCCTGCTCGAGTTGGTTGGTGTGAATCATCATGGCTACCGTCTCCTTTGCTCGTTCAGCATGCTTGCCATTGCAGAGCCTTTTGACGGTACGTTCCGCTTCAGCGTATCTGCCCTTTCTCACCAGCCACCACGGCGACTCTGGGCAGAACAGAAGCACCGTAAAGATCGGCAGTGGCCAGGCCCACTGCACGGCAAAGGGAATTCGGTATGCCCATTGACTTGTCATGCCTGACACGCTGTACGTGACGCCAGAGGAGACGAATTGTCCCAAGATCCAACAAAGGCAGACGTATGTCGTCAGGTATCCACGAAGGACGACCGGGCAGATTTCAGCCGCATAGGTATTGACCGACGCTGCGAAGATACCGAAGGGTACACTGGACAGCATTCGGCCCACCAGCAATACTGGCAAGGAGCTTGCAAAGAATTGACAGAAGATGGTGCCGTTGACGACAAGAAGGGCTCCCAGTGCAACCTTCTTGCGACCGAAAATATCCGACAACCAACCGTCAAGGAAGACACCAATGATCGTGGCGAGAAAGCCGAGGATGTTCAGCATGGTTTGCCACCTGGCCGTGACTTGATATTTTGTTCCGTCATCATATGGCCTTCCAAAGTCTCTTTGAAATGCAGGTTGGGCATACAGGCTCCCCAGAAAGGCAGTGTCGTATCCGTCCATGATAATTGTCAACGAAAAGCAGAATGACCAGAAAACGGCTTTCTTGTATGCTGTCAGACCTTCCCAAATGGTCATGGAATGCTCATTCGCCGTGGCTTGCTTCGCATCACGGGTAAGTTGAAGCCAATGGGTCGAGTCTTTGGCCACCTCATTGTAGTTGTAACCGCCTTGTTCTATCTCCTCAAGTGCCATTGCAGCGTCTTGTTTGACGGGTGCCTGCGGGTGCTGTTCAGGCTGCGTGATGCGGTCCATGGTGAAAGGCAAGGAGCTGGAAGGAGATCCGAAGATGTGGTCTGCCAACAAGAACAATCTCTCCACGCCCAGCTATTATATACTCGTCAGGACTGGCTCGACTGGGGCGACAAACCTGGGGAAGCGAGCGACATCTTGGTTGGCAACTCGGGCCCGACCTTCCTAAGGAACTAAATAGTCGGCCCACGCTGGTGCACGCGTCCCGATCTGGTCCTCTCCCGGTGCGAGTGGATCAATTCCCAGCCGTGTCCCGAAGTTGTGGTCAAAAGTGGGCGAACAAATTTTTCGGCATATCTCCAGCCAGATGCCAGCTGACGTTTGGGGCTCCATGTTTCTCGATGCCTGTACCTTCGGCTAGACAGGACCTGGAGGCCTCCCCGAGGCCTCGTTCAAACCCGCAACTTCCCAGGACCCCGTCAACTCTCCACCTTTCCCCATGCGACTTGCCCGATGGCCATCGTATCCCGATCTATGTCCTAGATTTGGCAGGTGAGTCCCGAGAGCAGGTTGATCAATGGCTCTGGATACTGTCACGCGTTCAATAGAGAGGTACCCGCGCAGTGGAGTTAAGTCATGCTCATGTTCTTGGGTTTCAAGTCGAATATTCAGGGTGATTAACATTTTCCCCTTTGCTTCTTCTTAACCCATTCATCCAGATCACCCTGTCTTTGAACGCTGTGCGAGTTTCCCTTTCCCTTACCGACTCACCCTTCGTCACGATGAGTGCAACACTGTCTTTTGGAGCCCAGAATATGGGGCCCGACGAGCATTCCCTGTGCTGGAATGCCGGACATGAATCTGTTCTCCGGTTGCAGAGCCCGGTCATCCTCGAATGGGGAGGAACAGAAGAGCCATTTTCCGCAGGCGGGCGTAGAGAGACTCTGGGCTATCAAGAGGTACAAACATCTTCAAGCGATACGACGGGCACAGTTGCTTTCGCCAGGGAAGGCGTAACAGGAAGCCTCCAGGACAAGTGGACAAAGTTAGATGCTAGCAGTTTCTTGGTCTCACGTTCCGTTCAAATCTCATCAGCGTCATCTCACATTGGATTGCGTGTTGGACTGGCATTGCAGCCTTCCTTCCCTGAAGGGGTCGATTACAACGATATGGAATATTACGCACCCAATGCGTGCTACAACCTGAATGATCTGAATGAAGATGGACTGGAAGATTATCTCGAAACCAAGAGACTTTCATACCGGGAAGATCGGCTGAACGCTCTCTCAGTGCTTGCATACCACCCAAAGCGACAGATCGCAATCTCCCTTTCAAGGGCTGATATACCGAAATTCGACCAGGAACCCTCACGCAAAGTTGGCCAACAGGGTTTCCTGCAAGACACGGATATCGGATCCCTTGGGTTCGAACCGCACGACAATGGTCTTCACAACTCTTTGCTGACCGGATCATACCCGTACGTCGAGAGAGACGCCTGCAACGCTCTCCTCGTCCAGCAACGGACGCCTTGGGGAGCATTCCGGCCCGTCTCAGCTGGGGATCGTTTCAATGTGTCTTACATCGTCCGGATTTTCAATGCAAAATCGGGGCATGATGCGCTATGGGAGCTGTTGCGACGACAGTTTGCCACGCTGAAACCAAACCCAGTGCAGCTCGACCAGCCTCTCGAAAAGATCTCTGCGTCGAGACTCACTGCTCTCTCGCACTATTTCATGGAGGATAGTTCTGGCGGCGCAGGTTTTGTAACGAATTGTCATCCACAAGATGGCAAGCAGTTGGCCAATGTTGTGCAGTACGGCTTCACCGGCCAGCAGATAATGAACGCAGCCAACCTGCTAAAGGCGTCAAAGCCGGGGAGTGAGGGCTACGAAAAGGCTTCGAAAGTGATCAAATTCTATGTGGGCAATGCCTCAAAGTCGCCATTTGGATTCACTTACGGCCTGTACAATATGGATCTTCAGAGGCACGGCTCTTGGTGGACTGGTCTGCTACTCCCGCTCGCATATGCCGAGCCTGGGGATGACCTCGAGAAGCACATGGGACCACTATACGCCCATCGTGAGAACATCATCAAAGCTCTCTCAGGCACACACGGTGTGTATCTCCGTTGTGTTTTGGAGGAAACCGAAGCATTACTGGGGCTGTACGAGACGCTGCCGTCAGCGCCGCGCGAATGGTTCGGTGTTATTGAGGCGTTTGGCCGTTTCCTTCTCTCGAAGCAGGAGCAAGATGGAGCCTGGAGAAGAGCGTACGACCTCGATGGCCAACCATTGGTGTCACCGGACTTTTGGTTTGGTCAGACTTACTATCAACAAAGATCCTCGACAGCGACCGTTATTCCATTTCTGTTGCGCCTCAGCAAGATCACCGGGGACGATGCCTACCGGATTGCTGCCATCAGAGCTGGACGATTTGTCCGCGAACAATTGGTGGACAAGGTCAAGCATAACGGAGGAATTCACGATTCGATTTATGCAAAACCGCAGTTGATGGACCACGAAAGTATTTACTTCTGCTGTCATGCGTTGCTCGCCCTGTACGAAGACAAACAAGTCGGTGGCTCGTACTTCCTTGAAGGCGCCATACGTGCTGCGCAGCTCAGTGCCAGTTGGATCATGCTGTGGGATGTGCCCTTGCCACCTACCTCGACACTTGGGAGGCTTGGATTCCGAAGCACTGGCATTGCTGGATGCGACACTCCGGGAGCTGGCTACTTCCATCCCATGGGAGTCATTGCAGTGCCGGACCTCATTCGGATCTCACAAATCACAGGAGATACACTCTTTCTCGACATTGCGGAACTGTGCTTCATGGGCAACAACCAAAACGTAGGCACGAAATGGGGTTACGCAATGGAAGGCCTGCAAGAGGAGGGCGTACTGGTCAGCCCGTGGTTCGTGGATGATCCAATGTTTGCAAAGGAAACGGGCTTTGGTGGTAGGGGCAAGGGTGAAGGCAACAAGACGTGTTTGCCGTGGATCTCTGCTGTCACGGTGGCTTCAGTGACAGAAATGCGGGACAGGTTTGGCACTCTTGATTTCGGAAAGCTAAGAGAGGCCATCCGACCATTGAAGAACGGCGTCAATGGTTTTCATGTGGATGGTGTTGGAAAGGGAAAACTCTCCTCGGTCACCGTTTCCGAGATTCGGGAGAAATCGTTAGTCAACGGCGTTCACTGAGTAGAGATAGAATAGAATTCCTGGTAGATTGGCGACACTAGATAGAAGAGGGTCGACGGGTCATGATAGAGATTGGAATCGAAGGTTGGATTGCAGAAGAGGCTGATGGAGGTACTGTACCTGTTAGTATTCTCCACGCGGGGCAACATCTAGTTAAGCATTGCTCTCCTTATGGGCGTCATCAGCCCCTGCCAAATCGTTCTGGCCAAGCATGGAGCCGCTCTCTCGCCCAGAATATTTAGGTACATTTTCATTTACTTGACGTTCTCTTCTCGTTTCTCCTTCGCTCAAATCCCTCCGTTTGCGTTCCGTGCCAGAATGTAATTAATCGCTTCAGTTACTGGTCTGCACCAAAACAATCACTCAGATGTCGCCAAAGGCGACAACCTGACCCCAATGATAACATGGTATGGGACCACCAGACTTTTGTGACCTTAATTTTGGCTCACAATCCGCAGTCTTACGTGCCGTCGCCGTCACTTGAAATGTACGCTACATCATCCGAAGTCCATAAGCAGACACTGACCGCGAAGGCGATGGATTAAGCCCTGTGTGTTCACAATGCCGTAAGAGCAACCGAGACTGCCTGTCGCCTACGAAGCGTATCAGCTTCCGTGATGGCATGAACCCTTCCATCAATCAACCCGGTTCTCTCGAGTACGGTGGACGAGATGTCGCATTTGCCAAAGATCAAACCTGGATCTCCGTGCCTTCAAATCGTTGGTTTCCGCAGCCCCGTGTAAGAGGCCGTTGCTGATAGATGCTCATAGTGTCCTTCGTCGACGAGACAAACGATATCGCGTCAGATTACGAGGCAGATACGACTACTTGGAAATTCGAATCGGAGTCCGACGCTGCCATTATTGGCAATCACATTTTCGATCAAGATGGCAGCTTCCCGGAAGATGCTGGCACAATCCTCTCGGCGCCGTCAGTCGAGTCTTATCAAACTCCCCTACAACACCATTTACTTGGGCTTTCATCTCCAAGTACTACCCAAGGATTGTTGAATGAGTCGAGTTGGCTGCTGGCTCATCGACAATCTCCTTGTTCTGCGGAAGAAGCATACCTCCTACGACATTTTTCATCGACCCTCTGCCGATGGGTGCGTTTTCCGTCCAACTGCGTCCATTTCTAACATTGTACAGCTCGATGTTTGCGACAAAGACAGCCGATTCGGCTCGGATCTTGTTCGCAGAGCACCCTCAGCCCCATTGCTTCTCAACGCGTGTTTGGCGGTTGCAGCACGGCATCTCTCGAAATTTGGAAGATGCAACTCGGAATTGGCGGATCACTACCACGAGAAGGCCGTACAAATGCTACTTGCTATGCTCAACGAGGAGGATCTGGATCGTCATATTGAGACTATACTTCCGTCGACAGTCATCCTCCGCCTTTTTGAACAATTGTCTTGTGAGTGTTCAGCTGGCCGTACGAGTTGCTCTTCACTGAAAGCGGTGTAGCAAATGTACCAGTTCACGATTTGCAGCGCCATCTGCTGGGCGGGTCGGTCTTCATCAATTCAAGGACTGAGTATGCCCTTAGTGGGGGTCTGACTCAAGCAGCATTCTGGGTATTCGTCCTTCAAGACGTTCAGTTCTCGCTGGCGTATCAGCGGCCCCTCAAAATGCAGACCCTACCGTTTAGCCTGGAGTTTCGACAGAGGTGGCAATACGAGAATGGCGGCTCGGAACAATCCTTGATTCACCGAGCAATCTGGATTCTGGTTGAAACCATACAATACTGCTTCGGAACCCACGAAGCCGTGGCAGAGCTGGAGCTGAGTGATGGTCTGGCGGAATGGGAGAGTTTGACGTCTGAGAAATTTCGGCCCTTCTACCACGAACCCGGCGATGCAGAGACATTCGGTACGTTGTGGTACACTCAGTCCAGCCATATTATCGCTGTCCAACATATCTGCATGGCCAAGATTCTCCTGCTTTCAAAACGAGCCAGTCACTCGCGAATGGGCATCGGGCATGGCAAGACATTACGCGAAACGCAGAGCCAGATTACACAGTACACCGATGTGCTTTTCGGATCAGCATTGTCTACAGACGAAGCAGTGCCAAGATTTTTCGCCTGCCATGCAGCTTGCACAATGTCTTCCTGGATAACCAGTCCTGGTCTGCAGCAGCGTGTGCTCGAGCTCCTGCAGGCCACGGAGCAAAATAATGGCTGGCCGTGGGGCTATATCGTCGAGCGTCTTGCTGAAGACTGGGAAACGGAGGTACTCCCTCGAAAAGCAAGCGGTCCTCAAGCTTGATCCAGGAACGTACAATGGGGAGTGGTGGATAGGCACTTCACGCTGTTAAGTGTGCGACTCCCACCGAGTCAGCCTCCTTGTTCAGCGCGTCAACCTCAGATTGGGTGTACGGTATCCCTTCGGCTTCTCGTCTCTCCTGATTGATCTGTTCAATTTCGCCCGGAAAGTAGATGCGATCGAAGTCCTGCCTCTTTTCTGAAGTCACCACCCGCTGATATAAGTACTCCATTCTATCTTTGAATTCTTCCAAAGAGAAAAAAAGATCCGGCTTGATAGCGACGAGGAAATGGCCCACATTAGCTTGCTTGGATGGGTCATATGGTCCGGTGACTTCACCTGCAAAGGCTGATCCGGACAGTACACCTGAGAAGACATCCATCATGAGTGCCAGACCCGAGCCTTTAGGACCTCCCATGGGCAGCATAACACCTTCCAGAGCGGCGGCGGGATCGTCCGTCGGTGCGCCATCCTTGTCTAACGCCCAATCGAGAGGAATGCGCTCTCCTCTTCTCTTGGCCTTGTAGATTTTTCCACGAGCAGCAACGCTCGGTGCCATGTCGAGGATGAAGGGCCTTGTCTTTCCGGGAGCTCCGCAAGCTATGGGTGACACCCCGAGTAGTTTAGATTTGCCGCCCCAGACAGGAAGAGCGGGCGACGAGTTCGTGAACACCAGAGACATCATGTCGGCGTCGATGGCCTTCTGCACGATCCATGCGGACATGCCGAAATGGTTCGAGTGTTTCACCGAAACCATGCCTATCCCAAACACCTGGGCCATCTCAATGGCTTTTTCCATCCCCTGCGAGGCAGCCAGAAAGCCAAATGCATTGTGTCCGTCGACCTGTGCCACGACCGGAGTGACTTGACTGACGGTCGGTTCGGCTTTCGGGTCGAGTACTCCCTGGCGGATTCGCTCCATATAGGACGGTATGCGGTTGACTCCGTGGGTGTCGATACCGCGCAGGTCGGCGGCGACAAGACATTTGGCGATGGTCTCGGCGTTCTCAAATGGCACACCATTGGCAGTCAAGACATCTTGTGCGAATCGTAAGACCTTTGTAGCCGGACAGTTCTGAGTTTGGATACTTTCGGCCATGTTTGGTGCTTCGATAAGCTGGTCCGAAAGTGTTGTTTGATTGCAGGCGTTGCAGATGTTATGGCTTCGGATGGAGATTGCTGGGAACCGGTGGTTGTTCAGACACAAACAATACGTCGTATTGATGGCTCTCATAAAGTTAGCATCGGCGTCGAGCCGCATTGCCCGAGCCTGGGCACCCGATGTTCTCCGTGTGGTAGCCGTAATCGAGTCTTACTAGCGACGTATATACCATCTTTGTCTAATGGACGGGGAGACGATGCCCAGGTAGACTTGTACTCGAAAAGCATCTACATGGCTTGTCGCGGTCGCGTACTTGTTGGGAGAAGCACGTCGGCGGCACGGTGGGTTCAATTTCAAGCATTGCGTGAGGTAAGGGTGAGCCTAGTGTGCCTCAGATACGACATCGGGTAGAAGATCGTTGTGGAGGGCGGAATCACATCTTCGGCAGGGACGAATATGTATTGGCGGTCGAGTGCAAAGGACATAAAAAGAAGCGATCGAAGGTTAAGAGGTCTTGCTTTATTCCTATTCGTACATTAACCTGAAGCAAATGAGGACTTTTACGCAACCGGATAGCATCGTCAATGGTTCCTTGTTCGACAGGTCCAGTCACAAAGGTCTTCAACCTTGGGCGCACCACCGTCTAGATCAAACCCTTGGTGCGCTGCGTCATGTTCTTGACATCAATATCCTTCCACAAGGCAGTTGAGACCAGCGTGATTGTGTACAAACTGGTAGCGGCGATCAGCATCAGCCTTTGGGTCTCTGCGTACGACTTATCGATTGCAATTCTTGTCGGACTTCCAACAGGGTAACTGGCTTGTACGGTCAAGTCACCGTAGATGCTGGCAAAGTCGGATTGTGCACTTGCAGGTAGGTTTTCCAACAATTTCTGTGGAAAGATACCAGTCCACATGGCTGCGGCGATTGCCAGTCCGATTGAACTGCCGACATACGCGACCAATCCCTCCATGGCGAGGACCGCCGGAATGTGCTGATGGGTGGAGACCGCCATGACAGTTATCTGCTCGCAGATAACGAGTGTACCGCCACCGAAAGCGACAAAGATCTGGCACATGACGATGTAGCCGATGTGGACACCCGGTTGGCGGAAATGGATCATCAGTCCAACACCGAGGATCGTCAGTGGAACTCCGAAGCACAGCGCATACCATTTTATGCGGCCGTTGAAGCGAATGCAAACGCCGAGGACAAGTGACCAGAAGCAGGATCCGATGGTGTAGATGTTGCCGATGTACGTCGCTTGCGTGATTGATTGCCGGAACAGGACGATATTGAGCGAGTAGAAGTAGCTGTCCCAGATGTACCAGGCAACGTAGATGCTGGCTGCCATGGTATAGGTGAAGATGATGGTGCGGTTCTTCAACAAATACCAAGGGATGAACGTAACTGGTGCAAGGTATTTCTCGTACAATCCGAACGCAATGATGAGCAAGCCCCCGAAGATGAGGAAGCAAATGATGAGTGGTGATCTCCACTCGTCCTTTTGGTAGGAGTACAGGCTGAACGACAGCAGGAAAAGCGCCAGTCCTGTGCTGATGATAAGCAGTCCGATGACATCGAACTCCCGGCAGTAGTAGATGAAGGTTTCAAAAGCATTTCCACGGCTTGGTCGAGGAGGGATGAGCCCCAAGTTGTTGGCCTTTCTTTGGTTGTACCAGAATAGTGCGCAGAGCGGTGCACAAATCAGCGGCAGCACGATCGCCCAGATGCCAAAGCCCCATCTGTACCCGATAGTACTAAGGATGCTGTTAACAGCCGGACCGTAAGCCCACGTGGTGACGAGGTACGGGGAAGCTGTGAAGGCGAGCATAAAAGCACGATTTCGCAGCTTGGACGTGTCGGCTACGAAGATGGTCATGGAGAAGTCGATGCCTGTGTACCCAACAGAGTAGAAGACTTGGGCGGCGCAATAGGTCTTGACATCATTGCAACCCGCCATCATCACGAGACCAAGAGTGATCGAGGAGACCATGATCAAGAAGGCCTGTGGACGACCCCAAATATCAAGAATTTTGGCGTAGGGGATCTTGAAGAGGCCTCCAATCAAGGATGAAATGATACTGGTGGTTGCAGTCAAGGAATGCATTTGGAACGAGCTTGTGACATATGGCGTCAAGGTGGAAACGATGCCAGAGGAGAATGCGAGCATAAACTCCACGACCCAGATACTGAAGATGGTCAGCAGAAGCTCGTGCAGCGTCCCGTTCACTCACAGTCCGTATGCGATGAGGAGATCTCGCTTAGTCCATACCTCAGTCATAGCCTCAACACTCGCAACACCATGTTGAAGTTCCGTCTTCTCATTTTCGGGAATGGCTTGACTGGTGTTCGCGTTGACGCCGGCTTCTTTCCCCATGGCCTGTCTCTCATGGAGCGCGGGCTCCGGCATATCGACATCGTTGGAACTCGCCCTGTCCGGCGTGGCTGCTGGGAGCAGTGAAGAAGGAAGTCGGAATCTCATGTTTCCTGCAGGCAAAGAAGACGAGCCGTGAAGAGTGGTGAACTTGCACAAGGAGAGATCAGTATGCAGCCAGATTAAATATCAGATGTGAGATAAAATTTTTATCATATCTAATCATCCGATCAAGAGACATCCGTGACTGTCTGGGCCAAGGCCGTGTGTCAATCCCACCCGACCATGCCCTGTTCAGCACCGACAAGCCCACTGTGTGGACTAACGGCGTCGGCTAGACTCAAGCTCGAGACCGCAATGCTCATCTGATAAAAGATGGTGGTCCGGATCTTTGGTCTGGCGTAAGACAAGACTTGGCAAGCCTTTGACGATTGGGCCAGAGCATTGGAGCTTCTGCTGGACTCCACTCGATGCTATCGTATATGCTATCGCGACCCATGTCACGCCTTGCGAAGACGGCTGTTGACTTACGCTTTCGCTTTCAAGCATTGCCACTGCTGGCTCTGAAATGCTTGCTGGGCGAGACTTGCCAAGGTTGGAGAAGGCATGCTTCAAGCCTTATGCTTCGGAATTCTCCTGCTGTGAATGATACCTCGAAGAAGGTTGCTGTACAGGGTCTGAACTGTTTGGCTGGATTCTTTGGTGCTTGGATGAGTTAGTGGTCGTGAGTTTGCCCCGGTCCACCACGGTAATGTGGCACCTATTGTACTCCATCACCTATTGCCGACGAAAACTTTCTTGCTCGACAATGGGTGCATGTGGAATTGCACGGAGACGAGTAAGGTTGCTGTCGGGAAGAAACGCGGATCGTAGTGCGTGAAAAGGAGCATAATTGATATGCATAATGGACAGGAAGTGCCAGCAAATCGTGTCCAAGCAGTCAAGCATTGCGATCTCGGCCTCAAGGACGGACTCCATTGAGCTCAGACGTCACCATGGACATGGTCCCCTAATCCAGTCCGAGCGTCCTTCTCTTCATGTTTCTTCTCGTCGTATACAGCGCGGATCAATAGTCAAGGCCGGAGACGCAAGTGGGTTTCTGGAAGTCGTCGGAGCGGCCGCGCTGGCAAAGATGGAGGGTACAGCTCGTTTCGACACTGAAAGGTCTCTTGTCATTCTCATCGTAGAAGTAATAAGCAAAGCATGCGTTAGGAAAGGGAGGATTCAGGAGCCCCGTAGTGGAATCTAGTCCTGGTGATTCGCCTGTATCGGATCCCGTCAATGGTCAACGGCTACGAAGTGAAAGGGAGAAAACATGTCCTTGTTGCTTGCGCGGGAGTAGCAGTCAAGAAGATTCGTCTGGGAATGCCAGAAATCCGGCTGGTCGTTCTTCACTGAGTTGCTGAGTTGACAATTCCCTAAAAAGCCGTCTCCTGCTGGCCATTTGCAAGATTTCTCGAGGGTCCTGCGCCCTAGGTGAGCGGGGCGTGAGCGCCAGAGTTGCCTGCGCACGCCTGCGCCAACACTTCGGTCGGGTTACGTCATCACAACAACAGCAACATTTCTGTCTCGTCGTTTCGTCGTCTCGCCGTGTCGCCTGCCAACCCACTTTCGACCTTACCATCGAGTTAATGGCCATTTGCGTCTTCAAAGCCTTCGAAATCATTATGCTGAAGGGGGGAGCGCGTCAATTTCACCTCAAAAGCCCTCCGCAGAGCCATTACCGAGCCGATACTGATACTGCGACTTTCGCTCACTCACCACACTCCAGTGGCTCCTTTTGCGAGACTTGAAATGCCCCTCGACGCGGAACCTTCCTTGACATGGCATGAATCCATCCCGGTCGCCTTTTCACAGAGCCTTTGACGCGCTTCCGGCCAGCGGTCGTTCTCCTCAGCAGTGACGTGCCTCCTGCGCGCTCAGTAGCCCTTGAACAGCAAAGTCGAACCGCAGCCGTCAACGATCAACACCCGGTAACGGCAGTAACGGCTCAGCGCATTATACCTAGCTGTACGGTAGGAAAGTGACCTGGCTACAATCTCAGAAGTGTAGGCTTGTTTTCGGCACCAGACCCGACGCGAGGACGCCTTCACTTAAGCTCAACCGGTTCAGAGTGTGGACGAAAAGAAATAGTGGTTGCGCAGGAAGTGGATCTCTGTATAGGGGTCCGCAACTGCGCAGCTGAGATCGCCTGGTGTACGGCACTGATACTACTTCAGTGAATCGACTTGCCATGCATAAGGAGCATCCGGTCTCCCAGCATTCACATTTCAATTGCATAAAGAGCGGTAAAGGCCAAGGTGCATCCTGCTCGGGGAACAATGGTTGTTCGAATACCTCGACGAATGACTGGGACACGGGTCCAGGCACTGTCATGCCTTCGCCCGCAGATGCGTTGGTCCGCTTCTTCTATGCCCGTGGCGTATGACTTGATTCGTTACCTCTTACAGCGCCGCGCAACAGTTGTTCCTCAGTCTATTCAACATCCGCACATTACGCACTAACAACCTCCGCTGGACGTTGGTCGAGATCGGTAATAGTGGAAGCTCGGCTCGTGGCCACGCCTGGAGATTTGATACGTCAAACCTCAGCTTGGCATTCGCTTATCGTTTTGCACGTTTTGTCAATCAACGTGCTGGAGCGCTGATGCTGGTATTGCCAATGCAATGGTGCTTCGAAAGCGTCTAAGAAGACAATCTACGGGACTATAGGTAAGTCGGCACAAAACGTTCAAATGGGCTCACAAGATCCTGTCACTTCACACACTCTCCCCCCCACTCTGTATCTCGTCGTGACCATGAAGCTATCCAATATGAGACCTCTCACTGTGTGTCTTGCTGCCACTCTCGGAGCTCTAGCTGCTTCCCAAAGTTCTACTCCTGTTCAGTGTCGCGGATCTTTCAATGGAACCGTTGGGAATGGTACCGTGGGCTCCGAACAGCAAATATCGAGTACGACCGTCCGCTTAGTCAATGCCACCGACGCCAATCAAGGAGTTGCCGTCGATGGCGACCATTTCTACTCCATTGACAATTTTTCCATCACCAAGCATAACAAGACGACCGGCGAACCGACTCTGCAATGGTACGGTGGTGCCGACGGACCCATCATTCATCTTGACGGTGGCGTTGTCATCAACGGCACACTGTATGCACCACATTCCAATTATCCGACGGCACCAGAAACATCATCAGTGGAAGAATGGAATGTAACCACAATGGAACACATTCGGAGTTACTCTTTCGGCGTCAACCGTGGCAGCCTGACATGGATTGATCAAGATAGTACCGGGACGTGGTATGGAACGTTTGCTAACTACGACCGAGTCCAGCAAGGCCAAACGCAGCCGTATGGACTAAGCATGAATACTCAACTCGTGCGATTCTCTCCTGGTCCAGAATCGCCGTTTCAGTACATCTCCCAATCATGGATCTTTCCTGAGGAGATGGTCTCAGAGATTTTCTCACCAATGTCCAATTCCGGCGGAAGCTTCGGTCCCGATGGGTGGCTCTACATCACCGGTCATGATGCGAGCGCCGCTTACGCTGTGCAAATCCCGTCGGCAGGTAGTGTTGTTATCTGGGTTGCGACAGTGAGTTTGCCGGATATTGCAGGGCAAGGGATCGCTTGGGATCGAAGCATCAAATCTACAGTGGCCAACGGGACGCTCTACGGCATCAGTCGAGAAAGCAGACAAGTCGTTGAGATGAACATACCCCTGCAGACGTGTCAACCAAATTATACCTTGTCTGTGGGAAACGTCTATGGTCCAGGAAGATTTGTTGATCCCGACGCCGAGTAGTTTGGACTATCTATGCTGGACGACGCCGTAAATAGTGTATAACACAATAGGTTGTCTGTTCGGATGTCAATATTCTGCTCTTGCCCGTCAAATTTCAGGCTATACCATCACTACTGACCACGCCTTCTAGACACCATACTTTCCTTCTTCCATTCTCCTGAGAGAGTCTGTACGGACCGTCTTGAAAGCCATGTACGTACGCCCAGATGTAGATCAGACGGATTCGGAAAGGGCGGCTCTTCCTTGCTCGTGGGAAGCAATGGCGACAACCTCTTGTCCGCCTGTTTAGATGCCGACGATGAGATCCATGATTCATCAGCACTGCAAAAGAACGTCGGCCAATGCCAGCATGTGCCGTCCCCAGTGGACGAATCTTGCCGATCACGCCCATCATTACCTGTTGCTAGAGGATCTACTGGGGCCGGCTTCAAAGCCGGGCCAGGAATCGAGATATATCTACTTTCATTTAGCTCATGTCAACAATGTCATCTCCGCGCCAATCATCTATCAAATGTTGTCTTGTATAGGGAGCTATCATCGTTCGAGCTCGGCCGATCAACGGGCAGTTTTGGACATTTCATCGACAGACGATTGAAGCTGAATCTATAGAGTGCGAAAGAGAGCAAGTCACAACCAGAATTGGCAGGTCAGGAAAGTTAATAAGATACGGTACAAGTCCAGGCTCAGTATCGACATCAGATTAATATTATCAGTCATGCTCTACGGTCAAATTATTTCGTGTCTCATGTTCTGCTTGCCTGAGTTTGCCTCAGGTACGTGGTGCACGACCATTGTAATCGACACCCGCCGTAGCTGTGTAGTTCGCAAAGCAATCGTAGTTGTAGTCAATCTCGTTGATGCGCTTCTGCAACACGCTGACCATTGTGTCAAAGGGACAAAGGCCATTGGGATCATTGGGACATCCCGGATGAGAGCCCGAGACTGGAACGACAGCATCGTTACTGGCAAATTAGCACGAATTCCGTCAAAGATATGAAGAGGAGACTTACACAATGAATCGGATCTGCTTGGACGGTTTCATAGCTGGGCACTCAAGAATTTGCGTAGTGAAGTGCGTTGCAAAAGGTACAAGCTTGCTGGCCACGAAGCTGTTGCGACCCTGGTTTATGCTAGTGTTCAAAGCAGGTCCATTGAACAGCGCGGTCAGGTTGAAGGCCGTAAGTGTATCGAGAACGACAACTTCGTGAGTGGCATCGGCGTAAATGGACTGGGTGAGAGGGAAGTACGTCGATGTGTTGTCGAAGGTCTGGTTGAGTGCAGACATTGCAGTCGGGTAGCTTTGAGTGAATCGAGCAACGAACTCCTGCAGGTAACCTTTGCCTTGAGCAGCAGCGACAGGAGAGCCGGGCCCGTTGTTGTAGTAGAACGACTGGAAAGACTTAGTCACAGAGTTCAAGCCAAGGATCGAGAAGTAGCCTACCAAATCGAAATAATACTCGTAGTTCTGGAAGTCCTGCTGTGTGAAAAGTGGGCAGAACGCGGAATAGCCGAGCGCGTCAGTCTCGTACGAGCAGAGCTGAAGCATAGCGATGATGTCGGTAGGCGTGAAAGTCAGATTGCCAGAGAGCTACATCTCAGCCATTAGCGACATGGATTGCGATGCGAAGAAAGATTTACCTGGGAGTTCAAGCGGGAAAGAGTCGAGTTGAAAGCGTTGACGGCGAATTTATTAGCAGCAGCCGTGCCAATGCTTCCTTTGGTTGCGACGTTGGAGTTGTTGCAGACTTCGTAGGGAGCTCCCGAGTTGTTGACTCCAAGTGTTTCGACAAGGATCTCGATGTTTACCTGGTCCAAGTACTCTGGGACACCGAAGAAACCAGCGGCAAAATTCTCGGCGGTCTTGACCATGCGGTCCTGCGATTCGGTGCGGAAAACCGGGATAGCCTTTTGAGCGGTGAAGTTGTTCAACAATTCGCCGTACAATTGGCGGTATTCAACACCGAGGAGGAAATTTTGGCTCCGGCCAAAGGGAGTCAAAAGCTCAGCACCGAGCTTGTAAGTCCAGTTGGACAGGAAAGCCAGTTCGCCCGCAACCTGGAAACCCGCTCCCTTGGTGGCATTTGCAAGCTTCGAGGCAAATGTCGCTGGCGCAGCGCCGCTGGTAGGGTATCGTGCACCGTGGCGATACAACAGATGCATCTGGTTGATGGTGCATCCATCAGGAATTAAAGGACTGGCATTGGGCAGACCATAGTCGGCGGAAGACACCGAGTACCATGGAGACAAGTTTCCCCAGTAGCGCGTGATGTCGACGTTAGAGCTCGAATTGGAGCCTTGAGGCTGTGCAGCAACCAGAGGGAACGACTTGGCGGCTTGGGTGTTGTATGGGTAGAGAGGAGCTGTCTGGGCCGCTGCTGCCTCAACACCGGTTTGCGTTGGACCGGGAAAGCCGACCTTTGATTCGGGCGGAAACAACGTCGAGTTGACAGCAGCTAGATGGGTGTTATTTCAATCTAGTCACCACGTATCGGTACACGGCTTACTGCCTGCTGGAGGATAGACGTCCGAAGTCGAAGCGCCAACGTTCGAGATAGCGGTGATCTTCTGCGGGGCAGCCTCAATGGCCTTGGCCACCAGCGCCACGGAGAGGATGGAAAGCTTCATGTCGTTTCAAGCACAAGCCCAAGTATCCAAGTCAAAGCTTCAATCTTGTTAAACAGCAGGAGTGAGCTTTCTGGACGTACCAAGCATAATCAAGCATCTTTATATCCGACGACAAGTACGAAATGGCGCTGGCCAATCATTTCCACGGCAGCTACCATGTGCCTTTTGTACCTGGAAGAGGATCGGAATGGTGTGAACTAACTCGGGGAGAGCTGAGACCTGCAGTCTTATTGCGAGCTAGCGATGTACTAAACTAGTCATGACGATGAAATGCCCCGAACTCGGCCAGGCGTGCACAGGCACCATCTGGGCAGCTGGGGTGACACGTGGGTGGAGAGCACCTGTAAGAGCTATCAGAGCAAGCTGATCCTGGTTAGTTTGCACCACGAATGACGCGAGAAACACGGTACTGTTAGGACAAAAGTAGAGAGTCTGCAGCAAGTATTGCAGATTAACGCGATAACAAGGTGTCGACCATCGGCTTCTGGCCGCGGACGTTGCTCTCATATCTTCGGCATAGCTTGTGAACATGCTCGGCGAGGTGTCTGTCGTGACAAATGACCGGGTGAGCACATGGAAGTGCTGATTTTCACGACCTCGTGGAGGGCAGGTTCAGGTATTCGACTTGCTCGTTCTCGACTTCTTGCATCCCACAAGCAATGACGAGCGCCTACCGATAGTTAACACATTTTGATGCTTGCTAGATTGACCCGCTTCCCCTCCTGCCCGCCATTCGCATTAGCACTTATCCTCGCAAGTGGTTTCGGTTCCCGATGTCGAGTGTGCTCTCCGCGATTCAACTTGCAGTCCAATCGAACCCGTGGCAGCATGCTTTCCACAAGGTGCTTGACAGAAGAAGACTCGACGTTCTGGCTGTCTGTATGTCTCGTGTTTAACCGTACCGCATCTTCTTGCCGGCTGTCTGCTGTAAAGCTTATATTGACAGCCTTGCTTTGTTCGCTGCAGTGTAAACAACGAAAGCCGTGTTGCAGCGGAGTGTGCGTGGGGAGAACCTCGAATAAGCCGGTTGGGCGAGCACATTCTGTTCAGGCAGTAGGCTTGCTGCGCTTGAAACCTCGTCTCTTTCTAGCTCTTCTATGCTTGCTTCTGACCGATGTTGTGACATTGTAAAGGAGGCTCTTGAAGAGCCATGCCATGGTCCGAGGTCCTAAGGTTGACAGCCTGACTTGTAGGCACGAATTCGAAAGCGAGAAGAAAGGCTGTGATAAACCGTTACACTCGGCGCGTGGGAGGTGATTGCGAGGCCTCCAATCCTGGCCGGGACAGTCCTTGAGGCGCAGGTATATCTTACGCTTCTAGCCATCCGCTGGGCACTCTTCTTTCTTCAACGTCCGGGGCGCAGTATGACCTAGCTTTCATTATAGCCCTTGACGCATGGTGTGGCAGCAACCTTGTATTCTTGTCCAAGTTTTCGTCGTTTGGCTACGACTGCTAGGGCAGAGGAAAGTCGAGTTGATAAGCTGAATAAGGCCGACTTGAAGGTGGAATCGGACGAGACAGGATTATCGGATCATAGAGCGCAATCTTTGCTGTGTTGACTTGGGCGGCATCGACCCGACCTAGCTGATTGCGCGAGCGCTGAACTGGGATGAGCACAAGACTTGCTGTGGCTGCGAAACTGTACGCAATATCGCCAGCAGGGACTCTGTGAATGACACGGAGTACTAGTAGCTCGAAGAGGAAGGTGCGGCGAAATACCAATATCGGCTCGATGATTGGCGCGTTCATTGTTTCCCTTTGCTGGACTGCGTTTGTACTTCTGCAACAGTATTTCGCACAACATGAAGCGGTCAGAAGCCTAGTACTGGAATGCAGATAACTATGTGAGGCTATTGATAGTGGCTGGTGCATTTCAACACTTGGACGATGCTTTTCTGAAGCTATAGGTCGCTGTGCTTGTCGGCAACAACCATCGCTTGCGTGAGAATCTGGCACGACGGAATCCTATTCATACATCACGTCAACGACCGCAATTGTCCCGGAAGTCTTCTTGCTTAACAACCCCACCCTCCTCGCCCACAATCGAGTTGAGGCTGACAATCAGACGGCCGACCTTACCCACCCTTAGGCGGGTCTTTCAGTCAAGCTCGGACTCCTGCTTCGAGGGCCCTTTCTGAATTCATCCCGACGTTGCCTCTCGGAGACATTCCGAAGGATGCTTCACTCCCATTTTAGCTCACCCCCAGGAATGATTGGACACAACGCTGCGATCGCCTGGCGTTCACCCTGGTCTTGGACCTTCTACGTCGAGGCATTTGACCAGCAAGGCGATGCTTAACCAAGGGAAGTGCGTTGAAAGTACGAGAGAGCGGTCAAAAATACCGACAGTACAGGGACAACTGGCAGCAACAAACAATATCCGAGACATCACCTTCTCTCCAGTCCTCCGTCCTTGACTACGACCAGCCAGAGGCAGGATGGCCCGTCTTGCGGAATGACCTTGCTCACCCCGTGCGCAGAAGAGCATGAATACTTCCGGGCCTCAGAGGCCGAGCCTGCCGTATCACACTTCCGATTTGCCGATTCATTTGCCCCCTCTGCCATTGACTGAACATGAAGCGGTTCCGGCTGAGCTGAACCCAGGGGACACAGTACTGTTCTTAGGCGGGGTATATCATGCTGGGGGCGCCAACACGACAACGTGAGTTTCACACTTTGATGGTCCGTGATGCGATTTTTCGCGCTGATATTAAGCAGTGACGAGGCTCGTGAGACTGTCGGCATCTTTCTGTGCCGGGGGATGTATCGACAGGTGGAAAACCAATATTTCATGGTGCCTCCCGCGAAGGCCAAGCGATTGTCACCGAAAGCGCAGCGCTTGCTAGGTTATGCGATCAGTCCTCCGTTCTGCGGGTTCGTCAACTACAAGGATCCTTTGGAGGATTTGTTCCAAGTCGTTGAAGTTGACCCTCTTTTGGTTTAGAGGGTCTTTCCCCGGCAAAGACGCTACCGATCGAGATAGGCTTACGTATGGACCTCATTGCCAGTATAGAGCTACAGGGGACTCTGAGTACGGAGCCGCCCGAGCACCCGCGGAGGAGTTGTTCGAGATCGCAATTTTTGTCC